TGAAGCGCGGCCAATATATGGTCGTGTGCAATCTGTTGACCAATCACAATTAGGCGAGCCGCGCTCAAACGTCAAGTGCAATTAAGTAGGTTGATAATAAGCCAGCACTGGTCAGTGATGAGGAACTGTTTTGCGCAGTATTCTGTAAATCGTCTAAGGACGAAAAAAAGACGTACCTTCCCCCCTTCTTCCGTCGCTACTGTTTCTGTAGCTAAGCTCGTTTTTGGACCGCGATTGCCGCAAGTATCCCAGTCGTAAGAGTAAAGTAAGATGCTGATCTAAAGGCACATACGGCTTCACGCACATTGCACTCGCAAAACACATTCACACGGCCTTGATTCTTGATCGGTATCCAAGCGTGCGAAGGCACAAAGACACAGCACTTCGGCGTGCCAATGAAGCTTTGAACACACCGCCAGACCGGTGAAGCTTGTTTTCGACAAATTATGCCTTTTGCCTGCGGCACTGCACTTTCGTAAAAATTTCCACGTGTTCTCAACGGCAAGTATCACGCCATAATTAGATCTTAAAGAACGTCTTCGGCGAATGACGACGAACAAGTAGAAAACGTGTCATTAGCACGCTGCCACCGGCCTCTGCAACGCTAGCGAAACGAGAAAAAACGGCATGCAAGATGGCCGTCCGGTGGCTGCATTCGCGCTGCAGCGAACAAGCGGGGACGCGCGATCCAGCAATTGTCATTGAGATCAGTGTTGCCGACTCGGCCGAATCCGCCGAATCCCCGAATCTTTCGAGAATTTCGTCATAAGTTCGGCCTCGCCGAATCCCAGGATTCGGCAGCGAATTTTCCATTCGGCAAAAGTTCGACCCATCGCTGCCATCACAATCCTTTTGAATTAGGGCCGTCGCCCCCAAAGGAATCTCATAAAAATGAGTATAGACTCAAAAATATACGAAAGAGTTTGACAAAGAGGACGTTCACTTTGTCTCGAACTTGGTCTAGACAAAGAACTAGAAATAGAACTAGAACTAGAACAGCCTAGAACTTGGTCTGCCTCAACGGGCGACGAATCTCCCAGCTGTAAATTTCTCATCTACAGCTGGGAGACTCGCCGCCCGTTGAGGCAGACTAAGTTCTAGGCTGTATAAACATACACTCAACCCAATTTTGTTTTTCCCTCTTTGTCTGACTCTTTCATATATCTTTGAATCTATTAGCAACGCGCTCAATCCATCTATATATATATATATATATTCTGTAAACGACTAAATTTTCGCGGAGACCTAATTTTCGTGAATTTCGCAAATCGCCGACAATTCGCGAAAAAAAAAAAAAAAAAAAAAAAAAAAACGCCCCGCGAACAATTTGGGCAATACGTGAACGCTACGGAAGCTACACTCGATTCGCGAAAATTAGAACCCGCGAATAATTTCAAATTTACAGCTTTGGCCCGATTCGCGAAAATTTGAGCCCGTGAAATTTAAGTCGTCTACAGTATATATATATGTGTGTGTGTGTGTGTGTGTGTTTTATTACTAAATTTTTTATTCATGCATCAAAACGAGATTCAACGAGAACAAACGAGACGTGCGTGTAGCAGTCGAGGTTCGACTAGTTAAAGGAGCGATGCAACAATTTTTGTACTGTGCACAAATACTGCTTAAAACGGATCCCTAAGGTTAATGACCTATGAAACACGCGTTCGTTTTTCACCCCACGCAATAGAAGTCCCAGAAAAAAATTTAAGAAAAACGAGCAGCGTTCACCCCCTCAACTCGCAGCCAGAACAAGCGGCCACGTGATCTGGAGCCGATTTATGCCGCCAGTGTTGATCATAGCCACGCGCTGGGGTTGGCAAAGTGCATGCAGGACACGCGCTGAGTTCCAGACATTGTTATGGCTCGGCTGTTGTCGTCGTTGCAGCGATTGGACACGGGTCACAACCAGGGCCGTACCCAGAAAAAAATTTCGGGGGGGGGGGGGGGGGGGGGTTCGGGGACAACGGCGGCCATATTGAAAATGTCTATTGTCTTATTTTCGCCTATGAATCATGTGCATTGGTGGCATATAATGGAGAGTTATAGCAAACCGGAGAACCGGTCCCGGTTTGGTACCCGGTAGCCGACCGGCGCCACTGCGCGTGCGCAGAGGTGGAGATTAAAATCGGCTGGCTGCAAGTGCACCGACCATGTACCACGCACTGTACCGGGGCTGGTCATCCGCTTTGCTAAAAAGGTAATAAAAGGATACTTTCAAATCGCTTGTAACCTAAAGAAAAAAAAAAAAACTGTCAGGAATTTAATTCCTGGTAATGGAAAGGAATAAAAGTTGGTGTATAACTTTTGCCGATTCACCTGGACGACCCTGCGTTTTATGAGAAGTCGCTAGTTGCCTTCGCCATGCTGCTACCACCAAGCCTAGAGGACCTCCGACCTACCAACGACTGCCAGCGAAATAATTTTTCACGTTCAGAGCAATCGCTCTCGTGGAGTTTTAAACCCCAGTTGCAATTCGTATCCATTCTATCCGTACTTAGGTCGAGGGCACAAACACGAAATCTGCGCATATCTTGAGTGCCTTGCGGGGTTCGGTACATCAGGGCCTACCCAGAAAAAAACTTCGGGGGGGGGGGGGGGGGGGGTCAGAACCCCCTACCCCCCCCCCCCCCCCCCCCCCCCCTGGTTACGGTCCGGGTCACAACCCGAATGCTTCTCGAGCTAGCAATGGACCTTTTCCGAGAAGCGTTCTGCGCACGCGCGAGCGCCCGATGCCAAGCGGCGGAAATCGGCACGAAAAATCAAGGAAATTCGGAATGAGGCTGTAGATCGACGAATAGAGCACGTAATTGCAGCATATGTATAATTGTGTTACACAAAAAAAGAAAGTGGACGGAAAGAAAAACACGACGTTTGGGTAAACGCTACGGATTTCCCTCTTTACAGTCGCGGTGGGCACACGACGCTGCTCAGAGTGCGAAGCAACTGGTAGCGTAGCTCCCATTATCGATTGGCAGCGCAGGTAGGTCAGTTCCTCGATTTTTAGTTCGTGCAGCCACCGCCTGGTGCCGTCAGTATTTGGAAAGGGTCCATTGTCACGAGCCCAAGTCGAGTGCCCACGCAATGCTCTGGTCCAATCTTTGAACCGCATTCAAATATCGTCACTTGGGTGTACTGCGATCCCCGAGTTACGTCATCAAACTTTTGCAAAGGAGAGATTGAATGAAAATGATCGCTTTTGTCCTTGAAATTACACCGCAACAAAGGAGTTTCTTGGCCAATGGCGTTGCGTGTGAGTATCCTTGAGTCCCAGGTGTGCCAGTAAGCTCGTGTAGAGAGAAAAACATTCCAATGGACCTTTTCCGAGAAGCGTTCTGCGCACGCGCGAGCGCCCGATGCCAAGTGGCGGAAGTCGAAACGAAAAATCGAGGAAATTTGGAAGGAGGCTGTATATCAGCGAGTAGAACACGTAACTGCAGCATATATATAATTGTGTTACACAAAAAAAGAACGTCGACGGAAAGGAAAACACGACGTTTGGGTGGACGCCACGGATGCCCCTAAAACGATTTTTTGGTTGGGATAAATCATTTTAGATTGGGATTTTACTAATAGCACATCGTTCAGTGGGCCAAAAGAAGAAAGGTAGGAAGTCAAAAGCTTGGCTTTCAGCGCGAAAATTTGAAAATACAGCGGACTATTTCGTACCTCCTCCCCTTCGTAAGCTCTCTGCCTTTTCACTGTGATACATCCGCGGTCCCAAAAGCGCGTCATCGGGTCCAAACTGACGTCACACGAAACCGGACCTCATTTAATCCCTTCACCCCTAAGCTGACATTGTAGTGGAAGCTACGCGCTTGCCGGACCAATCAGCCGCCTCCCTTTCATCACCTGACCTCATTCTCTGCAGCCACATTTGCTACGCTCACGTCACGCGGCAAGTGTGGCTGGCCCAACGACCAACGAGCACGTAGCTTCCACAGCACTGTCAGCTTCGGGGTGAACGCGTTGGGGAAAGCAACTTTTGTTTAAGTTTGAGCGACGGGCTAATATTCTAAAGGGGCCATGGCTCTGTCCGGGTACACAATCCAGATTCCGAGCGAGGGGGCCTCCCTTCTTTTCGTCTTCTTGAACTGTTTGGTGGAATGCGCGATTTATGAGTTGAGGAGGAAAGCTAAACAGGAAAAAGTTGGAAAAGCGTTTCATGACCCCTTTAAAGTCGCGTTGGGCAGGCGCCGCTGCTCAGAGAGCGAAGAAACTGGTAGCGTAGCTCCCATTATGGATTGGTAGCGCAGGTAGGTCACTTCCTCGATTTTTAGTTCGTGCAGCCACCGCCTGGTGCCGCCGGTATGTGGAAAAGGTCCATTGAATATCGTTGCACAGCTCCTTTAATTTTCGACCTTCTAATCAGTTTTGAAAAAAAAAAAAAAAAAGTTTTCTTTTGGATAGTCGAGAGGAGGGAGAGGAAGGAGAAAGGCTTCAAACTTCTATAAACTGCGGGAGCAATGCTGGCAGAGTTCAAGCGGTCTCCCCACAGCGCAGTGGAACAAATCAAACAAACAGATTGCACTTTTACCAGAGGCCCGTTAGCGCGTCTTCTAGCCGGACGTCAAGGAGGATAGTTAAAAGTCACTGGACTCTCAAAACCTTAGGCATCGCCCACCCCAAGAAAAGACAACACAATCAAAAATAGCGTGAACCGGAACGGGCGACGCTCATATTCTACACAAAGGAAAATAGACGGGGTTCTGGTTTGAAACTCCCAGTGTTCTCACTGTTCTACCTCTGTATTCTGCTTCTTTAGTGTATGATCATATCTCCTGGGCTTCATTTTTGTGTGTTTTGTACTTATGAAGACCTACGAAGGATGGGTCACTGTTGTACGAATTTTCATCCTTCCGAAGCTTTTTTTTAATCATTATTAAGTGACATAATTTACACAAGAAGTGGCGCATCTGAGGGTTGAGAAAGAGAATGTAACGTGTTTGGTACGTGTTCATTGTTTTCAGTATTGTCTTTGGTGGTTTTTTGGTGGGACCATCTGGCAACACTGTACGAGTCCTTTGGAAGTGGAAGGCCACAAGTGCGGTGTGATCGTAGGACTGACGCCGTTTTGATCATCGTTTTTCAAACAATCTCTGTAAGTACGGATTGCTGCAAGTGTGAAAACCTTGTATTAATCAGTCGAAGAAGGTTAGTGGCTAAAAATATCAAGGCTATTCCAAGCGACGATCTCTCAACTCGGCTACGGCGTTGGTTTTCGCGCAGCAGCGTCAAGCGCTATGCCTAATGGTGTTGCCGGCCGGCGTTCGGTCGACGCTCGTTTCAGAATCTCCAACATGCGAGGCGGAGTACGTGGCCGCGGCCGCCCCGGGAGACCCGGTGGAATGTTCAAGCCGAAAGTTTTTGTCCCGCACCTTCCTTTCGACTTCTACGTTGTAAGTATCGAAAACTGTGCTATCTTTGCAATGGATGACTATCTCTGCTAGGCTTCTTCTTCATATCTGAGCCTGGTTGGGCGGCAGAGAAAAGCTCACCGGAAAAAAAGCTCACTGCCAAAGCGCAGATCCGGAGAAAACCTTACCGGCCATTGAGCGGATCCGAAAAAAAAAAGCAAAAAAAACTCGCGCGTCTTTTTTAAAATTTTTTTCTTAGCTTAGCGAATCGGGCACCACACAAGCAATTTAACACAATTTTAATTCGTCACTTCGTTAACCCATTCCCTACCGCGCGCGTCGTGCAATACCGGGCCGTCCGTATCGCACATTTCCCCCCTAAAACAGGGCCACACTAGGCATGACTGTTTTAGCTTGTATAGTAAGCTTTTACAGTAAAACTCGGTGCAGAAAACATGAAAACATGTTTATTTACATGCTTAAGTGGTTCGTTTAAGTCTTTAAATTAATAAGCCCTCACAGATTCTTCCTCGTATGAAGGATCTCGAAGCACTCCATCCTCAATCGCTTAGGCGTCGTACAACCAGTGCACTCTTGTCGTGATTCAAGCTCCGAAAGGCTGTCGGAAATGCTTCCGTCGTCGACAGAAGGCTCACCAGACGTCCCATGAACATCGCTGTTGAAGAGGATATATATGATTTCATCATCAGAAAGGCCACACCGCACACTGGACGCTGCCATCTTCTCCAAGCAGGCAGCGATCGAGCGGGAAAGACGACACACAAAAGAAAAAGCTCAAGCAAACACAGCGGACAGAATGACCCTTGCAATGTGTTGGCAATGTATCTAACCGCACTACCCCAAGTCTACATTGTGTGGCATCTATGAATGGCTCTTTAAAACAGAAATTCATGCAGACCGGTGAATCGCCAGCTTTGGCAATATGGCCCCTGATGGCACACCCAGCGATTCGCCGGCTTGGGTAGCGAAAGGGTTAAAAATAGGTAGTGTCTAGAGTACCATCAGACGGCACTCTTGCAGAGAGTTCAAGTGCTGTCCTACGGCACTCCACTCACGGCTTCAAGTGCCGTCCGAAAGTCTTGTATAAAGCGAATTGTCTAAACAAATTTTTGAAGATGTAGCCTAGCTTAGTGGTAAGATGTTACGCAAGCGGTCCCAAGTTCAGTCCACAGTGCCGGCTTTTTTTTTTTTCTTTCTCGAACTATTTGTTCTGTTGAGGCGCTTGGCAATATTTACAACATTTCTTTTTTACAGTTAACACTAAAAGAAAAAAAATTGAATGTTGTTGATGAAACTTTGTTGAACAAAATGGTATAGGACTTCCTTTCCGGAGGTGCATGGGGGCCGGCAAGGCTTGGGTTGCCGGCTGGACTCCACGGAGTGGCGTGTATGACGGGGCCAAGTGGGTTAATAGTTTTGTAGTTGGCAGTCGCATACTGTCGCCGTGAAGCAGCGTAAACGCAGGCGGGGGGGTGTGTTAACGAGCTCCCCAGTGATACACGCGCCGTCCGACTCTCTTTCGGACGGCACTTGTTGGCGCAAGTGGAGTGCCGTCCGACGGCACTGTAGACACAGCCTTAAAAATAATTAGTAAAGCTGCACACGCGCTTGTGCAACTCGACCGGAAATGGCTGTACGCACGACTTGAAACTCGCATAAAACGAATGGGTACAAAGGTGTCTGCTTCCTACGTCGCAGACCCTGGTTCTATCTACAGCGTCAGCTTAATTTTTTTTTCCTCACATTTTTTTTTGGTGGGGGGGGGGGGGGGGCATTAGGCGTATATTTACGACATTTCTTTTTTATTATTAACACTGAAAAAAAAAAAAAAGAATGTTGCTGATGAAACTTCGCTGAACTAAATGGTATGGGACTCCCTTTCTGGAGGTGTAGTGGTGGACAGAGGAAGCCTTGTTTGCCGGCTGGACGCTGCGAAGCGGTGTGTACAGTTTTGTAATGAGCTCCGACACCGACTGTCGGTGACACAGTCTTTTTTTTACTTATAAAGCTAGTTGCGAGAACAGCTTCGTCTTCTCGTGTTTGTTGTCTTCATTCCGTCTTCGTCATGTGAGCATTTTTTATCACATATAACGTTTACCAACTTGCCCAATTCGCTACCTTACAGAAGACTAGTTCTTATACAGGTCACGAGTAACAACGGTGACAATATGTAGCTCTGAAGGTCATGAGTGATTCGCCATAGAAGGGCACTATCGCGCAAAGGCAACAGGGAAAATTCAGCACGAACGCTTAGAAAACATGCATGTCCGTGGAAGAAAGAAATCTTGATAAAAGCTTAAAAGTGAATTTCAGGCACCGCATTGTTGCGCATACACTTTTGGATTTTTGGCATTTACAGTTTTGCTTTTTAGGTTTAGGCAGACATTATTATGTTTTTAAACTCTTTCTGATTTTCAAGTTGAAAAAGTTTTCAGTTAGGCTTTCATTGCCTAGAGAGTAAAAAAAAAAAAACAAAAAAAAACATTGGCTTACAATTAATAATTTGGGAGCAATATGCCCAATAAGCTTAACAAACATTACAGAAAAAGGGACATTTTCCTTTTTAGAAAACCAACAAATCTTGATTATAATAAATTGATGTATGTTACGCATGATCCGACAACCTCCATTTCAAAAGAAGAAAAATTGGTGAGCTTTTTTCCACATACGCTCAATGGCCGGTGAGCTTTTCTCTGCATCCACCAGTTTTGCGGTGAGCTTTGCTCCGGGATTCCGCCTGATCAAACGACACCTTTGGACAAAAAGGAAAATTAAAGGCATCCCTTGAATGCATTTGCCTCAACTTTTAGGGTTCCTACCAACGGAAGAAAGCGTTCAAAACATTACATTCTTAAAAAAACTTAGTCAGGACGCAGTTGTCATGGCATATGAATCAAACATTTTGAGGTATTGCATGTTCGGGATTTATGTTGCTTCATTGCTTGCTTATGCTTACTCGTTCGTTCTGACCCCTCGTTCCAAATGTATCTTATAATTTTTAAACGCCCGGTTGGACACAATCTACAGGGTTTTTAACTGAGAAAAGCAAATCAGGTTTCTTGCTCCACGATGTCCTCAGACATGGCACGACTGTAGCTCTAAGCATTGGGATAGGATACTGAAGAGTGTGGCATCTGGTAGCAGGTGCAGCGCTTCTGTTTTCCACCGATGTAGCAGGTATAAGGGCTCCCAGGTTTGGGGTAACCTGGAATACCTAGAAAATTTAGACTGACTTAGATGGATGAAGCTCTGGGGTGCAGCAAAAAAAGTTTAAAGGCTTGACAGTTTCAATGTCCCATTTTCTCTAGTCGGAGCAACTGTTCCAGAGGGTGAAACCAGCCCCCGATGACAGCGCATTGACTCAAGTTAGTATTTCTCCCGTTTCCCGCACTACTTACTGTAGCTTTGCTACAAGCGATCCTTATGTTTCAACTGATTTTTCAGGCTCTCCTCAAGAAGAATCAGGATTTAACACCGACATCTGCAGAACAGACAGCCATTTTGAACTTGGTCACAAAGATCCAAGCAGTTCTTGACAACCTCACCGTGGCTCCTGGAAGCTTTGAAGCTTGTGTAAGTAACTCTTATGCCAAATGCTGACTCACAAGTGGGTATGCATGGTCACATTTTGAACACAATGTGCTTGAATAGTTTTACAATCCACTTTTGGCAGAAGACTTGCTGCCCTCTAAAAAATTGCCATGCTCGGTTATGTGTGGAGCGTGGGTTATGTGCTATCTAACTCGGCCTGATCGTGCAAAGAATGGTTTTGCTGACGCCATAGCAGCTTCCAGTATGATCAAGCTAGCTCCAAGAGTGGGTAGGCCGTAGCAAGAAACATCTAGGCGCGATGTGCTTTGAAGTGTATTGTAGAACACAGAAAAACAATAATGTGCTGAGCCACAGTGGTGCTGCACTTCCTTTCACACATTCTTTCTCACGCCAGTTTAACGTCCTGGGCCGAGGTAACTGGTATCTTCCTGTTGCTGCTCGGTTTTTTCTTCAGCTATTTTTGTTCAGGACTGTGCGCTTCAAACCTAGGTAGTGGAGAAATTTAGCAAATTCAAGAGTGTTGGAACCATGCCTTGCACTATTTGTGAAGTTTGCAGCTCTTTGGGCCTTAGTTCGAATCTCGCAAGCTTTTGGTCGGTATGGGAAAATGTTCCCATACTGACCATATTCATACCTATGCTGTTCTTATCCCGTCACAGACGGGATAAAAACAGCAGGGCATCTCTTTCGAATGCCCTGCCTCCAGCACGTGCTCTTTGTGTGTATGCTCAAAGCACATGAGGTGTGTCTTAAGTTTTCTTGAAGGTAAAAAGCTTGTGCTGTACAAGGGGCAGTTGAGAGTCCTCTCTTCTGTTCTTATCCTATCAGTGACTGTGGGAAGACCTGCAAATGGGGGAACAAAATAAGCACTATTATTTGCAGCCTCTACAGTTCATGAAGAAATTGCAATATTGGTTCTGTTTATACTGTTGAGGTCACGAAAAAATAATGTGGCATAATTCATATTGAATTGCTATTTATAGACCTCTAATTTTACTCTTTTCTGCTGGTTAGCAATGCTTATCGGGTGTCGGTAGATCTCCATTGCAGCATGAGAGATTGTGGATTTACTTTTGCAGCAAATCGAAGAGGTGCGCCAAGTTGGGTCATTCAAGAAGGGAACCATGATGGTTGGAAACAATTCTGCAGATATTGTTGTGATCCTGAAGACTCTGCCAACAGGTACGTCTATCCTTCATTTATCTCAGTGATCATGAGAACTAGTGCAGCTGTTTGTTTCAATATAGCAGCAATGCTTAAGATAATAAGTTCTCATCTGGGGTATAAACACGTTAATCGGAATTGCTCCTCTAATTATGGTTGCTATTAAAATTAGTAGAAATGTTGCCATGAAGAAAAATATCACTGGCGTATATAAATTTGTTTCACTTCTCTTTGAGAGACCTAAGAGTAGACATATTGATCAATGAATTTTTAGGAATATTAGGTAATGCTTCAAGAGCATAGGTACATTTTTTTTTTAAATGTGGTGACCGTTATGATGTTTCTAGCCACGTGCTGCAAGCCCTTACTAAAAATTTACACAGTATGTAAAAAGACTAAGACTAGTGAAAAGAAGTAGAGAGAAGTAGTGCGGAACTTAAAACGAAACATTTGTTGGACAAAACACTAACCAAGCAAACTATATCCTGATGGGATCAACATGTGTTCAAAAACGCAATATCTTTTTGATTGTCTGGCTGAAGCAAATATCTTCCACCTCCTTTTTTATTACCAAGTCTTCGAAACAATTTTTTGACTGGTTTTACCTATGACATTTACAATGATCTTGAACTTGGGGTGACACTTGCAAACCACATAGTGTAGAGGTAGATATAAACTGTTTCACAAGCCAGAGGGATCTTGTCAGTGCCTCACTACACAGCTTTGCCATGCGACCAAAGCACTCAATGTAAAAAATAACTTCTTTTTACTTGGCTGGAGGCGCAGCAATGGAACGCATGCGCATGTGAAAATTCTTTGTAGACTGTTTCAGTAAAGGACTCCTGGTTGGTGCCATTTTCAGTGTTTGTTCGCATGGTGCTTGATTTGCTAGTTTTTCGAAGACAGGAACGTGCATGTGCTGAGCTGTGGATTTTGAAGCATAGAAAGGATGTATATTATAGTATTGTAGTGTATGTTGGGGTTAACTCATCTGCTCAAAGCAGGCAAATGTATGACAAAGAAAAAATATACATGAAAAAGAACATTACTACAAGAAACATACCATATTGATTTACATTCTTTTTTCTTGCTGCAGATATTTTTTTGGTCTGTACATGCTTTTTTTTTGCGACAGACTTACCTTGCAACCGAATGCACTTGCACCACCTGTAGGACAACCTCTGTGTGCCATGGTGGAACTATTTTTCGGGAGTGCCTGACACCCACGCCAGGACAGCTGCTTATTAATGACCACAGAATGATGTCCTCGCAGTTTTTTTTTTTTATTGCACCCGATAACCACTGGAGGCTCGTTGAGATCATACTCATGCACGACCAAACATCCGACTGATCGTACGGCGTGCCAGTCATGGTCTTGTGTGAATGCATACGACGCAGTGGTTGACAAGTGCTCGATTGGGTTCGGCCTTCTTTCTGACATGTCGTATGACCAGTCGGATGTTTGGTCGCGTGTGGGCAGGGATGGGCAAAATACATGCAAATATGTATCGAAATACAAATACAAAATACTTTGTCAAAATTGTATTTAATTACAAATCTAATTACATTTCTAAAAAAGCATTTAAGTACAAGATACAAATACAACTAAATGTATTTGGTCTGCTCCAAATACTTTTCCAAATACATTCCTCAGAATTTGCATCAGCGACTTCAGGGCACCTGCAACGGGTTTCTAAGTATCTCATTTTAATTTTGCATCGCACATTCGGAAGTTAGTGTGCGAGGCTCTAGTAACTTAATAGAAATATAATCACAAAAAAATGTAATCAGCTTGGACGTAATAGGTTAAAAAAAGTACAGAGCTTCAAGCAGCTTTTTTTGTCGATTACATTTTGGTATAGACCAACAAAGAACCGAGACTACCAAGATGCGCAGCACTAGCTAGATAATTTTTTTATTGGTGCAACTTGCACTAGTTCCGAAAATCTGGACGACCCGCGCATTTAGAATCTTCCAGGCAAAAATATGGATGGAAATCAGGCTGAAAAGCATGACAAGTAGTCACAGGCGCTTATTTAGCCAGTCTGCCTGTGAATGTAGATATCGTCACTATTCTTGCCCTGGACTAGCACCGTAATCACAAAGTCCCTAAACGCTTGTGCTTGATTGAGAGACACTGCATTCGGTGCAGAACGTACAGTGTGATTCGAGGAGACGCCAGGCTCTTTAAATCGACCGCAAAATTCGGTTTCTTAACCTAGCTTTTGAGTCGAAAAGATTGTCTGCGAAAGACGCCCGCCGCCGTATGCTCGTTCGTTGGCGACGTTCGTGGCGCTATCTCTTGTCTCCCGTGCGAAACGGCGCCGTGTTGTTTGAAGACCGGTGGCGTCGCTGCGTTTCCATAGGAGCTAAGCCTTTTTCTTTCTTTACTTTTTCCTCACCTAAGTTTGCTCTTTACAAATTTTACGGATCTGTGGGCAACGCTGCACAAAGTCGTAGCGCGATAGTTTAAGAAACCGATTTTTGTGGTCGATTTAAAGAGCCTGGCGTCTCCTTGAATCACCTGTAGTTTGCTTCCTGCTCTGGACAGTGACAATAAATTTGAGGGATGTATTTTCGCCCACAAAATTGTATTTAATTTAAATTTTATATGAAGTACCCAAGTTTTAGTATTTAAATACACACGTCAAATACATTACCCAATTTGTAATTAAATACAAATGCAAAATATACAAAGTATTTGAAATGCGTATTTCAAATACTTGTATTTGAAATACTGCCCATCCCTGCGTGTGGGTATGGCCTGACCGGGCCCTTAATGGTTATCACCTATGGGTGGCACGAAAAAGCTTCTGCGAGGATGCCATTCCACGGTCACCGAAAAGCTGGGAGCAGCTGTCCGGGCATGGGAGTGAGGCACTTTTAAAAGTGGTTACAGCAGGCCGTGAAGAGGCTGCAACACGGGTGGTGCTGGGGTATTTGGTTACAGGGGGGGCTGTGGAAAAGGGGGGGCACATGTACACACCTCTGAGTGGCCGGTATCTGCAGCAAAAAAATGAATTGTAAACCAATACGGTATGCTCCTCATATATTTTGAAGTTTTCTTTAATAAGTAATTTGGGTCTTGGGGCACAAGGTGAAGCGGTGCAAGCATTGGCCAACAAGGTGCTGGAAGAAGTGAAGGCTGCAGATCCTGCATTGAGTAAGTTGGGATGCATTTTATAATATAGAAAAGTGTGTCTTTTTCATGGTTCCCTTGTGCAATTTGTGTTTGACATTAGAGTGCTATGAACTATAATTGAAGCCAACTTCCCTGGGTAAAGCAATTGAGTTTATTTTGCACTATGTCAATAAGCCCTTTCCTAAACTCAGTCTGGCAGCATTGATCACTAGTATCAATATTGGAGTGTAGGTGTCTGTGTCACATTAAAGGAAGTTGATAAATCCTCGAATATTAGTGGCTATTGATCTAAATATCGGCATATTCAATTCTATCTTGGGAATGCATGCCCTCAAGCTGATAAAACAAGGCTTACATGCTCAAAAAGTCAGTACAATGGAAAGCATACATTGAATAGGAGTGCTGCCACAGTGTTTCCTTCAGGCTCTGTTTGAATCGGTTTGCCAGGATGTGCACGGGTGAGTGCACTTTGTGTCTTCAGACCGATTGTTTCTTTTGTCTCATCTAAACCGGAATGAGTCGAGCTCAAAATGGACGGTGAAGAATTATTATTGTCCGCGGTTCGACGTACGGAAGTGATGTCGCTCGATGAAATACAAAACTTTCATTGCAGCTACTGGAATGACTTTAATTGAGGAGTTTTCTTTTTTTCTTTTTTTCCCAAGATGAACCAAATCCAGAAACCTAAACTAAGCCAATTTCGGCTGAAATTCGTAGTTCTGCTGGAGGTCCATAGTTTCCAAAAGGTATTAATCTGAAATCAGTCATTTTATGCGAGAAAAACCAACGCAAAGGTTGCCGCAGCACAAGGCTCGAAGCTAGTCCGATAAGCACACACTCCTGTTTATCTTGGGTCTGCTTCACGTAGATTTCGCTCATTTAAAGAACAAAAAACTTTGATTGTTATTTGAGTTACGGATGACAATGGGTTTTCGGAGGGGCCTACGTTTTGACAGTGAAAAAGTGACACTCCTTTGGGCACTGTGTGCCTTCCCTGTGAAGAGATAAATAGCGAGCTACCCTAATAAAGGGGAATTCATACACACATTTGTTTTGTTTCTTTGCTCGCACAGAGGTGACCCAGCAGGTGACTGATGCCGGGTTCGACCTGAAGGGCCCCGATGGCGCAGTAGCCAAGATCCTCATCAGCACGGTGCCGCAGAATTTGCGCAAACTGGATCCGGAGCTGCACAGTAGGTGGTGGCTCGGGCGAGCCCGTCCAGCTCTCTCACGCGATGTCGACGGTTGAGAAAGTGGTCTTTGCATTGCGACAGTAGTTGTTGGGAGTACACTTCGAACAGACCGCTTTAAGCATCTGAATTTTGGGGGCTCTTGATGCAAAATTTACTTTTTTTCCCTCAATCAAATTGATGTCGCTATATTCTTAATAATACTTTGTGGCGGAAAGACTGTCTCTTCCAAATAGTACGCCCTGTCTCGCAAGATGTGTGCCACGCTACCAAGGGCACGAGAGCTTAGCTCTGATGGATGCTCTGTTTACACCACTATGGTCACTGACAGAATGAGAGCGGCAAGGTGTCTCTTTTGAACGCCCGTTTCACGGCACGCGCTTTGTGCCTTCCGTCGTGCTTTGCTTATGCGTGCTTGAGCTGCACGAGGCGCCCAAGCATCGTTGACGGTTGGAAGCTCGCATCGGGAAGTGGAACGGTCCAAGCTCTTCCCTGCCTTTCTCACCTTGTGAAGCACTCTGCAGAGCCACACGCTCCTGCCCAGGGCTCACACCAAGTCGCAAATATCTCTCGAGTTGGAGTTTAATTGAGCAACTAGGGGCGAAAGTTGGGAGATTGCCAGCATCGTTGAAAGAGCACCATCTTTGCGGACTGTTTTTTTACTACCAGCCATGTCGCGGTTGGCCTATCTTGTGAGGCGATGGTACCCTCCCAACAGACTACCGAGGCAAGCATGTCCATCCGAATATCTGGATTCTGCGACTCTGCATTAATGTTTTCGTGAAGCTCGCTTTGAGTACTGTGGCTCGTTTTCAGAGTGTCTGTTAGCTGGCTCCTTATCAGATGGATAAGGAGCCAGCTAACAGACACTCTGAAAACATTTTTTTATCTCGAAACATTGGGCACTTGTCACTCTCCCTTAGGCGCTGCAGTTATGCCCATCTGCAGTGGTACAGTCCTGGCTGATGATTGTCACTCTTGCACAGTAGTTGAGCATCTTGCCTTCGGAGACGAGGATGTGCAGTTCTACGGGGTGTATGTGTGTATCTTGTTTTTGACCATGCAGTGAGCCAGAAGCTTCTGCAGAACCACCTGACGGCCATCCGCCACTCACGCTGGTTCGAAGAGAACGCCCACCACTCGAGCATCAAGGTGCTGATCCGCATCCTGCGAGACCTGCGCAGCCGCTTTGAGGGTTTCCAGCCACTCACCCCATGGATTATCGATCTGCTGGTAATTGGAATGATAAGTCTTAATTGCTGGGCACAAAAAATATACTGGACTGCCTTCTCCAGGCTTTCTGCACTTTGACATTCTCCCAGAGGTCTCCAGACTGCCATTTCAGTAGTTTGCAAGATTGTCTATTTAACTGCACTGGCACTTATGTAATCTAAAGACATGTTACCATATGCTTATGTAATCTAAAGGCATGTTACCATATATAGTACTCGCATAATGAATGCACTTGCATAATGAACGCACTGGGTACCAATATTTGGACTTTCTTTTTCTCTTACGTAATGAACGCACTTCCAATTTTCGGCTCCGCAAGTCTCGAATTGCGTCCAATTTAGCTAGCCACCAAGTCAATTTTCTTTTGCCGCCTAGTGATCAGGCCAAGTCAAGCCAAGCCAAGCTGCTTTTGTAATGGCTGCAAACGGCCACAACTGTCTAGTTGCAGAAGTGATCAACTGTGAAACTGAGCGGCGAGCACACTTGACAAAGCTTGGGTAGAGGAATTGCCCAGCCCCAGACATTCTTTGCCTGTCGGATGCATTGATGTCAGCAAACACGTTGTCGTCTGTAGTCCGCTTTCGGACAGTGAGTGAAAGTGGTTAGGCCTAAGAATGATCACGTTGCGCTTCGTGCTGAATGAGCTTTGTAGGGCGCTTTTTCTTCAGCAAGAGGCATGCCAAAAGCACCCTAAAAAAGGTTTGCAATTTATAGAGCATGATTACTGTGGCGCACCCACGACCAGCCATGGGCGCACCTTTGTCAGCAGAGACGTGCCCAGACCCTGCCATGTCATATTGACACCTAAAATGACATTTGTGCAAAGGGTGTAAATGCAAAAATTTTACCCTGCAAATTTTACCCCCAAAATGGGTAAGTTTTTTTTGGAAAAAGTGTGTTCATTATGTGAGTAAATACAATATTTTTTTTAATAATGTGCAAATCACTCTGCCAGTGGGTTTGAATCTTTCTTCATGAAACGAGGAGAGTTCCAGAAAAAGCGAGGCTGCATCCTATTTGTCCATGTGCATTGTAAATCACATTAAGCAAAAATTAGAAAACGAATAATGCAGAATTGCATTTTTACTTAAGCCAACTCTGATTGCACGAGCGGCTCTTGAGTGTCGTGGAGGTCAGTGGAAGCTAGGAGAGTTGGCCCTAATGGCCAGCTGCAAACTCGTTCACCATGAACCAACTGGCGTGTTGGTGACACACTGAGTCACTCCACTCCCTCGCCTCAATCTGCGTTCCTGGTGTCATTGCAAGAAACAAAAAGAAGAAAAAAAAGTGACTGGGCAATGTTTCAAGAAGATGCTATGGCCTTTCAGGAAGGTAGATTTTTTTCTTAATTAGTCTACTGTAGTTCTTTTAACTTCATACGCCATAGATGTAATTGCTCCAGGGTCTTAAACAACATAGTAAACGGAATTTCTAACTGGCAGTAAGCCTGTGCTGAGTTTCGCATTCATATCTGTACAGCTCATTCTTTACTGTTAGTTTCTGAAAGGAGCAAGAGGCAAACAGTGCAAAGATTCCAGATGCTTCTTTTTCTTTGTTTGTGTATTCCCAGGCCCACTATGCCATCATGCACCACCCAAGCAGGCAACCACAGGCCATCAACATTGCCTTCAGGCAAGCTCTTTCGATTTTGCTTAATTATTGCTTTCACGCGATGGAGACAACCATTTCATGTTAGGGTTCTTTGTTATTAATCAGTTTTATTGTGCAAAAGCTTTGGGGGGTTAAAATACATGGTACTGGGTTCAAAGGACATTTGGTAGGTAAGGCTTCTCGTAGTAGTACAGTGTGTCCCTGAAAAAATTACAAGTTCTTTTACCGCTAAAAAAAAAAAAAGAAAACCATTTCTGGATGCTCAGATTCTGCCCACCAGATGCCGAAGTTTCAGAGCTTGCCATTATCTTATTAAAAAGTTATAAGTAATTTTCTGACATTATTAATGGGAAAATGTGGCCCATTCTCAGTATGCACCATTCATCTCTACGTAGTAATCATGGGCTTCTTCAACTGCAATATTACCGTAGAAAATCTTTTTAAAAATTGCTCCCAACTTTTTAATTGGATAATGGCAAGCTCCAAAACTGGTCCCAATTGCTAGAGCTTCATTTGGGCAGGGACTGAGTGTTTGGCAATGCGCGGGGTGTTTTTGTGCGGCATGTCTGAAGTGGGGCGGCACCCTGCAGGCGAGTGCTGCAGCTGCTGGCGGCGGGCCTGTTCCTGCCGGGGTCGGCCGGTATCCCGGACCCCTGCGAGGGCGGCACCTTCAGGGTGCACACCATCATGAGCCTGGAGCAGCAGGTAAGCCCCTGGCCCCCCACTTACCTTTAGCAGCAGCAGGTCTTGACCCAAGGGCCCCTTGTTGGAAATTAGTGTTTTAAGTATTTTTTTTTCTGCAATTGATAAGATGAAACGGGCTACAAGAGAGCTTCGGGATTTTGGCAGTCAATTTTTTGGGGTCAGCCGCGGATGATTGTAAAGTATGAAACATCTGGCAGTTACAAACCAAAGAAAAAGGTAACAACTTGTAGCAGTGACTTTAATAAGAAGCTCCACATACCATAATTTGTGTGGCAGTTAACTCGATAATTTGACGTTCATGGCGGTGGCAAAACGCTTTGAATTAGCTGTACTTCGAAATAAAAAATAAAAACAACACTGCAACCATTTGTTTCTTATTCTCTACTCACTGGGAGAAGTTGATTTTTGCTTTCCTCTGCTTACGGAGACATGCAGCATTTCGCTAACGAAGACTCATAGTATTAACTATGCTGTGCAGATTGCAAACCTTTCTTAGAGCACATTGAGCAGTTTGATTGCCAAAGAAAACACAAAATTGCAGTCTGTGGTGTCCCAGCAGTTTCCGTGTTGGTTTCACTTGGCCACCTGGCATGGAAAGTGACGTGATTGTTCTTAAGGCCCGTTCACACTCTTGCGACCGAGTAAGACCGAGAGAGACCAGACCGGTTTTTAAGTCTCTTGTGATGTCTTAGGACCAGCTCGGCTGCACCGCATCCGGTCCTAAGACATCGCAAGAGGCTTAAAAACCGATCTGGTCTCTCTCGGTCTTACTCGGTTGCATATATGTGAACAGCGCTTCATGCCTAATCACTTGCACAACGTCACAGTCCGAAAGCGAACCACAGATCGCGGCATGTTTGTCGACATCAATATATTTAATGAACAAAACATCTCGTACCAGTGGCCTCAAACCAAGCTCTGTTAACCATACGTGCCGCGTGGCTTTGCTCGCTTCCGTAATTTTGTAAAGACGCTACAATTCGTGCTCCCGCAGTTGTAATTGCTTGGCTTGACTTGGTTTGGCATGGCTTGGCTGCTTAATTGGCTTAGTCGTGCTGCACTGCTTTAGTTGCCTTCTCCCGACCTCGCACACAGTAGATAAAAGCGATAAAGTGTGCTAGTGTATGATTTAAGCATGGTCTCACGAGACATTTTCATGTTCCCAGAGTTGTTGTACTTCTCGAGCACAGAAAAAAGTTCTATAAATTAACCAGTCCCAGAGGTTCAACTTCAAATTACCGCACATTTTGTTTTCTCAAAGACTCGTCTGTGTAATTGCCGGGATGCACCCCTGGTTTGAACTAACCGAAGATTCAAATGAAGCGACTTAGAATTACAGAAAGTTGACTGTATGTGATTTGTGGTTGAAAGGTGGTTCTAGATTGCCCTGAACAATTCTCAAAATATTTTTTATGCATACAATCCCGCTGTAAGGATGAGTCTCCTCAAAGCCCAAAGCCTAACCCTGCTCGTTGGGTGACAGTGACTTTATGACCTCTTTCTCTGCGGCTTGCAAGGAGGAAAGCCAGTGCAGTGGGGAGGATTACAAACAGAACCAGAAAGCGGAAAACAAACAGCGCAAGGACAAGGACAGAGTAGAAGGCGGTAGACACACACAGCGCTGTGTGTGTCTACCGCCTTCTACCCTCTCCTTGTCCTTGCGCTGTTTGTTTTCCGCTAATATGAATGACCAACTAGCCCAATCGTCAACACTACAGAACCAGAAAGCTGCCCCCTTGGCAGAATGCTTGTCTAGAGGGATTATAGTAGTGTAGAAGCTGTCCGCAGTGCTGTCGAGCCTCCCATTAGTTACTACAGGCAGGTTTAATCTGCCGTGTCTGCTCATTCTATGCCTGTTTTTCACTTCCCGACAGGATCTGGTGTGCCTGACTGCGCAGAACTTGCTGCGCATCCTGTCTCACGGGGGTTACAAGAGCGTCCTCGGCATTGGTGGGCCGCAGAGTAAGGACTTGCACATGCCAGAAGCTGGCGTGTTTCTGAGGAGCGGAAGTGGAAGTTTCAGTTACCGTATTTTCCAGTGTATAAGACGCAAGTTTCTAAGTAAAAGTTAGTATATAAGATGCTCCTGTGTATAAGGCGCACCGCCAAAAATTGTGGGAAAAAAAGTGTGTCTTATACACTAAAAAATATGGTACTCAAAAAGTTCTTGAAATGGTTGCCAGACATCCGCCAAAGTTGAGATACCGAAGCCGGTTATGCTGGGAATGCACAACTGAAGTGGTTTTTACTTGTTTAGTTGTCGGTTTGTTTGTTCATTGGGAATTTGTTGAATGCAGTTTTTAGATATTGCTTCATTTTGAAAGAGAGTGGGTTTCAGTAGAACTATGTTAGCCATGAATTGCTCTGAACTCTCAAGACTGGTGGAGGGGTCCTGGGATCGAGTCGCCTAGAGGGCGCGAGTTGCGCTCCATTTCAGGTGGAAGCCAACTTATTCTTCCATAATCTTCTCCGCCTTGGGGACTTCCCCTGTATATAATTTTATCAAAACAAGAGTTTTGGTTGAGCATGATTAAACTGGTAATCAGTTTGTGAACTGTCTTAATTTAACAGGCACAAGGATGCGGTCTTTGATCTCAGAATGTCAAGTGGGGCGATTCTTTAGATAATATACTATTGTGCTGTAGTACTCTCTTGGTATTAAATGTAGAAATTTGTTGATTTTGTTGCAGAGATAGAGACGGAAACCACTGTGCTGGAAGGTGTGGTGATTACGCCCCTGACCAAGGCATACGAAAAGCTCCCAGAGAAAAAAGAGGACGAAGAGATGGATCAGGAGGAAGAGGACACCATGGAAACTCAGGAGCAGCCCCAGTAATCAGCTCACTGGCTCAGGGGTACATTGGATTTTGTTCATTCTCATTGTCTTGTGCACTTCGAAATAAAACTCATCTCAAAAGTCTCCCGTTTTTTTTGTTTTGTTACTGGCATGAAAATACTGAAAGTGTGATGGTCATAGAGGTCCTGTTCAGTCAGTTTGTCCCCCTTCAAAACTACCGTATTTTCCGGTGTATAAGACACTCTTTTACCAAAATTTTCGGCGGTGCGTCTTATATACAATTTTTTACTTAGAAACTTGCGAAAAGTGGGGGGTGCGTTATACACCGGATAATATGGTACAGACTAAAGCTTTCCAACTCAAACCTGTTAGCTTGATCTACAATGAATGGTAGATTTGTTGGAAGATGTAAACAGGATGGCCCAAGAGCGATGAAGATCGGAGCGTTCTTCAGGCTTGCTGCCTTTACACTAATTAAAGCAATTAAATATTGTGTTCCGATTGCACACACGTTGCAGGTGTCTGCTTTTAGAGTGGAGCTGTTAAGAGCTAGGTTCTCCAGGATTGTGTCCACCAGCAAAGAAAGGACACCAAACTCTGGACAGCTACTGCCATCTATGAGCGACGGCGGCAACCTTTCTTCGGAGGATAAAGCGGGAGCGGAACGAGCGGTGGCCCGTGGGGGATGTGCGCAGCAGCGCGAATGGTTCCGCAACTGCCAGGAGGCCGCTATCGCCTAGAGTTCTACTGCGTCGAGCGCTTCAGATTCTATTGCGAAAGAAAAGCAGCAGCAGATTGCTCGCCCGGAAAGCCGCCGCTGCTCTTCCTTCTTCACCAGAGTGGAAAGGCTGAACGTTTTGTAGCTTGAGCTACACCTGCCAAAGGTTGAGCAGTTTCGCGCGGCTGTCAAAGAGCCGTGCTGCGCAAGCGCGAGGAGCAATGACGTCACACGGCGCACAGCTGGCGCGCCGGAGACGCCGCCGCCACCGCGCGCGCCTCGCCGGTCTGCGCATTCCAGAGGAGTGACGTCATAGCCGCGGCAGACGCACTGGTGCCGCTGCGTGCCCATCTGTGCGCGTCCGTTGCGCAGTAGCCAAATCTGACGCTGCACCGGAGCCGCTTGATAGCGCCTCTCATTTAGTGCGCATAAGCTTGGCATAAGCTCACGCTACGTATATCCTGGCATAGCCGAGTCGGCCGAGTTAAACCACCACAATTTTTTTCACTTACGCACTTATCAATCTTTGATTACTGTGTTCGGCGAATTGAAAATCCAGATGTTGGAAAACCTGGTAGAATGAATGTACGAGATTGGGTGAAATTCAGGAAATTTAAATGATGAAATCAGTGAAATAAACTATGAGTACTTATTTTTTACCATCCAATGAAATGGGTGAAAAGTAAGGCCATCTATCCGCCAAAAATGAAAGCTTTCAAACAAAATAAACTAACGAACGTCACATCTGTCTATTCTGTCGCCGCGCCGCCGCGCCAACGAGGTTGCGCCGCGCCCACGCTACCGTTTGACTACCGGACGATCGTGAAATTTTAATGAATGTCGCGTAAAAAAACACACACAAAAAAACAATATATTCACGGGAAAAACTAACATTGGCGCTGGCATGGCTGGTGTGGTCGGAAGGTGTGGAGACATGTGCCCTCGACGTGAGCGGGAATGGTAAGCAAATGTTCGCATTAAACTCGTGCTGATGGATTCGTGCAAAATAACATTGAAACACGCGCCAAAATGAATACAGTGTGGAGCTCACATCGAGGCTCCTAAAAAGCACTAGGAAAAGTAAAAGCGAGGTGTGAAGCTTGAGGGAAGTTGTGCATTTTGTTTAGCTTTGGTTTCTGGTCAATCGATCCTCAACAATGATAAATTCGTCTGACGCAGGCGCGAGAAAGAACGACTTCTGGACCCCTTCGAGATAGTTCCCGGCACCGAAAAACAAGCACGGTACGGTCTTATCCAGAATATATGCACGTTGATGTTCATGACACGGTGTCCATTTGTGTGCTGACAGACCGAAAGCTGATCGAGATAGGGCCGTCAAGCAGTTTGCAAGGTCAGCGGCTGGGCAGAGACAGGCCAGTCCTGATGAACTGAGGCCACCCGACGTTCTCCTGAGAACCACATCGTACCTTCTACGCACGTAAGCTTTCCAGCTACTACTGCTACTCGTAAGCGAGACCTTACTAAACGAGCAGAAAGGGTACTGCTCGTTTAACCAGTTACAACAGCTGCAACACAGAAATCCAATAGATAAATCTTTTTTTCAAGCTTATTTTTTTTGGGTGGTCAAAGACCAGAGATAATATAGTAAGGGTGTAGGCGAGCTGGTGAATGTTGACCATGTTGAATAAACCTGAGACTGGGGCAGAAATGAACATATAGGTCGAAGGAACAGGAAAGGACAGGACTACGTCTCGAACTCAGCTCGGATTTTAAACTCAGTAGATTGACGCCATTTCAAACAGGTGCGAATAACTGAAAAAACAAAAAAAACAAAAAAAAAAAAAAAACATTGAGAAAAATTGGTAAATTGCTAGAGCGGTGTTGTGTATGGAGCAGAGGTCGGCATTTTAGGTCGCCCTCACTCACCCTCACAGCCACACTCACCTAAGCCCCTCACTCACCCTCACCCTCACAGCTACACTCACCTTCAGCCCCTCACTCACCCTCACCCTCACAGTCACACTCACCTTCAGCCCTTCACTCACCCTCACTGAACCTCACGGCCCTCACGCGCTCACCGCCCTCACGGCCCTCACACCAATCACTGCCCTCACGCCCCTCACCGCCTTCACTGCCCTCACGCCCTTCACTCACTCATGGCCCTCACGCCACTCACCGCCCTCACCGCCCTCACTGCCCTCACCGCCCTCACCGCCCTCACGGCCCCCAGGCCACTCACCGCCCTCACGCCACTCACCGCCCTCACGCCACTCACCGCCCTCACGCCACTCACCGCCCTCACGTCCCTCACGCCCCTCACCGCCCTTGCGGCCCTCACACCCCTCACACACTCATGGCCCTCATGCCACTCAGGCCAGCTTCAGATGGGGCAATTTCGCCCAGAAACTTTACGTCGCAACACCAGCAACACGGGCCGCCCGCGATCACACGCAGCAACCAATTGCTGCAATTTGCCATCGTCATCATAAAATTTTATTTTTCTTGCACTATTTAGACACAATTACGGGTTATAAACATGTTTTTATGCATTTAAATCTCGTTAAGAATACTAATGCACCTTTCTGAAGCAGTTTATTTCCAAAAAAACGATCGATTTCAAACCAGAACCAAGTCTTTCGGTGTCATCATCACCGGCACGAGGTATCACGTGAAAATTTTGCGTCCCTGATTGGATGCAGCCGCTTCAAACGTATTCGAATTGCTCCGAGTTGCTTGCTTATTTCGAGCCTGACCCGATCTCAGCAATTCGTGTCGATCTAGGGAAAGCTAGAGAACAACCCGCCATTAACACCAAAATTGCTGAGAAAGATGCTCGATCTGAAAGGGGCCTCACGCACTCACCGCCCTCACGCACTCATGGCCCTCACACCACCTCATGCACTCACTGCCCTCACGGCCCTCACGCCCCTCACGCCCCTCACGCACTCATGGCCCTCACTGCCCTCACCGCCCTCATGGCCCTCATGGCCCTCACCGCCCTCACCGCCCTCACGGCCCTCACGGCCCTCACCGCCCTCACAGCCCTCACAGCCCTCACAGCCCTCATGGCCCTCACTCACCCTCACACTCGTGAATATTCCTGGTTCAGAAACTCACTCACCCACACCTCACCTGTGAAGATGAGGGTGAGAGAGGGTGAGTGAGGGCCCTGATGAGTGAGGTTTGCCGAGGTATGGTATGGAGATACCAGTGGAATGCGGGTTTAAGTATGTAGGACAGACATGGTGATGCATCAACGACAGATTGAGTGAACATAAAAGAAATGTGAAGAACAGTGTACCGAACTCGGAAATTGCAAAACATTTCCACGAATGTAACAACTGCACTGCGATTTTATCGGAGACAGGAATCATTCACAAGGAGAGGAATGATGCAAAAAGACCAGTAAAGGAGACGGTGCGGATAAGATCTCTAGGTAATTGCATAAGTCCGGCTTCGTTACAGTTCAATAAAAATTCCAAAAATTCTTTATAAATATAATTTTTACTTTTTTTTTATTTTTTTATTGGGATGTGTGTACTGTACATCTTTGCCCCATTTTAGATTCAATGTGTGTCATCCCTTCATCGCTGGCATAAAGACTTTTTTTTTTTTGTGAACTTTTGTTAGAATAGATAATGTACTGATCCTTTTGTTAAATTTTGGGGGAGGTTGTAGAGTTATCTTTGTTAATCGGCATGAAGGGCCGTTCATAGTACTACTCTGTGTATTGGAGGGTTTGGCGTTTGGACTGTTTAGAAGTTGTCTCTTCGTGTTGGTGGTGGCTGATTGAGGGCTATATAAGGAGGCCGACTGAATAAACCTGGTAGCCGAGTTTGAGACGTCGTCCTTTCCTTTTTTGTTCCTTTGACTTGTATGTTCACTTCCGCCCCAGTCTCAGGTTTATTCAACATGGCCAAAGACCGATTGCAAGTCGCATTAAATTATATAAAAATGTTCCAAATATCCCCATCGAGTTGTGTTGGACCCCGGGCCTTATCATAAGGCAGTGGCGTAGTCAGGGGGGAGGCTTATAAAGCTTCACCTCCCCCCTCCCCTCCCCCCCCTCCCCCCCCTTCCCCCCTCCCCCCCGCCTCCCCAGAAAAAATTCCTGGATACACCACTGACATAAGGGATGTGTTCCAAATCTTACCCAAATGAATCCGAGTTACCCTGGCGGGTCGTGTCACGTGACAACACAGATTGAAAACGTTGGACGCGGGTAGGTTTTAGAACGCCAAGGTATACAAAACCCCTACTTACCCTGGAGTAGGATCGAGTAACTTTTGGAATACGCCCAGGGCCATACAATTTGGGTCCCTACAGTTTCGTCAAAACTCGTTTCGTGGACAACTTTTTATGGACACTCGTTATGCGAATTGCACGCTGCAGGGACATTTCGTCGTGCGTTTATCACTGGGGTTAACCGATCCGCCTCATCCGCCCCTCCCCAAACACGAAAATGGTACTGCTGCATGAATGTGATAGTACTAAACCGAGGACAGCACCCGTGTGTGCACGTGGCCTTTGTTACTCTGCTGCACGTGCATTGCGGTATCAGCTATGCCCCCATGCTGTTGATGTCTCTGTGACCCGACCTTCCGAACTAATAAACACGGTTTGCTGTTCCTCTGGAATGTCACTCAATACACTACAGGTACATGCTAAAGCCCTCGGATATACTTAGGGTTTGGCGTTTTCGGTTTTTATTATTTTGAAATTCGGCATACTTTTTTAGATTTTTATTCCAAACAAAAGTTTTCAGTTTATTGCGGCGAATATTTGTGGACTTATAAACTTCTCGGTTCTTTTTTTTTTTTATTTTACGAAAACTAGTATGCTGACGAAAATGCAATATTTAGAAGCGTTTATTTAAAATGTATAGTGCAGGGGTGGCCAAGCTGTGGCTTGGCCACCCCTGCACTATACATTGGGGAAGAGCTCACGGTCACACGAGCTCTTCCCCAAGAAGAGAAATGGAACTTGTTTTAAATTGGAAGACAGGTTGCGGTTTGGTAGTTGTGTGCTACTGCTACCTTACTTGCAGTTGGACTACTTTTGAATAGGATAGATTGAAAGTGGTTCGAGTATCGTTTGTTGCTCTAGACAGTAGTTTGCCCCCCCCCCAGCGGCTCTTGGAAGTTTCGTGGTTTTGTTTGCGGCTCTTACGCCAGATCAACCTGGCCACCCCTGGTATAGTGATTGAACTAGGTACTGATTTTATTTGTTGCTGTCTGTGGCAGCCGACGCGACCTGTTCTGCAAGACGCACTGGGGCTCTATCTTGATCTGACATTATCGTCATTTGCTTGTGTTTGTACACAGGACGAACATGAGTTTCACTACCATTTTGGAGTGAAACTATCAAAATCCAGAAATTTGCAAGCATTGTACTCAGTGCGTTTTCCCCCCATTTTCACGACTGCGAGAGGTGGTAAACTCGCACCGACCACAGAAGCGACAATAAAACAATCATATTTATGCCCTCCTCTAGTAGACGGAAGCTAGGGGTGTTAAAAAATGTGCAGCATTTACGGACGCCCTTGGTTTTTATTGTGCAGTTCACGATTAAACTCTCTTTGAACAAAGAATTTGGCACACAAATTGCTATCAGGTGAAAAAATTAGATTTCGTCCTGAAACCCCCTGCGCCCCCGGAGCTTTTGTTGAAAGTTGAACCGATCTTTGAGACGAGCTGAAAACTGCGAAAGGAAGTGGTCATCCAGTCAGTAATGAGTCGCATTCCCCCTCCCCCCCCCTCCAAACGCCCTCGAAAATACTTATTTGGTTTAAGCCGAAAACGCTGAACTAGTTCCTTGAGAATCTGCTCATTTCAGTCATATCACACTGCATTTTGTTTATTAATTTCCATGAATTGTATTTTGCTTTTGCTTGGCCACAAATTAATGTTGCACACTGTAACTTTAAAGAGCTGTCACATTTTCTATAGTTAGCGACAGGATGGTAATGGTAGGGAGATCTCTCGGTTGCCCTGCCTCCAGCGTGAGCTTCCTAGCTTCGACTACACTTTGACGTCTTGCAAAGTTGGAGTGTGCACGTGCACCCAATGCACGATGGAAGGCAGCGAGTGCATGCTAGATGCCCTGCCATTCTCATCTTGTAGGTAACTTTTATGACCAGAGCAAACAAACTGGTGCGTCTGTTGTCGGACAGGATTGTGCCATCCAAGGAAGCCAGCTGGAGCAGCATCTACCACTTCGTCTGGGATCGCCTGTGGTCGGTGCGTCAGGACATGACCGTGCAGGGCATTCGTGGGACAACGTGTATCACTGTCCTCGAGCAGGCAGTCCGCTTCTACGTCTATGCCTCTTTCAGGTGTGCTTGCAATCTTAATTTTTATGTTACTGATTTATTAAACATAGACTGGGCTTGTCAGGGTGTCTGCCAACCTATAGCACAACCTAGAACACCTGTAATCGTCAGGAAAACCCTTCGCAGCCGGTGGCCACTTTGGAGCTGTAGGTGTTGCACAATCAGACTTGCACACATTACTAAAAAAGAAGTAAGAAATTACATTTACAATTACTCATGGTAAATTATAACTAATTACAGTTAGAATTACACTTCTATAAAAGTAATTGACCGTTACTTAAAAAAGTAATCCGTTACTTTCGTGGCGTTACTTTCAACCTTACTCTCCTAAGGTAAGAAACAAAACGCAGCTGTTATGGAGGCGCTTATTGTGGCCGACACTCGCGCTTCTGTGACCTTGAGCAGCATCTGGCTTTCAAAAGTTTGATCTGACATCTTGCCTCGTTTCTATGTAAAAATGTCCACCCCGCTGAACAACTTTTTAATCCACTCTTTACCAAGTGGGTGCTGCCACCTGGACACGCTATTGGGTTCTCGATTGAGTGGTTAGAAAACAGTGCGATTACAAGACGCCTCCAGTTTATTCCCGACGCCCAAAATGTCAGCTAGCTCATGTTGGCGTTGTGACCTAGATACGGCTAGTGTGGATTACCTTCATCCCTGAAGTTTATACAAGGAAATCACCTTCTCCCTCTACCTCTTGGCCCAAAGGAAGCAAAGAAGGATTGAAGGGACAAAAAGAAAAGGCACGCAGTGATCCCTTGCACCAGCTCTTACCCTTACACTAGCTTGTGCGCACTTTGACCATTCTCTTTTTTTTTCTTTTGTTCATTGGAAGGAATTATTTTGACTTTGGGTGTTTGCTTAATGGCGGATTCCACTGGTCGTTTTGGAGCGCACCTATTCCTTTTCTGGAGCGCCTTTTCTGGAGCGCACCTATTTCACTGGGCAATCGGGATCAAAATGGACGTGTTCCACCCGTCGTTTTGGACCAGCTCCCACTCCAGATCTCGACCCGGATCCGAGAAAAGTTGCTCCATCGATTTCGGCGGATTTCTCGCCCCGGAAAAAATAGTAATGGCTGCTCGCGAAGTGCCGCCCGCTTTCAGACCTGTTCACACATACAGCGGAGCGCAATAAGCACAGCGCTGACTTTGCGCTAAGCTCGTGCCGACGGGAGTGTTCATCAGCTTTGTATTGCACCGTCAAAATTGTTGCTCATGGCAGACGATAAGTAGCTGATGGCACGTGAATAGCGCTGCATCAGCGCTTCACTGCATGTTAGAACTGGCCTTTACTTCTGCTGCTTCTTGATGACAGTTCGTCTTCAAGTTGCTCGTGCAGCTCCTCCAACAGCAGTGGCTCGAGCAGTAGCGACGACGAGGATTGCTTTTATGTTCCGCACAAATTTGACTGCCCTTTCGGACCTCTGCAGAAGTGGCCGAAAATCTAGACATACTTGGACACCGTTCACGAGTATTCCGATGAAGACGCAAGTGGGATACACTTACGCACATCGCTTATCGATATGCAACTTTCACGTCATGATTAACTTCGCTCGTGTGTTGAACATGTGTTGTTAGCGCTGCCATTGCGAAAACTGCAAAAACATGCTTTGAGATGGTTTGTCGCCCAGAGTTATAAAATTGTGCTCATTTGTTGTGTCTCACTACTTAAAAATTATTTTTTGTAAATCCCTAGAACAAAGTGTGCTCCCAGGTCAGTGGAAGGTGGTGTGCATTACGCCAATCCATAAGCACGGATCAGAACACAAAGTGGAGAATTATTGCCCCATCTCACTGAGCTGCACATGTTGTAAGATTTTAGAGCACATTATTTATATCAATGGTGTGAGGCATTTCAATACAAATAGTTATTTCTCTTTTACCCAAGTTGGTTTTAGAAAGGGCCTCTCATGCGTCACACAGCTCGTAGAACTTTATCATGACTTGGTTTCAACGGTTCAGGGGGAGGAGAAATGCATGCCATTGTTCTTGATTTGTGCAAGGCTTTCGATAGAGTGTCTCACCCTTTGCTGCTACACAAACTGAGCTCCCTGAGCCTTGATGAAAAAATATACCATTGGATAGAAAATTACCTCTCTGGGAGAAAGCAGTGTGTCGTCGTAAACGGTGCAAGCTCAGACTTTGTTGATGTGACTTCTGGTGTGTTGCAGAGTCAGTCCTGGGACATTTTTTTATTTCTTTAGTTTATAAATGGACAGATCATCGACCATTAACTCTTCCATAAAGCTGTTTGCGGATGATTGAGTGGACATACAAGTCTGCGCACAAGGACCCGGATGACTTCCTTTTGAGATAACTTCATGAGAAAGTGAAGGGTCGTGCTTTTTCCTACTACGAGCTTCCTTTTCATAGTTCTTTTAAGGAGTTATAAATTACGAAGTTGATGATTAGAGAGACACTTGTTATCGTTCCTTTCCCAAGAGTTTGTAGTTTGAGTGCACACTGTAGTGTCATCTTTAATTGATTAAATTGAGACTTAAAGCTTTATGTTTGTCTTGCACTGGTCGTAAGCAGGCCATATACTTTCTGGCTTTAACCGGAAAACACCGACAAACATCCGCCGGTGTGGGAAATAAAAAAATCGGTTAAAACCAAAAAATATTGGTCTAAATATTTTAGTATAAGTGTCAGTTTTTTTTTCACCAAAAATTTCCTATGTAGACTTACGTCAGACTCATTCTTTCTTGTTCTGTAATCGCAACAATTGTGTGTTGCTAGCTTCACACAATTGTTGGTGTGAAGCTAGCAACTTTTGGGAGTCGAGGGTGGAAGACAAGGCAGAGGGCACGTAGCAAGCGGTAGCCGAAGAGGCACGAGCTAGCGTGGGACAGAGCGTGCTGCACGAGGCAAGGGGCTGGGCCGGTATGATGGAGCCGGTCTGGTACATGGTGATTCCCGGAGCGGTCCGATCGAGCGGCGATTTTTATAGAGAGAACCCACAAACTTTGCTGAAAAGATGTAGTACTGTACCGTATGAAAGCTATGGCAGTGTTGATGCACTTCTGAACATGACTGAAGAGGCGCTAAGTTTAATGCTTGTTGCTTTCTTTTCTGCTTACTACCACGTGACCGAAGACAAGTGGCTCAGGACTGTTTCGTGCAACATCTCTGATGACCTGCAGTTCACGAATGACTCGTTCTGGTTTCGCGCGCAGATAGTTAATTCTTGCATCAAGATGGAGCTGCCAGATGAATTTGTTCCCTATGAAAGCATCTACAGGCTTTTCGTGCACTATCAATGTGAGCTCAGTGATCTGGAAGCCGAGTTCCTCCATTACCGCCAGTACGCCATCAGTGCCGTTGTTGACCCTGTGCTGTTTTGGAAGCTGCTTTCACCAGACTGGCCAGTACTCTCCCAAGCCTTTTTTTTTTACTTTTTGGGACTTCTCGTGTCTAGCGCAAATGTAGAGTGCGCATTCTCGAAATTGCGCATCGTCAACAAGGAAGAGTGGGCAGGAATGGCCTTGGAATGTTAGCATGCATATAAGTAATCCCTCGTAAAAACGAAAGCGCTTTTTTTTAATTATCACTTTTATTGAAGTTCAGATGTGGTCTCAACCAAAATGCACGCATTTTTAACCGGATTATTCTAAGTGTATTGGCGACCGACCTCGCTTATTTCGAAGTCAAAGGAGCTGACAGCATGCAATCCTATACGGAGGTGCTTGGAGACTTGCGTTCCTCCTTCCTTCTCCAACAAGGCAAACGGAGAACACGGAGTAAACATGTGACAGATGGCAGAGCGCCGATTCCGATGTCGATGCACCGATGCGGCAGGGAGGGAACAGCGGGAGCAGCGTTCACATACTGACGCTGCCCAACTCCTGTCGGAATCGGGTCAAGGGAGCGATGGAACCAGGGGAAGATCATCTCTTTGAGAGCCCTGACGCGCGTGCCTGCGGCGTGCTACACGCACACGTGCATTGTATGGGAGATTGGAATCGTTTACCGAAAGCCGTTTAGATGTGCGAGGTTGAGAAAAGTAGCCGGCCCAAGTTCGAAATTGCCAAAGAATTCAATATCTCGGCATCGGCTGTTCAACATGTCCACCATTTTGCAGAACAAGCAAGGCATATTGGACGGGTTCGGGAAGTTTCTGATGCAGGAGAAAGCGTGCCCGTGACCCGATGATGTAAGATTGCCAACTGCTTCGCGCACATCAGATTTTCTTTGCTGAGCATGCTGGCTGAGCCGGTCCACGATTTCCATAGCTGCAACAATCTCTAAAGGAGTGTGTGAAAACATGTTGGCAAAGCCACCGAGGATCTTTGATTTGTTCGCGCAAGCCAGTGCGGATGTTCCCGTTGTTGCTCCTGCCACGGATGCTGCAAACATAGACCTTGCGTGCGGCCTGGGTATACACGAAGTGACTTTAAAGAGGCACATCAGGAAACGCCGACCACTGTGGACGCGCGAAACATCCTATGGCTGCTTTGGGACAAAGTGGAGTGCAGCGGCGGTGACAGTGTTCTTGCGATGCCTGGAGCAGTTTGAAGAGAACTGATGCCCGGATGAAATTATCGGCAAACTCTACTTAATTCTTCTCTTACTTTGTAAAGCTGTTGCGAGATGTTCCTAACCAAGGTTTGTTTGATTAAATATATGATCAAAGTGTTCTGCAGTGTTCCTGTCTATCTTCAAGTCTGCTGGCACTGTTTTTTTTTGGCTCTATCGCTTCTATCGAATTGCCGTTTTTATAAGAAATTTTTGCCATCTTAAGGGGAGACGCGGGTCTTAAAATGGTAAAAAAACGCGAAATTTCACGTTTTTCAAAATTCACATATTTGGATTAATTGTAGTCTAAGGTACCTCCCTGCAAAGTTTCAATGTCGAATTCAATGTTTAAGCATGAAAAAAATGATATTTACGATGTCCCCGCAGAGCCCTAACACAGCGAGTTCAATGAAAACAAGTGGAACTTCGCGCCCCGCGCGTTTCGCGATCGCTCGTCGGATCGCGGCCATCTTGGTCTTGTTGGAAAGCCGCTTATTTTCCCCACGTCCCCATGCCATTCGTTATCGCGACAACATCGGGAAACGTCCGCATTCCGCGGGTTTCGAAGGCCCCAATTGCGATCGTTCATTGGCCGGCTAGCAAGGTGCCCGTACGTCAGAGCACGTGCGGCGCTTAGCGCCCCTGCTATTGGCCTAAACGCGCCCCTCCGCTCTTTTTCTCCTTTCCTCCTTTCCGTTCCCGCGCTGGCGAGAGGTGCGTCGTCTGCTCCTGGGCCCGTCTCCGCCCGTCTAGGCCTGTCTGCTTTGTTTCTTCCGTTACCGAGCGCACGTTTTAGTTCCCGTTTGCGCGCTTGCGTTGAACATTGTTGGTTCGCTTTCCTACGAAGTCGCGCGTGTTTTGTTTTGTTTCGCTTCGAGTTCTCGAGATGCCGGACGACGCTCGGTTGAAATCGAGCACGCGGCAAGCGTTCGGAAGGAAGAGGAAGCGACCGTGGAACAAGAAGCCGAAGCTGTCTGCTGCAAGTGCGCCACCGCGATCGGCACCGCCGGATGCCTTGGATCCTCCGGAAACATCAGCCGGAGGATCCAAGAGAGATTACTGTATTACAATCGTGGAGTGTGAAGAACATTGTGTATCAGGTGTAAATAAAGGTTAAACCGTGTCTCGTCTTGATTGTTTGTTTGTATTCGCAATTTCGGTTTGTCGATAAAAGCCGTTTTAAGCATCTACCTGAGACAATGCACCGAAATGCACCAGTATTTCGGAAATAAATAAGCATCACAAAACATCAGCCAATATTTGACATAAATAAACCCTGGAAATGGAAAGCACACGGCCTAGTCCTAGTCGTAAGCCAAGTGACCCCAACCCCTGTACTTTGTGTTTTGTCTTTTGCCTCAAGCCAGGTCCTGCCAAGAAGGCCCCAACAGTGGCTTTGATGCACACATCAATGGACAGCACCTGCAGGAATGCCTCAAACGACTGCTGGTGCTTTATTGCGAGATGGATTGGAAGACACACCCTCACCAGCCGGAGATGGAGGCCATCTACCTTTTGCACAACCTGGGATCGGCCGAGGCCTTGGCGCACGCCGTTAGTCTCCCACGATGTTTGCGGTGAGAGTTGTTGTCGGCAGATGCCACGTTTTCCCCACTGAAGGTGCCGCTCACTACAAAGATGCACCATATCTTCCAACAAATAACTCTAACTTTTAAGAAAAAACATTCTCGGTGCGGCTTACCGTAAAGTTCCAAAAAACGCCCACCCAAAATGAAAAGATAAATGGTGAGAAACATGGAGTGGGCTATCTTTAGGGATGACGCAGCAAAACTCTATTATAAGCTAATGATAAACACCTAGGCACTCCGCTACAAACCATGTGACGCCGGAGCTGACACTCCAGATCGCAGACACCGCAAATTCGCGTTTCACGGTGCAATAAACATGCGCGAATTTGCAACGAACTGCTGTGTCGTGGCAAATACTACCGGAGGTTGCGGACGCAGCAAATTTGCATTTTACCGTGCGAGGGACCCGCTGAAACTCGTGTAGAACTCGAATCTCACAGGAGCAAATACTGCAAATCGTAGACGCAGCAGATTTAAGTTTTATGGTGCAATAAACGTGGGGGAACCCGCTACAAACTTGCCTGTTACGGGAACCGATATCGCGCACGCAGATCGCGTACAGAACGGCGTAAATCCGCTATAACTCGTATGTCACGGGAACGAATACTGCAGATCGCGGACGCAGCAGAATCGTATTTCACGATGCAATATACACGCGGCATCAACTCGCGTGTTACGGGAGCCATATCGCACGCGCAAGTCGCAGACAAAAACGCGGAAACCCGCTATGAACTCGCTTATTAGACGTATTGGTACAGCAGATAACACAATAGATGGGATTCCCGTTCGACACCGCATGACGTCCAGCGGGAATTGGGGGGTGGGCGATGTTTCGGAATATTTATGTTATTTAGCCAGAAAAACGGGATAAGCGATCTCTCGGGGGCGGGCATTCTCTTGGAAGTTTACGGTATATGCATTTTTTTTTGTTGGGTAGGAACCTTAAGGGGGGACGCGGGCACTTGAAAGTTCTGAAAAGTTACGAAAAAGTTAATTTTTCAAAGACGTAATATTTGGGTGTTTTGTGCATCTGAGCACCTCTGTGTCAAATCTCGCTACATAAATCAATCTCAAAATATAAAGAAAAACGCTATCATTTCCGTGCGAGAAACGCACCAAGAAACAGTCCAAAAGAGAAAACGGACTCAAAACTCACACGCTTTGCGTTCCACCATTGCACAGTCAATTGCCGCCATCTTGGACCCGTTGGAATTTGTGTTTTGGCACCATCTAAAATGGCATCGGCCTTCAGAAGCAGAGCTATCGCAGTTTTCGCCAGGGAAGAAACTGCACTCCTGATTGGTTACCGAGTGCGGGCCACGGAGAGGGCTGCTGGCTATTGGCCGGAGCGAGCATCTCCTTTCCAAAACTTTGTGGCCTTCTCTCCTTCCTTCGCTGACGACAGCGTAGGGAGCTGTCGTCTGCTACCGCGGCTGCGTTGTTGCGTTTTGACTTCTGTCTACAAGCTTGTTTTTCGGCATTTGCCTGCTTGGTTTAGCTTTGCGTCTTTCCAGAGCCATTGCGATTGTTTGCGATGCCTAGCAACCCTCGTTTGAAGGGTCTATGCAGCGTGCGTACGAAAAGCGGAAACGACACGTGTGCAACAAGAGCTCTCCCGCATCGCCAGCCATGTTGCCCGCGGCAGACTCCCAGGAAGTTTTGCTGCCAGCGACTGCATTGTTTTCACCAGATAGACCACCGTCGGCAGCAGTACGCTACGAGTCGACATGCGTTTCTATTCGCCGGTCGAACGTGCAGAACGCGCGGCGCAAATGGACAAGTGCAACCAAGACTTGGCAGCAAAGTCCGTGACACAACGGAAGTTGGACCTTCTGAACGTCACCCGCGAAAATGAAGAGGTTGATTCCAATACTCAGTTTGTCATCATGGATCTGAAGATGCTCAACACGTTTTTCGCGTCCACGAAATGTGGGCAGTGCAGATCGGCCGTGCCGACGCTGGTGAAGTCGAAGGGACAACAGTATGGCCTGGCTGTCAAAATTGGAGTTGTCATGTCCCACTTGCGACTTCAGCCAGGAGCATTTCTCGTCGCCAGAACTGAAGGAGGGGCAAGAATTACGCCCTTTGAAGTGAACATGAAAGCCGTGAAAGGCTTCCAGTCTATCGGCAAGGGGTCAACTGCCCTCACTGACTTCTGTGCAGCCTTGAACGTCTCACATAGAGGCCTCCATCACAAGACCTTTCAACGGTTGAGTGCTGCCTCCGATAACAGCCAACTGACAGAGAGAGAGGTGTGGCTGGCTTATATAGGAGCCACCCCCTCTCCCCCCTCCGACATGCCCCCAGCCAATCCCGAGAGGGAATGGGCGGAAAATCTGTGCGGAAGGCGTGAGGGCATGTCGGCGGGGTTCTGTCCAGTGGACAGCCATTTGGCCCTGAGGTTTCGTTTTATTGAAAGACAAGAGATCGTCAAACAAAGTGTCCATGGCAGGGCTCGAAGGTGACCGTTGGTGATGGCACACCGAAGTGCCAAGTTGTCCGTGAAGATCAGCGCCGACGTGGGGGCCAGAAGAGCGGCAAGAGTCCAGGCTATTGCCTCACGCAGGTAGATGCGAGGGTCTGGCGCAGTCAGGATGGCGAGAGCCGACGTCGGGGTCACAACACCAAGTCCATGGTTGGACGCGTCCGCATACAGTGCCGTCACAGGAGGGTTGGGGATTAGCAGGAGGGTGTGAGGCAGTGTGTGCCAGAGGCGCTCGAACGTGAGAAGCCACTGGAGGGGAGGGGGGTAGAGGAGAGAGTGGCTTCAAAAAGTGGTCGGAGGGCGCTATAGCCGGTTCGATAAAGTGAAAAGTAGAAGGCCCAAAGGCCAGCTAAGCGGCGGTACTGAGCGGCAGTACAAGGCTCGCGGAGCAAGGGTAAAGTGTCCGCAAGGGACTGAACACGTTGGGGGTATGAGCAATGGTGGAAGCAGAAGTGTCCAGGGCGAAGCCGAGGAATTTAATGGACTTGGACGGGGTCAAGGTGGTGTCCTTCGGGTTTACGCGGAAACCGCGCAAAAGAAGTTGTTCTACAAAAAAGTTGGTTTGGGACTGAAGGAACGAGGGATCTGGGTGTGCGAGTAAAAAATTATCTATATACGCCCACGCCCAGATCCCGCGTGAATGAAGAGTGCATGCAAAAGCAGTTGCAAGTGACTGCATAAGAAAAGGTGCTGGTCGAAGACCGAACGGGAGACAAGTAAAACAAAATTAGGTACCATCAAGACGAAAGGTGGTTAGGCGCTGACTAGCCGGATGGAGTGAAATGTGGTAAAAGGCCTCCGCCAGGTCCACCTTCGTGAAGTATGCATTTGTGGGGAGGGGGCCTGGAGGAGGACTTTTGGGAGAGGGTCAAGTCTGAAAGGAGGCGCGCGTAAGTGGGGGGTGAGATGACTAGCATCGGGTATGAAGCGCGACTTGTGGCTAGACTCGGGAAGTTGTGAGCTGAGCTGTCGGCAGCCGCCTCTGAAGCAGAGTGTGGGAGTTGTGAGGGAGCTCTATGCGGTCTTCCTCAACCCGGCCAACAACATCGACGTGATGTATGACGGCACCTGGAAGAAGTGGGGTCGCATATCCCACATCGGTGTTGGCTGCATTACGGAGGTCTACATTGGACTTATGATCGACCACGTTGTTTGTGCATTCCTGCCTGGTCTGTTCTCTTGGCCGAAAGCCTGAGGATGAAGGGTACAGTGCATGGTTTGCAGAGCGCAAGCCAGAGTGAAAGAAGAACTTTGACTGTAAGTCTGGGCGAATGGAGGTGGAGACGGAGTTGATTATGTTTAGGAGGTCCTTCGGGAAGCACGGCTTCCCGAAGGTTTCTGATGTGGGAGGCTTCCCTCCTACATCGGAAACCCTGAGCAACCTTTCTCCCACTGGAACCGTCCCTCCAGCACCAGCTCACGGCAATCACCGCACAGTTGCTCTTCCCAAACTCCAGGTGCCTACCTTTGCCAGAAACATGAGTGAATGGGCTTTTGGGACCATTTTGATGTCTCGATTCACAAAAATGCCAATCTCCCTCCCATCGAGAAATTTAAGTACCCCATGACATGCCTTACTGACAATGCAAAGCGGGCTGTCGAAGGCATTCGTCTTTCCGAGCAGAATTATGACCCGGCAGTTTGTATACTTCATGACAGATTTGGAAGATGTGATATCTTGATCGACGAACATATTAACCAGCTACTGAATCTCCTGAAAATAAGCAGCTCAAGAATTGTCACCCAACTTCATCAGCTGTTCGACACCATTCGCTTCCGCACAACATCTCTAGAAGGCCTTGGATGTTCAGCCCAACAACTACGCGGTGGTTCTTCATCATGCGCTGATGAGAGCTCTTCCCGAAGATCTATCACTCATGTGTCGCCAAAAACTAAAGGAGAGAGCGACAACAGCCAGCCCCAACGCGCTTGAACGGCACCCAGACGATCAAGTCAAGCTTATCATGACGTTTCTTCAAATCCAGATAGAGATACGAAAGGAAGGATGCATGGAACAACCTACTCAGGCATCCGAAGGCACACCACATCAGCCGAACTTACAAACTCAGTTCATATCGAACAATCCATCTGCACTGGCACTGACCAACGAATCGGTTCACCGCAGACTCCTTTTGTACCCGCTCCGTGACTCCGCCGAACACTATGCTCAGGGCTGCCAGGTTGCACTTTTGACCCAGGAAAAACGAGCAAGGCTCACATGGGCACGCTGCTGTTTTAAGTGTGTTAAACGCAACCACATTGCTCGTGCCTGCCACACAGCAAGGAGCCTAACCTGTACCACTTGTGGAGGGCACCACTTGACCATTTTATGCGACGTTTCCCGACCCCCTCAAGCTGCGCAGGGCATTGACCAATCTGGAGAAACTCTACTCCAAACTCTGCGGCAGTTACTAGTGCCCTAACGAACGCGGCAAAGCAAGGACCATCGGTTCTGCTTTAAACGGTACAAGTTTGGGCTTTTTCACTCTATCAAAGAGTCCTTGTTCGAATATTGCTGGACAGTGGCAGTCGAAATACTTACATGCGTCGCGACGTCTCAGAAAATTTGATCAGCACAGCCCTTGGAAACGAAGACCTCATCGTATTCACGTTTGGTAATGCTCGACGACTTTCATTCTATCACTGTCGATGAGTTAGCATCAAAATATGGTCGAACCACCGGCACACAAGTAAACTTGGAAGCATTGGAGGGGCCAAAAATCAGCACTGTCATCAGTCATCCGAACGACGAAGAGCTGCAAGCTCGACTCCACTTTGAAAACATGCTGAGTGCGGATATAGCGCCAGAAGGTATGCCATGCCCGAATGAAATAGGTATTCTCATCGGATCTTATGCTTATTGGAACATTGCCACAGGCAGAATTTACCGCTTCAACGAGACACTAACGGCATTTGAAACCGTTTTCAGCTGGATGATAATAGAACATAGTATACCTATCATTCTCCCATGAAGCAGTCACCACTCTTTCTTTGTCATGTGAATTCTCCAACGACGGGAACGAGGATTTTGATCCCTTACAAATGTGGCACCTAGGTGCCATCGGTATCACCAATTCAGTTGACACTCAACCAGTTGACCACCCATTGCTCCAACGATTTGAAAAAAAGCATAAAAAAGCGTGATAAGCAGTACGAAGTGCCTCTCATGATAAGTACCGCTTGCTTAGGAGCAGATTGCAATAACTGCAGCATCGCAGAGACCCGACTGTTGTCATCATTCTATCGGTTAAGGGAGAACCAGGATTGCTAGAGCACTAGGACAAAACTATCCGAGCCTATTTCGATGACCACCACGCAGGGAGGCTGCAACCACCAACCCAGCGAGCAGAGAACACATACTACCTACGAAACCATGCTGTAATACGCCGAGATGCTATTACCACAAAAATCCGGATAGTATTCGACGCTTCTTCTCACGCTCCCAACGAGCCATCGTTGAACAGCGTCTTAGAAAAGGGTCCCACGCTGAATGCAAATCTCCTCCAACTTTTCCTCAGCTTCTGATGCTCCAAGGTCGCATGCGTGGCCAACATTCGAAAGGCTTACCTGCAGATTCAGGTTCATCAAGATTATTGCGACGCACTTCGCTTCCTGTGGGTTGACAAACTTCCCAACGGCACAGATGCTCCAAAGGTTGCTGAATGGCGGATGACGAGAGTACCGTTCGGAGTCGCTTCAAGTCCATTTCCGCTCGCCACTACTCTTCGCCATCATTTCAAAATGAAGAGCAGGTAAGCCGGAACTGTTACCCAGATCCAGAATGCCTTCTATGTCGATGACTTCATTGTTGGAGCATCCACGGAAAACGGCGCGTTGCATGTTTTGGTGGATGCGATCCTCGCAGAGGCTAGCATGAAACTAAGGAAATGGGCGTCGAATTCGAGCGTGCTTGAACAGCAGTTTCTTGAAGACTGGTCTGCTTACGACAATGAAGCTGGCATGACACACACAATGAAGGTTTTTGGGATTAATTGGGACCGCACAACTGCCGAGATCATTTTGAGCTCGCAAAACGTCACTACGTTTCTCACATCACAACAACCAACAAAACGCTCTATTTTGCAGGTGTGTTCCCGACTTTTTTATCCTCTAGGCCAGGGGTTCTCAAACTGGGTTCCGGGGAACACAGGGGTTCCACGAGCTGGTCTCATGGGTTCCGCGAACACCCATATTGCAACGCCCCTTTCCCCCTCCCCCCCCCCCCTTCCACGCCACAGGCTGCGTGGCAGGACCATGCAAAGTGCCTTCATCTCACTTTGTACTGACATTGCGATTGATATGGTGGGGATATATGGGAAGCAACACAAGCAAAATTGCCTACAGTTGTGCATCTGTTGCTTCTCGGTCGGCAAATATGGAGGGGGGAGGGGGGGGGGGGGGGTGTTCCGCGGCAAGTTTTGAGGCTTCCAGGGGTTCCGTGAGACCAAACAGTTTGAGAACCCCTGCTCTAGGCTACCTGTTTCCTCTCACAATTAGGGCAAAAACTCTATTCCAATTGCTTATCGCTTTGGATAAACAAACACCCCTGGGACAAAGTTCTCTCACAAGAAACGCAGACTGAATGGAACACATGGTGTACTGAATTATCTATTTTTGAATTATTTTGCATACCCCGGTATGTAATTTCCTTGTCGCCTAGCACAATTGAGCTTCACGTCTTTGTCGATGCAAGCCCACAAGCTAATGGCACTGCCATCTATGTCCGTTTCATCAGCACAGACGGCACGATTTCAAATTTTTTGATCAGCAAGAGTTGAGTGGTCCCCATCAAAACAATTACATTGCCACACCTCCAGTTGCTTGCCTGCCTTCTAGGAGCACTCCTCATCGAAAATGTATTGAAAACTCCGAGCTTTGACAATCCCCGAACAAGTCTCTGGACAGACTCTGAAATTGCGCCTTACTGGATCAAGGGGGATTCGTCAAGGTGGCAGCCATTTTTCAAAAACCGAATTGACGAGATTAACTGTCTGTCAGACCCTACTCGGTGGGCACATTGCTCAAGCAGTCATAACCCGGCCGATGTCATAACACGTGGCATCTCGGCTTCTGTGCTCAAAAACGAAGCACGATGGTGGACCGGACCTTCTTGGCTATCACAACCAAAACAGGCCTGGCCCCAAGAAGAATGTCAGAGTCCCACCACTCTGCCTTTAAATGGAGAAGCACAGATGTCTACGGCAAACCCTGTTACAACAAATCTACCCAAGGTTTTTCAGCTTCAAAATTGTGAATCCCTAACTCGGGTTTTTAGGATCATAGCTTGGATTCAGTGCTCTGTCACAAATTCATCCCAGTCCAGGCCGTCAATAACCGAACCATGACGTCTGCCGAGCTCAGAAGGGCCGAGACCTATTGGATCTCCATCACACAAAAGGAATCCTTTTCTGAGGCCTTTGATGACCCCCGTCAGAAAGATTCAACATCTACTACATCAAACATCGGCAATCTCTATCCGTTCCTCGGTGAAGACAAGCTATTGCATGTGGGAGGACGACTGCAAGAGCTAAATGACTTGCCAGATCTGAAGCATCTGATTCTCTTGCCCTTCAAGCACGAGTTTACTGACCTGCTAGTGTCGAACACACACTGACGACTCATGCTTGGAGGTGTCTAAGTAACACACATGGAGCTTTGAGAACGCTTCTGGATAATCAAGGGTTGCCAAACGGTCAAATGCGTGACGAACAAGTGCCTGCCCTGCCGGCGAAGACGCCTTGCCCTCGAAACTGCCCCATACGCCCCACTTCCTCACGACCGAATTTACAAAGCAACTTCATTCGCGATAGTAGGCGTCGATTTTGCTGGGCCTCTACACATATGTACTGCTCCAGCGTCTATCTCCAAGGCGTACCCCGAAATTCTCTCATGCGCTTTTACTCGTGCCATCCACATAGAGTTTGTGTCGGACATTACCGCAACTCAGTTTCTACAAGCATTCCGGCGTTTCGTAGCCTGACTCGGACTTCCATTAACTATCTACTCCGATAATGAACAGACATTCAAATACTCCGCACGAACGCGGGGCCTGGGCACCTGCAAAGTCAGTGTTCCATAAATGGCCATCCGAACAGGACACTTCTTTGGTCCTTTCCTCCACAGGGCTGTTGCCGAAGCTGTGAGCATCTTCAATCAGGGTCAAAAGAAGACCAACGAGAGTGTGGTGGCGAGCCTGGGCTACACCGTTGGCAGTGCTCTCATCAGGAGGAGCATCGAGAAGGATGGCGGGAGACTCCACAAGGCCAACACGGTGTTCTTGGACAGTGACAGCATGAAGAAGCAGCTCCCCACAAGGCACAGGGCAGACACAGCGCAAGACTACAGTCCCGGGCTTCTTTCAGGACAAGCCAGCCTCGCCTGAGCCAGCATTTTTGATGCCAACTCCCCAAAAAAGCTCTTCTTTGGGCTAAAAATCCTCTGCTTATTGGGCTGCTTTTTCGGCACGTATCTACCCGCTTGTCCACAGTTCAAACCAGACAGATTCTGTCTGTCTGAGGTTGAAACATCCAGACTTATGCATGTTCAAACTTTAAAGTCGATTTTCTCAGCTTAATTTTTTTCACCATATGCTCCAGCCTTACGGGCTTTATTTGATAAACTTCTACTATTTTTAATAGGAAAGTGTTTTATAACCCCGTAAGAAATGAGCTAATTAGTATTAATTATGTTCGTAACCTTTCGCAAAAGACAGATATTCAAAATCCGATTGCATTTCTGAAATCAGCAGAACAAACCACATAACCATGCCAAATACCAAGGAGAGAAGCCAATAAATAAATAAAAAAGTTTAAGAAGGCACCAACAGTGCAAATTTGTCATGGAGATTATATTTATCATTTGACTAAGTGTCGAGAATATTGAAACTGGCTTCCCTTTTGCATATATCGTGACCACAATACACATAGTGGGTCTATCGATGCAGTTTTTTGCTGCACCGATTGTACAAATGTACAAGTGCGACTTCTACAGAAGTGGGATTTATCGACCAACTTTATTGTGAAAACGGGTGTTTATAAGGGTGCGACTTATAGACCATAAAATATGGTAATTTATGTGAACTGATGCAGGCATGTCAAATTTGAAACTTTCAACTCTCTTGTCATTTGAGATGGGAAGGAGGAGGAGGGAGGGGGTGTTATCCCCCTCTGCCTCCAAAATTTTTTGTTGGTGCTGTGAACAGGGGATTTGGTAAAAACAACTGGTGACTCCATCTTTAATTTTTCTCAACTTTCTCTCACAGTTTTAAGTTTTGATCACGAGGTCCTGTGGATTTTGTATGCAGACGTGAACAAATGGCTCTACTGTTGCTTTGTTTACTGGGTGCAGCTACAGGCCCTTGCCCAACCTTGACGATGTAAAAATAACCACGGGCATTCATTTCTGACTTGTTCAAAAGTTTTGCAGCACCTGGCAACTGAAACTTGAAGCTGAAAAGAGTAAAAAGTTCGATCAGAGTTCCTAATATATACTAGTAGACTTTTAACAGAGGTCCCAAATCATTGTTTCGAGTCAGGACGAATCGTCCTTTTCTTTGTTCACAAGAAAAGGGGATAGATGGACGTAACGGATTTGCCTGCTAATTAATTGATTTTCATTATCATGTATGTTGATTTTTGCAAAGATATGACATAAGAGATATTCACCGCTCATTATAAAGTGCCTATTTCGAAGCTACGGTCCATGTATAATGTGACTGTTACAATACTGCTTTTATTGAAGCTCAGTAATCTCTTTTAAAAAAGAAGTATTTTTTACTTTAAAAGTAAAAGAAAATAAAACCCTACAACATCCACTTTTTAATAAAAATTGGCAGGAGAAAACTCCAGATCCTTACTTGAATCGCAGTTTGAAGAATAAAACCCGATTTTGACTCTCCCGAAATAAAAAGCTTCTTGTTGTAAGTATAAGATTTGACTTTTGAGATCTCTTCTTGTTTTTATCGGACGGCTAAAAAGGTGCTTATCCAAAATGCTACAGAACTCTAGAAACTCATGCAGTTTTGGTTTGAAAGCAAATAACTGGCAGATAAAACGATCTTGCAGCAGTCTGTCAAGTGGTTTATAAAATTAATTAGTTTAATCTGAAGATGTGGTCATTTCACTTGCCTCCCGTGGCCTGGACTGGTGCACAACAGATCAGCTTCCCAACTCTGTGCTTTGTCCCAATTTCCGTAACATTAACCCTTTGATGGCTGAGTTCTTTTCCCCAGTGGTTGGTAAAGAAAAGGTGAATGCACAGGTTTCATTCGGCTTCATTTTGGCGCGTTCGCTTCTGCGAGATTCCGGCAGTTTCAAATTCTGAACCGGAGGTACTTTACAGAGCTTCTCCATCGGATGGTGAGCTCTCATCATCTGAATTTTATTCTGAGAAGCGTTACAAGTCTGAACCGGAAGAGCAGGCGCTCCTGTTGCCACTACCGCCAGACCAGCCGACATACAAAGCCACCATCTCGCACGTATCACATCCATGGAGCATCTAAACTATAAATAGCCCTAGGAAGCAAAACATCATGCAATTATGATGATTATAGTTTACCTAAAGCATAACAAATAGCAACACCTCCCATGGTGCATGTGGTTTCACATATAGGTAGGCACTTTCAAATGTGTGATTGCCGTCTTACCTGTATAGCGACGACCGTCAAACGGTTATAGATTTGTGAACTAATCAAAATTTGCCCTTGAGGACAAACCTAGTTCGTCATTGCTCTTGTGCCCCTCCAGGGAACAGGTGCTAGTCCGTGCTGCAATGGAAGCGAGCCTGGCTCATTGGAGTGGCAACTTTGTGCGGGTCCTGCGAAATTATCGTGCCTTTCCTTTCCTCTTGGCATGCGCATTGCACCCTCACCTGGGCCAGATCAGAAGGCAAGTGTCCGTCCTGCCACTTTTCGAGTTGCTCATTGGTTGGTCTACAGTGATTGACACAGTTTATGCTGTTTACTTTCATGGCTTTTATGCTATGTAATGGTAATCCACCCTCTTGAGGAACAGTACCCCCGATTTCACTTTAAATGAGAGCATAGCAGAAGCTACAAGAGCGAGCTCCAAACTTTCAGAGCCTCTGCCAAGTGTGCACACTCGTGCAGTGCAAGCACCTTTCAGGGCAACATGTTTGTGCTTGTAGCTCCGGCTTTTCTTGCACATGAAGTGAAACAAACTCCATGGATCGATCACAAGGCTGAGAAAACCACATTGTCTCGAGTGCTGTCTCTAAGGCTCCCAGAGCCCCATGTGCAAAATCGTTTGTTTTCATGTTATGCACTAAACCTTCTGAGGTGGGAAACTGATGCTATTTTTCAAGACATGGTTATTAAGATGGGTGGAGTGGTAATCCTGTTTTACTTAGTGAAACTAATGACACTCATGAATATGGATGTAATCTGTAATGTTGAGTAATTATGCAGTCACCTAACTGAGCTTTGTCTTTGCACTGGTTATCTGTGGGAACAATGATTGATGGGGAAGCATCCCTCTGAAGACATGTAATCATTCTTGCACAGAACTGTACATTTTTACTTACAATTTCTTTGGTACAGAGGTAGTGCCAAAGGAACTTCCAATAGAAGTGTACATCAAATGCAGGCAGTTATGCAGTCTACAGTTTTATATATTTATATTTGACTCAACAACTTTCATTTGAAGCTCCAGAGACACTGCTCATTTCAAAACTCTGGTTGCAATGGAAGGCCAGAAATTTCAGTTTCAATCGCATTTTATTAAGCCACGCATGCTAATTGAGTTTTACAGGATGTGGATGTTGAAAGTTCAAAAGAGGCTCTACAAAAATTTATCTTTATGTGCCAGTTTGGCTAGCCCTGGTCTAAGATATCTTATTAACAGGGTAACCATGGTTAAGTGACACAGTTTGTACATTCTTCTAAGTAATGCTCAGAATCTCTTAGTTACCCCTGGGTATGGTACTCTACTGCAGGCACGCACTACAGGTGTTGACATCAGCCTACAGCTCTCGAAACTGCAGGATTCCCATGCCAACCTTAAGTCAATGGTTGCACTGCACAGACAAGGAAGCAAGGGACATCTGCTTGTCCTACAATGTACCTCTTGAAAACTCTGAAGTGAAGTTCCTCAAAGGCACTGGAGATTTCAGTGCAAGACAGGTGAGCAGCCATAATTTCAAATCTCATTGAGACATTTAATATTTTTAGGGGGTAAAGCAATTTTTAGAGCTATTGGTAGCTGCCAGCAGAGGCCGGCTTACCAATAGGTAGAATAGACAGCTGCCTAGGACTGCAGAAGTTTGGGGACAGCAAGAAAGTTTGTGATTACAACTACAACTATCAGGGGTGGAACGGCTGCGCCATTTGCGCCGTTTTGCGCCAGTCGCATTTGTCTGCGCCATCCTGCGCCATTTAACGGAAACTGCGCCACAGCCAATACCTTGCGCCATTATGCGCCAAATCGCACAACCTGCGCCAAAAAAATTGTATTTTGTCTTGGTTTCGGTTTCTATCGACTCGATTGGCAACAATGAGCGCGTTTAGCTTGGTCGGCCTTGCAATCCTTTGTTCGGTTTATTCTCCCTGTGTATCCCGAGTCAGAAGTGCGCGAAAAAACTCAGGGATCGGGTTCCAAGCGCTACACCACCTGCGACTGGATTGTTATTCTTCAACCAAAAGCGGTTAAGCAAGTCGGCCGAGGTGAGGTCGAGTCGCTAAGCGTCAGATTGCCTGAAACTCTGCGGCCCGGGATCCGGAAGTCAGCCAGTTGAAAACAAATGAGCAAAAGATTCCTTTTAGTACTTCATCATTAGAAGTTGGAACTGCATTCCCGCAAGATAAATCGTGATTTGATAGAACTGAAACGCGGTAAGATTCAAAACCTTGCCGGCCAGCAGCTCTCATGCGAGCGGTTGATCTGCTCGGCGTCCTTTAACTTTGCTCCTGATAATCGCTTTGAACACAATAACTCTGTTAATCATAGTCTGCTGCTTCGATATTGAGTTGAACAATACGATAAACTCTAAATTTGTTGCCCTGTTCCTCCATGCAACGGCACGTCCATTGCTTACACACGTCACGTGGTTCGCACATATAATTACTATGTCAAGCACGTGAGTTGTGCGATAAGCAGTGCTGGTTTGCATTTTGAGCAGCTAAAAACCCCTCAGAAAATATCAAGGACACCATCTTCAGAAATATATGGTACTTGCTTTTTGGTTCTCATTAAGGCTCACGAAGTTTCAAGTTTTCGCATCTGCTACACTGTTATCCCATCTGCCTTGGTTCCTAACCATTCATGCTCATCTGTGCTGCTAAGCACTATTGAAATTGCTCCCGTGCTCGTCTAAGACACAAGCGGAAGTGCAATGAAAACTGATCTGAGCTGCTCCTAGCCTGCTCCAGAATTTAGTTTTAGCTGCTCCCAACCTGCTCCAAAACAGCAGTTAGAACTGCTCCCGTGGCTGCTCCCAAATACATTTCATGAGTTCCATCCCTGAACTATGTATCTCAGAATAAACGAAAAAACACTGAATTTGGAAAGAAGCGGAGAACGGTGATCATTGATGGCTAGGAGATATTGATACGACGAGACGCCTTTCAGAAGGAAATTGCCAGCATCATTCTGACTGACTTGTGAAGGCTGGGCTCCATGGAGTTTATGTGTTGCAACAGTCAACTAATTTTGCCTGGTGCGACATCAGTACACTGATTATGGCGCCGTGCACAGAGCAAAATTTCAACTGGGCGATGTTTGTCTCTTGTTCTCCACCAGTGTTACGGAATGGGCACCCCCATTTCATTCCAATTCCATTCTGGGAATTAGAGTTTTCGATAATTCAATTCTTTTCAACTCCTAGGAATGGGGACACTGGGCCCATTCCCACTCCGGGAACGGCTGGATCGTTCTATTCCATTCCTTTAATTCCTATACGTAAAGATTGGCACTTGACAGCTACGTTGTGCAATGCTTCCGGCATAAGCAGCATAAAGCTGACATTATCAAACGCATAGACAATTGCAAAAATATGCTAAATGCCTCAAAAAAGCACTGATCTTACTAAGCTCACGGTGCTGGATTGCCTGGGGTGACTCGAAGCGTCCGACATGCAGAGACTAAAGTCAAAGGAAATGGGCGGGCATCCGCTAGCTTGCTTGTAACCCTAACTTACTTGAATGTAAAACATATGACACAGAAAACAAGCATCACAACAAAGACCAAGTAAAATGCAGACCTTACGCATAAAAATATAGTATAAAAATACAAGCGTCGGAGCAAAGCGCAAGAGACAAAGAGGGAAGTGTATCTCGCTTTGGTGTGAATGCCGAAGCAAACCCAGATTTCGCACTTCAAAGGAGTGCGCGCAAATGAACGTGGAAGGCAGCAGGGTTGGCCATTTGCTAAACAATGCTTCTTGAACTATAAGAAAACAAAACCTGATCATCTTTCGGCGGCGTGCGAGTCAACAAGTAATCAGAGCTCCGCGAGTTATGAGTTGCAACCCGACCGTCAGCCCGACGATTTTAAAGACGCTAGTAATCCGGGGCGCAATAACACGTTGCGCAATTTCAAGAGGTAGTATTGGTGACACTCTCGTAGATGGCGCCAGCTGACAGCTCGACTTCTGGCATTTTGATGGGCCACAAACTTAGTTAAATTATATCACAAAGAGAATCTCTGGAAAATATATCTTGTAATATATTTTGCGCTTGCATTCTCCATGCCATCGCAAAAAAAAAAAAAAAAAAAGCAACACAAGGACGATGAGGAGCCGTGCATGGCGGTTTCTTTCTTTGCCGCTCTTTTAGTTTCTTTTGCTTGGTGCTTGGTTTCTTGTTTCGCTCTCGTGTAACACTACTGAAGCCCGTCGCCTGCGCGTCCGTGAAAGGTGCCACCGTCACCCTCTCCCCCTCCCCTCACTGGTCTTTGCTCTGACGCTTGTTTTTTGTATTGCATTTTTTTGCGTATAAGTCTATGGCTCCACGCGGGCTAGCAGTTTCCCGCTCATTTTATTTCTGAACAACTGACTCGCTGACTGGCTCGGTTTAGATAACCCCCCCCCCCCCCCCCCCAAAAATAAAAAAAATAAATAAATAAAGAACCGGGCCCATTCCATTCCCATTCTATTCCAGGCAAATGGCATCTAATTGCATTCCCATTCCATTCCCCCAGCGCTGCCGCCATTCCATTCCCCATTCCATTCCGAGGTCGCAAAAATGCGGAATGATTCCGGGAATCATTCCAACTCCAGAGTGGCAACTCCGCAACACTGTTCTCCACTTATTCGGTTCATGGAGTCTAACCTTCTGCACTTGTTTCCGTTCGCCAGGATCATTCACGACTCCAGCGACCTATAGGGGGCACCACCACCAAACAAACATGGCGGCCGAGTCCACGTCGTGTCGGCTCGGCCGGGCCGCCTGAACGGGTGGCGCCTTCAATTTAACAGATTTTCTTTTGTTTAATGCCCAGTTTTATAGGTATTTGAACTGCGATGGTTAAGTGTAGCCAGTGCACATAAACTTTCAGAGCATAGTTTTGTTTTCCTGGTGTTTTTTGTTCTTTTTAGTCGAACTTCCGTTTCGGAGATTTCGTTCAAAAACCGAAACTATGGGCTCCGGAGAGACAGTAATAGACACTAATCAGTTTTGATCAGCTAAGGAAAGCTGCGATGACTACAGAATTGTTTCACCGAGATTAGTTTTCACTCGACCATGCGACTTATCTGTCAGCGAAATCGAGCTTTTGTGCGTATCCGCGTTTAAAAAACAGCTCCAGTCGTCTGCTCGGTCAGCAACACTGGCTGGAGGAAAATTACAAAAATTAAGCAAGCGCTTCTTGAGCCAAGGAGCATGTTAACCCGCTGACGCCGACTAAACAGCTGATACTCGTATTTCAATTCAGGTTTTTAATGGCAATCGAGAATTCATTTTGATGAAAATGCGGTTTATGTATTATATTACGTATATGTCCCACTAAAGCAATATTACTATATTCTTCGGGTTGAAATATGAGCTTAGTTGACTAGCTATTAAGTGAACTGCTGAATAAAAGTATATTTGACAGACAGCGAGATACTACTTCAACTAAGCCAAATAGTTCTAGCCGGTAGCACGGAGACGAATGCGGACAAACTGAAGAGGGCCTTCATTGGAAATTCACGCAGAACTTCTCTGCATTGAACTTGGCTTTGAATCCTGGGCGGACAAAATTTGTATTTTTCGTGGCCGGTCAACCTCAGCAATGTAGACGTCTATTACTGCTGTCTTCCACGGGGGTATAATATAAATATCGGAGGCGCGATAGATCATAATGCCGTGACAGCTTCTAACTTTGCGAGACGCGTCCCCCTCGTTTTGAAAGCAGACAATTTCCCTTAATTATCGCATGCAGCGAGCAGGTTTTCCGGAATCAAGTAATTGCGAAATCAGCCTAACTCTTTTGGTGTGGTCCAGAAGCTTTTTCGGCGAAAAGCAGCCAAGATGAACAGCCAACGCACCGACCGGCGTGGGTGGCACTAACTTGAAGCTAATCGAACACAACCAAACTCAAGAAAAGCAGCTATCGGACCTTCCCATTCCCTTGAGTGCAACATTGGTGTTCCTTCCAGTGAAATGCCTCGTCTGTCCTCCTCAGTCCACTGTTCTACATCTTTATAAAGAAGCCCGTTATCATTTACCAAGTAGTCGTCACTTTGAATGTGATTCGAGACAGACAAGAAATCAAAACGTGTTTCCGTGATTCCTCCCCATCCAAGAAATCGGAAGCACTGACGCGACCCTGTGTTGTGGAGTTAACGCGCTTTCAAACACGTGATGGAAGGAAACAATCTACTGAGGCTTCACCACACTAATGAACACTCAAGCAAACTTAAGAAATTTTCGGACCTTCGTCAAATGACGTTGTGCGCCACCGCGCCGACAACACGTGTCTGCGAAAGCCACCAGAGACGCACGGAGGGGCACAAAGCGACCTGCTCCTGCTGGTTCCCGGTTTTTTCGCTTGGTGGCGTCCGTTTTGCTGGAGTCGCGAATAGGCCGTTGTTACTTTGAGCTCGTACAAGGTATTACGAAAACGGCTACTGGTAGCCCACTTCACAACTTTTCTGAAAACTGGGCGGAGGAGTATGGTTGCATGTTTGTTTACTATATTGGAGGGGAAGGGGGCGGTGCTTTCAAACTCCCTAGGGCGGAGAAATTCTAAGTGTGTCTCTGGCTGTCAGAAAATTACATCAAATGCTATAATGTGATGGATTTAACTTATCCAAATTATTACATTGATTAACAGCTGAAAGTTGTGCCTTCACATAAACAGTAAATCATCAAACATAACTTTATTTTCTTAACTTGAACTCTCGTGGTTCTTGCCTGTACCCATATGTCTAGTGATGGGCCGAAACAATACTACAGGTTTTACTTGAGCTAGTTGGTACATACTTGAATATGGTCAGCTGAACAATTACAAATTAGAAAAAACCGTGAGAGGAAATACATACACACCGCTGACTATCAACTTGCTGCCTTTAATAGTTCTTCCTCTTTTTCCCTTTACTACAGCTAGTGTTGACAACCATCCGCCATGTCCGCGCGATGCCCCCATCAGGGTGTTATGCGGCTCGTGCCACGTCCCAAGTATTGTTTTTCTTTCGGGTGGATTGTGATAGACGGGGTGCTCACGCACAGTTGAGCACTGTCTTCGATGGCCAGAGCTTCAATTAGTTCACGCGCATATGCGTTCCGGTGCCGCCCTATAATGGTGATGTTGTTAAAATTAGGAGAGCACTTGCAGGACCGGCAATGTGCAGAAAGATGTCCTGCCGATGTTCCTTTAACAGAAGCCGCGTGCTCCCTAGCTCGATCGTTCACACGGTTTTTTCTAATTTGCAATTGTTCAGCTGAAGATATTCAGGCCGAAACAATATTGAAAACTGTTTATATTTACTATATAAGCAATCTTCAATGCCTTCAATGTATGGATTAAGATAGTTTTCTTGACTTCAATTAATTCTAGGCATCCTTGTTTGTATATTTATTTTCTGCTGCCTAGTTGTTTGGTGTTTTGTATGAATTATTATTATTATTAATATTTATAATAACACCTCTATTCTGTATAATTTCAGATGTCATCAGTATTGGATCCTTACCTCAAGCAAGCCCTGTCAAGAATTGACGTGGCTGCTGTTTTAACTCCAGATGCGGGAACGGCATCATGACAGTAGAATGCAGTAGATATTGGAGCATTTTCTAAATCCACGGTTGGAACGAATGTGCATTCTGGTTGCAGGCGAGGATGCTACATCCTGTTGGCTCTATTGATATACAGAGACCTAGGCTGAGCTACCCCAAACATAGTTCTCGTTCCCATCCTGGATCACCTTATCCCCGAATTTGTACGAAGAAGCCTTCTGTGCGATGCAGAGAAAATGTAATATCTTTGAAGCCATGAAAAAATATGCGTTTGGCTGTTCCTCAGATATCTTGTTACATTACTTTTATGAGTTGCAGCCTGTAACTAGGTGCACTTCTTGTAAAAAGAATTGGGTGGTACTCAGCCCATTTTACTTAACTGTGAGTGTCCTGAGTAGGAAATAAAACTTTTATATATGATATGTCTTATGGCTCTGATTATTTTTTAAAATTCGTTTTACTGAACATGGTGAGGCAGACTTGCTAAACTTGATCCACCCAGTTTTTGTTTGAATGTTGGATGGTACAGACTATTAGAACAATTTCAAATACTGTAAACGACTTATTTTTTGCGGGCTCAATATTTCACAATTTAGGTCAAAGCTGAAGTTTTGGAATAATTCGCAGGTTCTAATTTTCGCGACGCGACAGGATCTTAATATAGATTCCAACGTGTTTTTATTTTATCGGAATTGTTCGCTGGAACTATTTTTCGCAAATTGTAGGTGATTCGCGAAATTTGCAAAAATTAGGTCCTTGCAAAAATTAAGTCATTTACAGTATTAGTTTTTGTTCACGACCACCTGTTTCATTCATTGTCCCGGTGTGCAGAATATGTTTGTGCTCATCTCTGAAACATCTTGACTTCAGTCGTAGATAGAGTTCGTAGTTCGCAGTTATGCCGAACCTCTCCCTGCAAGTAGACATTGTTTTGTCCTTTTTTGCCTCGGTCTCTGATAAGAGCGGCGTGCTAAGGTTGGTGATAAGGCTTTGGGCGGTTTGGCTCGCTCAAGTACAGCGGCTCTTTGGACTCGACATTGCACGCTTTTCTGTTGGGGACATCGAGCAAATATGATTGTCGTAAAAATCGACCCACTGCCCTAAGAAGGCAAGTGATTTTAAGCTTTCTTTTACAATCCCGGTAAAAACTATGTAAACTTGAGGCGTCTAGCCTGTCAACGGAGGGCGATAGTGCTGATCTAGGCCATTGGGTAACTTTTTTAGTTTATTCATTTGGTACTCTTTGCTGCATAGCAATGAGGTACATTTATAGATTTTAACAAAGCAGTTTGAATGCACCCAGTGTTTGTTTTAAAAGCTCTTCAGAGTGCATATGTACTACATGTACACTATTTTCTCTGTTCGGTTATGTTACAAGTTATATTGTCATACTGATAGAGAACAAAAATTGTTTATATTTTCAAATAGTTTTGCTTTGAAAATCTTGTCATTTACTCGGTTGACCTTTAGCTGATTTTCATTTCAGATATATTCTATATTTCAACTCTTCCTCTTTTAAACTGAACCCCTCCTAAGACCTGGTAGTTGTTTGGGGGTGCACTAAAACATGATTTACTTGTTTATTTATTTTTAAAAACTTCAACTATCACATTGGCATATGTCTATGGGAAATGAAGGCACATAACAAATAAGGTCCAAGACATTTAAGACACAAAAATGCAAACATTTATCTGATCCCAGTCTGTTTTCATTTACAGCACTTTTGTTTACTTCAGCTATATATTAAATAGCTAAATAGATGCCACAAAGCTGCGAAACACCACCCTGAAAAAACATGCATTAAAGTAAAAATTTAAAAATTAGTTACTTGTTTTTGAAACATCCACCGGCAGGCAGGAGGTTCTATAAAAGAAAAAAAAGTTGCACAAAGCATTTGAAAAGCTCCTTCGCTCTTTGGGCTTGTAACACCCTCTTCTTTCTGTCGCCTGACACGGCCTTGATGGGCCTTTTGTTGCTGGCCCCTTTCACTGGCAAAAGGCAGAGAGCAGGTCTTGCTGGGAAGCTCTTCCAAATCAACCATGGGTAAAATCAGTGCCTACAAGATCAACTTGGGCTATGAGGATGAAATGGTAAGGTAACCTGTTCCTTTTCGCTGATTTAACCTTTATGAACACTTTGCATTCCTGGAAACATTGGGGTCTTTTGGTATTTGCTTGTTAATTTAAGCATTGGGGTGTCCTATTGTAGAAGCCTCTTTTTGGCGGGTGTTTTGCAGTTTAAGTGGAAAGTAAGAGTGGACCACTTGTTTTTTGTTATTTTTATGTTAAAAAGTTGAATTAATATTTGTGTATGTTTGCTTGCTCTGGTGCTTTCTGATTGTGTTTTAGAAACATTGTGACCATAATGAAACATTACTCGAGTGGTAGTTATAACCCATTGTTAGTGACATAGGAATAAATTAACTGCAAAGATATATTTTGAGGCACATTTTAAATCTGCAACATATAATTTTGAGCATTACCAACACCCTTCCAAAAGGTATGGGTGACCCCTTTCCATGAAAATGAAAACAAAGCATCTGCCAAAGCATCAAGGTTGCTTTGAAGACTTGCTGAATTTTTTGGATGTTTTGGTACACAATCGCTATTGCCGTGTTTTCTGGTCCATGAGTCGCGCCCCCCTATATAGGGCCATTTTCACCGGAAAATTGGTATATGTCATTCTTGTTTAAGTCAAACCTATATATTTGTACAGTCGGCGCAGCAAAACTGCGTTGATAAGCCTACATACCTGTATCGTTATTGTGATATACGTGCAAGTGAGAGCATTTCAATGCTCTCGCCAACGAATCGTACGAAAACAACCCCTGTGTAAGATTTGCACAGTTAAGGTCCATACTTAGAAAATAATTGTAACCATTGTACAAATTGAAACCCTTGTATGATTGAAACCATTGCCTAAAATATTGTAAAATTATATAAAATATAATATAAACCATTGTATAAAATTAAATAAATTGAAACCACACGTTTGCAAGTACGGCCTCCAAGTGCCGCCATCTTGCTCGCTTAGGGTACGCTTGGGCGCAGCCATAATCTGATTACAACTCCTGGCTAAGGCGTTTTAATCGGATTATGACCGCGGCGTCCCAAGCGAGCAAGAGGGCGGCGCCCTGAGGCCGTACTTGCAAACGTGTGTAAAATGCCCCAACAAAAATTTAGAAAGAAAAAAAAAAAAAGAGTTTTACTTGTGCATTAGAAAATACGGTATACTTATATGCTATTTTCGAAATTCATTTTGAGGCAGTCCTTGGAAGGCTACAGGTGGACCCTAGGAAGAGCGGTTGCAGGATGGATTGCAGTTGTCTTCTGTGCCGGCATTCCGCTGATACTTGCTTCGTGGAAACGGAGCATCTTACTCAAGTTCACTCATCATTCCTGCCATCCTAAAGAAGCGCATAAGGTCCTGCTCAAGGCAAGCACTCCCCTCCCTCACGTCCTTTGACTATACAAGCTGGATGGCATCAGACAAGAAGTGCTGAACTTGCACATCTTAAGGTGTTTTCAACCTGGGACTGTGCTTAGAACTGGTGCTACCAATTGTCGGGATTATGCAGCCTGCCTATGCTGACTTCCAGGCCGGCACATTTTTCACAATAGTGTGCCCTCTTATTTTGTGAAACAATTTATTTGCCCAACCAACATTCACATTGTGTGAGCAGCAAACCACAATTGAGATTTGCCTAGGGCGTCGATCCTGGACGTCACTCGGACATTTCATCGACCGCTGTTTCATCCAGCGTCACTTTATTGAAACTTATCAAACAGCCTTTATTGAATGCAGAACTCTATTAAACATTGCTTCATGATAGCTGTTTTGCTGAATATTGCCTAATCGAATAGTGGTGGGCTCCAGTTATTTGTTTTGTACTGGAATTGTAGCAGCTCTTTCAATAACCTACACTGCCTCACACTTTGATTTCACGTAACTGGCAAAGTAGTGCATGTGTGTGTCTGCTTGTGCATGCATAGGTAAAGGAAGGAATGTGAGAATGTGAAAAAAAAATGGAAGCCGTTTATAACTCCCTGTAACGCCGAATAGGAGCGCAGCTCTTGAAAAGGAGGAGGGTAGGGTACTGAAGACGTGACCCCCGTGAGGTGACAATGACGTCATCATCATCATCATCATCACTGATGATGCCATCAGCATCATCATCATCACTGATGACATCCTCGGCATTAGCATTGTCATCGTCATAATCACTGATGACATCATCAGTGACGTCACTGATGGCGGCATCGTCATTGTCACTGATGACGTCATCAGTGACGTCACGCGTCCCATAATGCACCGCGCGGTTACGACGGCGACGACGCCACTCTAGTTGTAAAGGGGCACTTAAGAGCTGCGCTCTAAAAACTATAAGTGAATTTATTTGAAGATGTATGGTAGACAAACCTTTATCCTTATTAGTCCTCCCTTTTTTCATAAATAAGCCACACAGCATAATAAGAGCACCACATACCATATTTGTGCTCAACCAAACAAGTATACACTGAGTGACCTGCTGGCAGCCACTTTGTGCAGTTTTTGTCCCAATACAGTTGGAGTATAAACAAACACAGAACAGAATGTTTACTTGAGCATAAAACCGTAAGAAATAAATAAAAAAAAATATTTATTGTCAATTTATAGTTTTTATTTTAAATCTGCATCATATTCTTCTGACATTCAAACATTTTTGTGGCAGATAGGTTTCAGATAGGTTTCATGTAAGTGGCATCTCCGTGTCTGTATTTTCTTTATCTGACTGCGAGATGCGTGTTAAAGACCTCAGGCAAGCGGTTGTATTGCACTGGCCAAATGTTTTATTCACAGTGGAGACGTTAGACGTTCCTTGGGGAAGACTAACTCCCTGCTGTCTAAACTTGCATACAACAAACTTTTAAAAAAGCCAACCTACTGAATAATTTTCTGCCAGGCAGACAACCCTTTCCGAGTGTCCTTCTCTCCATTTCCTTTTGTGATCTTCTCCCCACTCTCTTGAAAGAAACTGGCCTTTGAGATACTCCACACAGAAAGGAGAATGGCTTGCTTCTTTCTTGAAATAAAGGGGATTTGAGATGTGGTTTCCTTCACTCTGGCTGCTCATTGAGCTTTAAACAAACAGTCAGAACTCGTAATTCAGTTTAAGAGTTGTGAAGAAGGAGAGCTTGTCATACAGGTGAAAAATGACCAGTACAGTAGTTATTTTTTAATAAATTAATTGCACCATAAAACTAATTTTTGAAAGATTCAGCCTCTGAAAAGCACTGTATAACACTGTAAATTTTGGTAAAGTGAAATTTGATGAAACAGCATCAAGCAATCTGACAAAATGTTGCTCAATGCAATGTAGTACGATGAAATACAAACTTATTCAATGACATGACATTGAAAAAAACTGAATTTGATGAAACATCTACAGTGAAACCCGCTTAGAACGAACCCACGTACAGCGAATTATTGTCGATATCGAACTCACGAAAAATTTAAATAAAAACGCATCTAAAAAGTACTTTTTATAACGAACAACATATTGGATATATGGAACTTTTCCTCCTGGGAAGGCTTCCAAAAACGCTCTAACAATCGTCTTCTAGTTTGCCCCTTCCCCCCAAAGAGAAGTAGGAAAAAAAGAAAATTCCAAAAGCTCGAGTTGCAAACACAATTGAGCAAAGAGGAGCGATTCTGAAGGGGAGAAAGCTAAAAAATACACTCTGCACGCACGCACACAAAAAAAAAACTTTTCATCTCAAGTTGTTTGCCCACAAAGAGAAGCGATTTGGAAAGGGAGATAAGCTAAAAAATAAAAAAAAATCTGCACGCATGCAAAAAAAAAAAAATATATTTAGCGCATTGTTACAAGGTTTAAGAGATAAGGAAGAAAGGAGAAGCTCTCGCCTTACAACAAACGCATCGTGGAAGTTCGTTGCAAATGTTTTTTTGCTATATCGAACTACTTGCAATATTGAACTGATCGTAGTGTTTCCTGGTGTTCGTTATTAACGGGTTTGACTGTAGTACCACACCGATTTTTACAAGGCTGGTTCTGACTTTGCTGTACACTGTGACACTGCTAGCATGAACACGACTTCGGCACCTTTTCACATTTTACTCGGAAAGGGTGCTGGCGGGCGTCAAAATTTACCACCTACGGTAGGGGAGTACCCAACTGAGCACTTCCCACCACTATAGTAGATGACAGTCCTTTAATTCTGAGAGAAAAACATAGAAAACCGGCAATGACCTGTCCATGCTAACAGTGTCACCGTGTGTACATACTGTTTTGCAAGATTTTGTGAAGGTGTCTCTAATAGGTCAAGGATATTTTGTTGCTTGTAACTCTGACATTTCCTTTTTATTCTTTGGTTACTGCTGCCTAGCCTCGCATACCTCTCAGATTAACTCAAACGAGCTAGTGGAGATACTCTAATAGGCCACTTGCTAAATCCCCCAAGCACCCGGCCTGCACTAGAGAAATTATGGGAATGGTGTTCCTTGAGCTCCCTAGTGATCGGTAATTGCAACCAATTCCATGGTTACATAGTTTTGAGTGTGATTCGGAGTTGCCCTGAACAAGCGTCTTATAGAGCCCAAGGACCTGTCATATCACTTTTAAAAATTTTCGTCAATGTCAGTGTTAGAAGCAAAGCTCGTTAGGGTCTAGCCTTGTCCGTCCGGCGTCCGTGCTCACATCGATTGCCATCCCATCTGTCTTCTTAAAAAAAGAAAAAAAATGTTTGCGCAGTCGACAGGATTGGAACTTGTGCGGGGAGACCCCAATAGATTTCTAGTCCATCGCCTTAACCACTGGGCCACGACTGCAAGACGAGTAGGGGGCTCTGAGATGTGGTAGTAACTCGAGCTGGGGATGTCATGGCTGGAATGTTGCATGTAGCCGCTCAACGTCTATACAGGAGAGCGCGCTGCGGTCAAATGCGTATATAATCGCATTAAACTTTACGTGCATTGGCTCAACGTTTATAGACGAGAGGGCGCTGCGGTCAAATGCTCAACTGCGTACATAACCACGATCCATACCACAGATTCTCTTTCTGACATGGACCGTTGACTTAGGCGGTGGAGATGCGTTCCCACGGTTTCTAGCGGATCCAAGCTGATTCGCTAGAAGAGCCACTGGCTTTGCATTTCACCGACCATGAAGCAGTAATAATGAAGTTGAAACGCAACCCGGATCTCAGCACTACCTATGAGCAATAAAAAAAATCAGTACCATCAGCACTACCTATGAACAATAAAATCAGTATCATCAGCACCACCAGAGCTTCGCCCCAATCAACATCATTCACCACGTAGAGATGTGGTAATTTTTTTTATACCACCCTTCAACCTGGCTGAGCTGCAGAAATCTCTTACATTATTATCACTCTCATAGAGCTTCAAAGAAGTCAATATTAAGTTAGAGACGCTAAAAATGCTATAAACAGCCCCGCTGACTCGGAGCTAAATCCTGGTTTTGGTTGTTGGGAATTCTTTGCTCTTTAAGCGATTCCTGCAACAATCACTGGAATGATAATATTGTAAGAGATTTCTGCAGCTCAGCCAGGCTGAAAGGTGGATCGCATGCACAGTATAAAAAATGCTGACATTGACGAGAAATTTTAAGAGTGATATGACAGGTCCTTGGGCCCTATAGGACGTTTTTTCAGGGTGATTCCAAGTTACACTCAAAACTGTGTAACGGTGGAATTGGTTGAAATCACCGATCACAAGGGAGTTGAAGGAACACCGTTCCCATGATTCCTCGAGTGCGGACTGGGGCGCTTGGGGTATATAGCAAATGATCTATTAGCATTAAAATGATGTATTTTTATTATGAGATTGCATTAAATGAAATTAGATGGCAGACCGGTGACAGATATTTTAAACTTTGGTGTTATACTTGATGCAGTAATAGTTCTGATGGGATTCTACCTGTACATTGATTATGCTAATTCAGGTACAGAGCGTTGCAACTTAATAACATTGTTTACTATTCTCAAGAACTTTAACTTATTTTTACAGCAAAGCTGTTTATGGCTAGGGTCCCGTGGACTTTTCGTGTGTGGCAACAGAAATGATGTCACAGATTCGTGACATCTTGTGACGTCACAACTTGGTGTCATGAGACGTCAATTTCCCTGTTAAAATTAGCGGGGAAATCGACGTCACTGGACACGAAATCATGATGTCACATCACGGCTTCGTGACGTCATACGTCACGACTTGTCACATGACGTCAATTTTCACGCTAAATTTAGTGGGGAAACTGCATTGGTGTTGAGGTCACGTTACATCAGTTTCCCCGCTAAATTTCCCCACCAAATTGAGCGGAAAAATTTCCCCGCTAAATTTAGCAAGGAAATTGACTCCACGCGACACGAAATAGTGACGTCACATCACAGCTTTGTGACGTCACATGGCGTTGCGAAGCTGTGATGTGACGTCACGACCTTGTGTCACATGACGTCATCTTCCCCGCTAAATTTAGCGGGAAAATTGACGTCACGTTACACGAAATCGTGATGTCACATCACAGCTTTGTGACACCATGTGAAATCACGACTTTGTGTCACATAACATCAATTTCCCCGCTAAATTTAGTGGGAAAATTTTCCTTCTAAATTTGGCGGGGAAATTTTGCTGCTAAATTTAGAGGGGAAATTGACGTAATGTTACCTCAACAGCAATGCAGTTTCCCCACTAAATTCAGAGGAAAAATTGACGCCACGTGACCGCAACACCAATTCAGTTTCCCCGCTAAATTTAGCGAGAAAAATGATGTCACGACTTTGTGTCACATCACCCATGAACGAATTCAGTGGCAGGAGGAGAGGAGGAGGAGGAGGGAAGCGCATCGCCCTCTCTTTGTCATTGTTCCAAGCGCTTGCGTGCCTAACTTCCTTTCCTTCCGCCGGGTGGCGTTCCCGTCACGCGTGTCTAGTTTCCTCCGGCTCCTTGTGGCGGCGATAGCCCTCGACATATGTGTGTGTACCGTTCGTCACAATGATCACCAATCAAGACATTAAATCTGTTCGTACCTTTGTTCAAAATTCTGTGTCGTGTGCTGAACAGCTTCGCTGGTCATCTACCTTCACTAAGTGGAATGACTCATCATTTTTCTGCTTTGTCCTTCACTTTATTTTATCAGGCTCTGAATGGGCCCCTGAGACATAAGCATGTAACTGCAAAGGCACTTCAACTTTCACTGTGCCATGAGCTTGAAAAACAGTTTGGGTTCAAAAAATACAAAAAGTTAAAGACTGTATAGTTACGGGATCAGTGATGTTGGCCATCCTTGATGCATTTCGTCACATGCATTCGTTGCAGGATAAATACATGCAGGAATTTGTTGAGACTGTGTGTCGGAGTGATAGACCTCTAAAAGACGGCACCAACTTGACATACTTTTACAACAAGCACATCAAGTACACCTGGAAGGACGATTTGCAACGCTTTGTGAAGATTGAGTGAGTCGGCTAAGCAAGAAGGCTGATTGCGGCCTGCAACACGCGATTCCTCTCCTACAAATATGTAGTGTTGTATTACATTTATTTCAGTGGTCTGGAAGTAGACAGCTGTCAAGACTTCTACACAATGTCAGCTGGTCTGTCATCTGCTGAGGTTGACTACCAGCAGTACCTGTTTGGAACAAACTCCCTGTCAATTGAAATGAAGCCCATCTACAAGCTAGTGCTGCATGAGGCAAGTGCCAAATGGCCAAGAAGCAAATCAGCCCATTAATCTACTAGGTCTTTTCTTGAACTAAAAATTTGTCATTTGTTGTCCCATATTAAACTTTACCCTATGCATGGCTCCTCAAAAGATAAATAATATCTTCTATATTCAAATTCAATTATTTATCTCTCTTCAGTTGGAGGGACTTGGAGCAAACCAGCAAATTTTACTAGGAAATTGTCTACTGTGCTTCTGTGTACTGATGATTTTTTAAAATTTCATCTTTAGGTGTTTAGTCCATTCTACATCTACCAGATGTTCATTGTGGCAGTCTGGCTGATCCAGCTTTACTACCAGTTTGGAGTCTGTGTTATCATCCTCTCCGTCATCTCTGTAACTGTCTCCGTGTGGCAAACCAGAAAGGTCAGTGCCCTATTTCATGCTTTTAAATCAAACAAGTCTTGTATTCAATAAAAAAAAAAAAAATGCAAATCTCTGCCATATTGACTTCATCACAGCCTTATCGCATTAGCCATTATAATTTATGGGATATATTTTGCATTGGTTTCACTGCTGTAGACATGACTAAGGTTGCAGGCCACATTAATTATTTTATTAGGGGTGATCCGCTTGTTTGCATTATGGTGCCCACTTTTTTTGACCTTGCATACATTTCTTGCTGTCACCTGATGTTTATTGTGTTTATTGGTCTATACGCTGATGCCTTCAGACTAGGATTGTTTTGTTCTTCAGGATCACAGCCTCATATAACAAACATAGACCACTGTAAGCTTTAAACATTGCTGCATCATTTTTTACAGCGGAGCTGTTATGGGCTAGTTTCCAGAGGATCATGTCCCCCGCAAAGAAATGTCGACACGAAACTCTGGTTGCTGATGTCGCTCATAGATGACGCTAGCTGTCCAGAGTGTTGTGTCTGCCGGTTGTCCGCTTGCCGCTGTCACTCATAGACCGCGGCAACATTTCTTCGGGGGAAGAAGTGCGGAAATGGAATGAGCGGCGAAGTGCGCAGCCTTGGAATGGTTTCGTAACCGCCGCGAGGCCACTATCGCCTGAAATTACACTGCATTGAGCGTTTCAGATTCCCTTGAGAAAGAAGAGCAGATCGCTCGCCTGGAAAGCCACAGCCGAGAACAGGAGTTCCAGCTCCGCTGCTCTTCCTTCTTCACCAAAGTGGAAAGGCTGAAAGTTTTTTTTTTCCCCTCTAGCCTAGGAGAGAGAGAAAATTTAGTGTGGTGTTATGTTAATTGCCATGACTCTTTCTGGTTCACTGGCACCTAAGTAATGAAACTCGTACCTTTTGCTTATCACTTCATATATGAAGCGTGTATGCAATGCATAGAATGTTTCTAGAATAGCTCTTTCAATTTTGGTTGGTTCGGTAAAATAGTAAGTCTTGACCTTTTGACCCAAAAACAGATAGTGTGAAATGTCTGCAGGCAGCTCGATGCGCGTGGAGCGAAAGCTTGCGCTGCAGAACCCAGGGATCCTGGGTTCGAGCCCCACCCCTGCCCGTTTCGATCTGGATGAGCATCGTACCAACGTGCGGTCGTGTATCACTACTGCGTGGTGCACGTTAAAGACCCCAAGCTAGCGGTTGTACTGCACTGGCTAAATTGCTCATCTACAGCGTGTGACTTTTTCGCAACTCTAATGGCTGACCAACTACACGCTGTATAAATATCCCCATAAACCAATTTTTACATATACATTTTTTATTACAGCAAACAAGGGCCCTCAAGGAAGCAGTTCACTCAGAATCAACACTGACAGTTTTGCGTGATGCATTGGGTAAGCTTTTATGTGAAGTACTCTCTTCTGATACTGCCACAAAGGATTGTTATACCATACATATGCCTTTTATTTCCTTTAGAAGATTAGTGAAAACATAGCTTGAGTCCCGATGACTCTATCCTTTCTCTTATTTTCTCGGACTTCCATACTCATTGCAACATTTATTTGTTACTTCACCTAAGTGCCTTGGAGGCAACGCAAGAAAAAGACACCAGCGTAAAAGCAACAACATAATGACAGAGATATCACTTTTGCGTCATGGAACTGTAGTATGTTGGTGCACTTTAAAATATTATTTGCACCTTCATTTGCACTTTCACAAAAACTAGCTTCAACAGTGTACTGCCATTGGGTAGCGTTCTTTCCCCATTTATGGGAGGAATAAAAAAGCTTTTCATATGAATAGACAGGTTACTTAGGATACATCATAATCTAAACCATGAGACAGGGAGAAATAAAATAACAGACAAGAGAACATAAAATTTAGATTTTGTGTCATATTATTAATTTTTTGTTTCTCCTTGTCTCAGGGTTTAGATTATGTTGTTTCCTAATAAGCTCGCCTGCATACTTTCACTCTTTACTTAGCGTATGTGCCTAATACATAAATAGTCTCTAAAAATATAACTGGATTTTTATGTAACAGTATGGCTTTAGAAAGTGCCATGTTTAGGTTTTGAGACAGGCACTTTTATTTATGATTTAGAAGCATTCTGTAACAGGCCTGAAACATGTTTTTTTTTTCCTTATTTGGTTGTGATTGTTGTTTTTATGAAGTCTAATACCCGGATGCGGTGGTTCCCAAATGGGGTTCTGCGGACGCGCTGGGGTCCGCGAAGCCGATTTTCGGGTCCTCGAAGCCCTCGCCTCAACCCTCTCCCTCTTTTCCTGAAAAAAAAAGTTTTTTTTTTTTTACTCGGTTAGGTGGTGCAAGCTGCTGCCCATTATAAAGGGTACAGCCATTACCATCTAACAGTAAAGGATGCCCTTTTCACACTGCAGTTAGTTGTCTCATTTTATAACCCCCTCCTCTCTCTTTCTTCTGCTGGCATGGGGTCCCCCATCACTTTGTCAAATCCCCAAGGGGTCCCCAATGCATCCATGCTTGAGAACCACCACCTCAGTGCATAACCAAGGCTTTTAAGGCCTGATTTACGAATAGGGACAAATTGAGCAGACTTCCATTGTAGTGGCATTGAAAGATTTTGTTAGGACAATGACCCAAGTAGCAAGTACTATACATTATTTAAAAAAAAGCTTTTGGGGTGCTATTAATGTCCAGTGCCACACCTTGTTTTACTTAAGTTAATAGGTTGTAATATACAAACACTTTGCATGTACACTAAACCTCCACGTAAAAAAAAATGCAATAAAAGATTGGTATGTCACATCTCATTGTTGGTGACGAGAGCACTAATGAGCCAGTTGCGAGAGCCATCATTTGCTCAACGAAAAACCTGATCATTGCGATGGAAGTATTTTAGTTTCATAATTTTATATATATCTGGAAAAAGCAGTTGAACCACACTTTCTTTGTATTTATTTAATTGTAGTGCACAACTATCAGTATGAACTGTAGCTTGTGTTAAATTTAGTGTTGTTGGCATATTCCTGAAATATCTTATCATTTAATATTTTCTCACATTCGGTGCTTACGAAATTTATACGGAACAAAGAAGCTATGTCCTATCTCTTGATAGCCTTACTCCGATGACAGTCTCAATCAACTGCTTTATGACGTAGTGTTCAATGGAACAGCCCAAGCAGGGGAGGTCATTTTGCTCGAGAGGTCGAAATAGCAGCAAGTGTACTGGCTGGGTGACATGCACTCATCACCACCCCCTCACACAATAGTGAATAAGTTACTGCCAGAATTATCAGTTAAGGGATGGCTCATTCAGTAGAAACCTGAAATTTTAGCCATTCAATCTCTGACAGTTTCAACAGTCACCTATGCACCTTCTGTGATTTTGGCCCCGAGCCAGTGGCTTCCACAGCTTGGGCTGTTTCACTGCATGCAATGTCAAGGAGTCGTCGTTTGCACGGCTATTGCTACCATTGGGTAAGACACAGCTCGCATGTTTTGTATAAGTTTGGTGGGCACTCCACTGGTTATTGTATTTGGTTTGATTTAACCTCTAATATGCCTAACTTGCATATAAACTTTGCGTGTAGAGGTGACTGTGTCTTCTAAAGAGCTGGTTCCTGGTGACGTCATCATTATTCCCGAGCAGCAGCACACCATGGAATGCGACGCTGTTCTTGTCAGCGGTGATTGCATCGTTAATGAGAGCATGCTCACAGGTACTTCTCCCCCCCCATATCTATCGCTGCAGCATTGACGCGTGCATGCATGCCATTTTTTTGTACAACGAAAGAACATGTGCAGGAACCCAATGATTTTGGCTTCATACCATTAAGTTCCTTCACCACCAAATAACGCTTCATCCTTTTATGGGCAGGCACGCTATCTCTCTTTTCTCACCTGGGAGATGGTGCTGCAGCAGTTAAGGCCTTATCTATAGACAACAGTCACGGGATGTGGCTGATATCAAACCAAAACTGCTAGGTGCTCCCAAGATTATGATTTTTGTCGTGATGCATAGAAATGAAACATGTGCTCAAAAGCTCTTCGACATAATATTAGTTCTGTGGGTTTTCCAGTTGCTTTGCAAGTTTGAAATTTTTGAAATGGTGCTTGGTAGTTATGTGCGAATAGTAGGTTTTCAGTTTGAGGCGAAGAGTGGTTTTGGTTGAAGATTGTAGAATCGAATATTGAATAGTTTCTCGGAGCCTTTCACTACCATGCACCATTAATAAATAAAAATTCAACTGAATTCGTGAAGGTTGTTCACACCTTCCACTTGTCCACTTGTAAGCTTGGAATTTTAAATAGCGATATTTATGAACAGTGGCATATGTAAACTTCCAGGAACATTTTGGTCAATACACCTTCACAAGTAAAATGTATGTAATGTATAATAGAACATATTTCATAGAACGCATTCAGCCTTTCAAGCTTTCCAAAACCTTACCATGCCGACGCCTTTATATTTTTCCTCTAGTAAAGCATATGTGGCAGTTATCCCCTTTAAAAAAATGATTAGAATTAAAAGCAAACACACTGTATATCAATTACTGTATTCTCCAGTATATATATATCTAGATAGGCGTCGTGACAGTCCTTTAAATGGGTGAATGTCCTGATTGAGTCAATGAGCAGTTGGATCTTCTTGTCTATTGAAAATCCATGTCTGATTTCGTTAGTCTCTTTAAGCTTAGATAATTCTCTCCACATAACCCATATAGATGATGATTAACCTCTTTAAAATATTACATCAGTATGAGCTATGCACCTTGGAACACATCTTTTGCATTAAAAGCCAATTCATGATTTCAGGAGAAAGCTTCCCTATCACCAAAGTTCCAGTGTCTGCAGAAGATGGCTTCTCATGCACTGCCAACAAGAGAAACACACTCTTTTGTGGAACAACTGTACTGCATTCAAGAGCCACCAGCAGCAAGAATGTGAAGGCCGTCGTTTACAGAACAAGTAAATTATGCATGCTAAAAATGCCTAAAGGGGCTGAACAAGAATATTGTGTAGGAATGTTTCTCACTTTACACAGGCATACTGGCACTAATGGCACCCAAGTATGCTCGCACGCAATGCCACTGACCAAGAAGCTTCTTTGTCGTCACATAATTTCAGGGAAAAAGACGGTCATTTTCTTCTAGTCTCTCCTTTGCAAAGCTTGATGACAAAGTTGAGGAGCTCGCATTGTTGGTGTTGTCAACATACAATCCCCAGGATTTTGTTATCAAGCTTTGCCATCTCCGTGGTCACAATATTTAAATGCGGCTCATACAGTGAACAAGAGAACTGCGGGAGCATACGACTGGGTTAGTGACAATCAATGCCTCAACATGCATTCAAGTAGTGGCTTGTACCCAATTGCTGCGATGACAGGAAGAGCCGAACCTTAACAATGTGTGGAACTCAATGCATGCCCTGTGCATTGCCAACCTCTGTGTGTGGCTATGACAAACATTGGCGGACATCGTCCCTGAGGTTGTCCTAGGCGTCGTTCTAAGCATCGTCCTCTAGGCATCGTCCTCGACGTCGTCCTAGAAGTCGTCCTTGAAGTCGTCCTAGACGTCTTCCTTGAGGTCGTCCTAGACGTCGTCCTTGAGGTTGTCCTCCAGGCGTCATCCCCGAGTCGTCCAAGAAGCCGTGCTTGAGATCGTCCCACCATAGCTGGTCTGCCTTCTTCACCAAATTGGAAAGGCTGAAAGATTTTTTTTTTTTTTTCTGCTCCCTTAGTTTGTCTGCGGTGTACTGGCATGGACGGCCACATTTCGCTATTGCCGAGGTTGCGGCGGCGGCGGAGCGCGCGCTCTCGTGATGCAGACGTAGCCCCCCTCCCCCCTCCCCTCCGGCGCCTGACACAAGAGCGCTCGGCCGCCGCTCTTGTGTCAGGCGCCGTTTTGCTCAGCCGATGGGGGAATGTGCGTTTCTTTTGCGTTTTTTTTTTTTTTGGTTACAGACACCGCCGACTCCGCTCCTTGGGATAGCTAATGCTTTCACATTAAAATTGTTGCATTGCCTTTTTATACCTTTATTACCTGAAATTGTTTTCGAGTGTCTGAAATGGGGGAATCGCTTGCAGGCTTCAGCACTATGAAGGGGGAACTGGTGAGAACAATTCTTTTCCCCAAACCAGTGCACTTCAAGCTGTACTCGGATGTCATGAAGTCAATGGTGATTTTTCTCATACTCGGTAGGCATCACAGTATCTGTTTCCACGTGTGCCACCACGCTTCTGGTACAAGCAATATCTCGGCACACTTTTGCAGGTATTCCTGCAATGATCTACACTGGCATTGTATTCAAGAGCTTAAATGTGAGTTGGATACCCTTACACAAGATATAAATTGCTGTGCAAAACCCTTAATTTTTGTCAGTCTCTAATACTAATACTATTTGCAAACAGTGCATTAGATGAAATATAAGAAAACAGTAAAAGAGTCGAAAAATAAGAATAGAAATTAAGGGGGAGCAAATTTGTCCCTGCGAAAAACTGAGGTTGCAAAAGTGAGGGGTTTTCTTTTGGATTACTGCCTATGGACAGCAGTTTCAATACTAGTTTGCATAAAAGCAAGGCAAAGCACAGCCACTGCTTTTTTGTTAAAATATAAAAATTTGTGTAGCCCCTATTGACTGAGCTCTCAAACCTGCAACTGTACCATGACGTTCAAAGTCAATTTTTTTGGAAACTAAGTAACAAGCATTGATTAGAATTGATTATGGAAGTTAATCTACCATTAAACGTTTGATAGGCATTATAAGTTTGCAGGGAAAGCAATACCCATGTAACTATGGCCTCCTTTTTAAAAGATTTGTATTGATTAAAAGCAAGTACCTCGTATGTCAGAAAGTAAATAATCTAAAATGAACCTAAAAAATTGGTAAGGGCTGATCAAACATAGGTCATCCTTTCACATGCCTCATAAAAATGGCAACACTGATATCAAGAACTTGTTTGGGAGCTGTGCACTAGAATTTCACGGTGCTACAGGATGCATGGTGAACAGAACAGCGCAACAGAGAAAAGGAACATGCACAACACACAAGCGCTGACTCGAAACAGAATTTATACACAAAAGGAAGAAAAAGAGGACGTTCTGAAAGACACGCAGGGCACGCACTGCGTGTCACATGCGACTTCACACCATTTAAGTACAAGGTTTTTGCCCCATAGAGTATGCGAGCAGGAATTGCAATGAACAGAAAGATGACCGCCCACCGTAGATTTTAGTTGTCAGCGGTGGCTGGGTGCTGACGTTTCGATAATGTGTAATGCGATGTTGGTTTGAGAAGAAAATGAAATAACATTTATGATACCGGATTAACTTCTGATTACATGGAGAGGTCTCTTTTGCGTGCGTTACAAAAAGTTACAATTCTTGGACCTTTCGTTATCTCTTCATGCAAACCATATCTGCTGGAGTTCCTCACCTAGGTCAAAAAAGGGCATTCTTCATGCAACACTTCAGCACATTCGAAAGTTGTTAAAATGGGGATTGCGATTATACCATACTTGGGGCTGTGCTTACGAAGTCCTGCTTTCACACTGTTCGTGAAAGTTTTAACGCTCAAGTTGAGAGACTCCAAAAATTGGGCTTCCCATCACAGGTTTTAAACGAGGTGGTGGGGGCCTTGGTACGTAAGACTAAAGGGATTCAGCGAAAGAAACCTAGAGATTAACAGAAACGAAAGTTAGTTGTACCATAGATGCACAAAACCTCGCATAATTTAAAAAGAGCAGCTGAAAGGTACGATGTGCTTGTGGTGTTTTCAGCTCCCAAAAGAATGTCGCAAATCTGTTCAAAGGTTCGCTCGATAGTGGTAAACCTTAACAAAGACAAGTGCCAGAAACGCTACAGCCACCCTTATGTGCAGTGTTCAATTGGCGTAGTGTACAAAATCCCACTAACATGTGGTAGAAGCTATGTGGGCCAAACTGGACGGTGCCTAAACGATCGCCTTCTCGAGCATGATCGCTCACTATGTTAGCTTGACCCAGCTCGTTTGTCCGCTTGTTTGTCTTGCCTCGGCGGGATCTGTAATGGATTTTCAATACGTGACTTTTCGAGAGCGCACGGGGTTGCGGGCCCAGCTTGTTTACGCTTCGCGGGAGCGAGAACTGAACTTTGCCCATAGCGCCTGCCTGGGAACAAGAAACCGCATTACCTGCATGGGAAGAAACCGCTCTGAAGAGAACGACCGGAAGTACGCCACATAACGCACGCAAAAGAGACCTCTCCATGTAATTAGAAGTTAATCCGGTATAATAAATGTTATTTCATTTTCTTCTCAAACCAACATCGCATTGCACGTTATCGAAACGTCAGCACTCGGCCACCGCTGACAACTAAAATCTACGGTGGGCGGTCATCTTCCTGTTCATTGCGATTCCTGCTTGTGTACTCCGATTCTTAAAGGCACAACAATAAATGGACATTATGGAGATAAGTCGGCTCGCGAAATCTTGGAAGCGCATTGTGTCAATAGCCTAGGGGACTGCTGCATTAACCACCCATTGGTGACACTGCTTCAAACCGAAACCTTGTGTTTAGATCAGACTATGGGGCAAAGACATTGTAGTTAAATGGTGTTCTGCCGCATGTGACATGCACTGCCTGCCCTGCGTGTCTTTCAGAACGCCCTCTTCTTCTTCCTTTTGTGTGTAAATTCAGTTGCCAGTCAGCGCTTGTGTGTTGTGCATATTCCTTTTCTCTGTCCTCGTCTTTTTGTGCGCTGTTCTGTTCACCATGTCATCACACCAACTCGCCCAACTTGTAACACTTCTACAGGATGCAGTCGATTTTGTAGGCATGTAATGGATATACATTTTTAATTTTTGAGTTTTTGACACAAACAGAGTTGAGTTTAATTTTTGAAAGAGTAGGGTGACAATGGAAGAGCTTGAAAAAAAAAAAAGAACCATTTTATATTACAAATTTTATTCTTGGGCATGCAATAGTATTCTACACACTTAAACATTTTAGGGTTTTGTTAATAAGGCAAGTGTTACTTTCTATTTGTAGGCGTTTGTGAAGGACATTGCAATCATTGTGATTGATGTGGCCACCTTTGTGGTTCCACCACTCCTGCCAGCTGTGCTGACCAGCATCAATGCATCGGCTCAGAAACGACTTAAACAACGGGGCATATACTGCCTCAACTCTCGCTGTATCAACTTTTGCGGAGGGCTCGATGTCGTCTGCTTTGATAAGGTGACCACTATGTTTCTTTAATCTAGTGTGTACTACAGCTGATTCCATTGAGTCAGTGAAGTCATTTTTTACTGATCCTAAGGAAGGTATATTAATACTGTGCTAAACCATGAACCCACCCAGTATCAAACTCATGCATGTTTCATATAAGGCAAAACTTGGGAGCCTGGCATAACAGCATATCTCCTTTTGGATTAACACAGACTTGGTGTCTTAGAATTTGGTATATTTATTTGTTTTCTTTGTATGCTGTTGCTTATATTTTTATTCCCCTCTAGCAATTTGTTATTTGTTCGAGGCTTGACTTAATTCTTTTTCATTCTTTCAGACCGGAACTTTGACAGAAGATAGTCTGGACATATCTGCAGTTATTCCATCTGAGAATGCTATGTGAGTAGCTATTCATCCAAAACACTTATGCCTTAAAAAACATCCAATCAGTGTCGAGAAAGTATGGTGTGCATTTTCTACTGTAGTCTCTCGATAACTATTGTCTACGGCCTGTATATTGCTTTATGAAAAAACCTATTGGCTTTGACCTTCACTTTTTTCAGAACTTATGATTGCCTGGGGCATATTATGTTGATCCCAATATAAAATAATCTCTAGTGCAACTTTTGAAACCTTTAGGGTTGCTGCTATGGCCTGCAAGTCCTAAGAATATTTTTTATCTCTCATTTACCCTTTTGGATGTGACACTCTTGTTCATACAGCAGTTTTATTTGAACGTCTGATTTGAACCACTGTAGCAATTTCGAGCATAATACCAATGAAGAGTCTCATCAGTAGGCTCATTCAATTTACCTGCACCTCCTGCACCAGGTGCACTTCGTGGACACCACCATATTCAATTTAAAAGTATAGCCTATCTCAAAGCACAACCGGAAGTTCATTGCACTACACTTTTCTACACAATGTAGGCTGGTGCAGGTAAATCGAATGAGCCCAGTGTTAATATGGGAAGACAAGTTTATCATGAGTTCTCACAGTAAATGTTTGTATTGGTTAGACTTCTTCTAACGCAGAATGTGTTTTATGGCTAGCACCTAACCTTGTCAGGTTAGGTGCAAACAACAAAAGTCGACAGGCCGACTGCCAGCTGAACGCTGTTCCAGTGCTCGTCTCCTCACTGATCGTACACCTATGCCAGTCGAACCTCTTCCTTGAGCGTCTTCGTGTTACTCTCGGCAAAAGTAAAACATCACATGTTCATACATACAGCGGCAGAGCAGCGCTCTGGTCCGTGAAGCGAGCGTGCTCCGGGCTTCCCCAGAGAAAGAGCGCAAGAGAGAGCGGCAGAAAAGAAGAGAGAAGCAAGCAGACGCTCACTTTGCCACCGGTGTTTAGTTTTCTTTTGCTGCAAACTGGCTCAAGGGCTCTGATTGGCGCTGCCCAGTTTCAATTGCTCTGTTTTCTGTACGCTCCGTCTACTGCATCTCGCACTGCATCAGGCACTAAGAAAGTCGAATTTACACCTCAACAGCAGAGGATGGCACCCGCAAGTAAGACGTGCATGGAGCGCTCATGCGCTTACCTTGCATGACACAGGGCCGCTTCGCGCTATCCAGTCTACACATTTGTACACAGTTTCTCCACACTACTACATCACATTCTGCATTACTACTGCCTTTGCTACGCTAGTAGGGCAAAAGGGAATTATATTTCACTTTTTGCTTCCTTTGACTACAGAGTGGCTAATAAAGGGTGAGATTATGAAATTATTCCAGATAAAAAGTTTTGTGAAAAAGTAACCAATAGTACTGATCAGGGGCGGATGCAGGAATTTCCTGAGGGGACGGTCAGGTGTTGGTCAGCGTACCATATGTTCAGGGACCCCCTCTTCCTCTCCCTCGTTTCACGCCCTAAATTTTACACATTCAGAAATCATGAGGGGGGTCAGGACATCCGGACCCCCCCTCTAAATCCGGCCCTGGTACTGATCTTAAATTTGTGTCTTTTCCCCCATTTGCCGACAGTCTGCAACCGGTCATTCAAGATTTGACACATCTGCCACACAGCCCACTACTTGTTGCACTGGCAACATGCCACTCCTTGCACATGATAAACGGGGAAATGGTTGGCTACTCACTGGATACTAAGACCTTCCAGGCTATTGACTGGGTATGCTGATTACTTACGAAAAACATATCTCCACCCAAGCATGCACAGTCAACTTTTTTGATATTAAGCAATGGGTCATCAACTGTTTTCATGTACTAAATTACAAGCATAGGTTGGAAGTAGTCAGGAACCTTGAGCCTATTTCACCTTTCTTTGTTTCTCTTAAATTGTATGTTGATGATATACAGCATGGGTGAAATGGATCGAACGCACTTTAAACTGACCGCATAAATCAGTTTCTTGTCGTGCTGGGATTTAGTACAGAGTTGCTTGAAGTTGGTGGAAGCTTTCGCTAAAATTGTGGCAAGATTGGCTCACCTGAGTAAATCAAGAAAAATCTAAAACTGTTTTCCCTCTATTTTGCATGTACACTAGAAAATATTATGTGTTGCTTGCTGTGGCACTTATTTAGGCCAAATAAAGTGAAGAGTAGGTAAGCCAATTCTATAGTCTCCATTTCACAAATTTTTCAATAATAGTAAACGCCAGATAGCCTACAGCGATTTTTCGATGATTTTGAGAGAAAAGGCTTAGTAATCATTTTTCCATAGACAACAGTTTTTTTTTTTTTTCTTTTTGACCGTGGAGGTTTTATGTATTCATACTCTCAATTAATGAATACACCAGCTTCGAGCACTTCTATAGTAAATCCCAGCGCGATAAGTTAAGGAAGTGATATATGCGATCAATTTAGAGTGTGTTCAATCCATTTCGCCCACGCTGTAGATACAGAAAAACCCCTCCTCTATAGTAAAGACTGGTATGGACATTTGAGAAACTGACATTGGGTAGATATTTCCTGAAAAAGCCTACCGTAAAGTTCCGAAAGGGCACCCACCGAAATGAAGAGGTAAATGGTAAAAAACATGGGGTGGGCTATCTTTGGGGACGCCACAGCAAAACTTTATCAAAAACCGGCTGCAAACCACGTGACGCGGGAACTGATAAATTCGATCCAGAAGAGGTTCCCAAAGCACCCGTAGTTGAGAACCACTTCACTAAAATCACTGGATCCCAGGCAAGTAGTGCCATTGCCTTCCCTGCCTACTAGCGGGACACAAACAGATACTATCATATAGACGACCAAAGCCTTGCGAGACAATTGGCTGATTGGTCTTTGTTGCCATGGTAATCACCATTTCGGTCCTTTTAAATCTTCGAAGCTTTGAAAGGGTTGTTCTTAACCAGCAGAGCGAAGATTGCTGTGGAGCGTCATAATACTGATAGCTTTCCTCGCCAACATAGGCACCTTTGGCACTGTGTATGCAATCAACTTATCAGTCATGTTTATCTCCACAGATCTCTTACAGTGATATTGTCTTTGTGTATGTCAAAACAGGAAAATTATTTTTCAATGCTGCAAGCACCAATGCCACTTGTGGCGGCGGTGCTAAGATGCGAGTTTGTTTCGCCGGTGTGCGGAAAACAAAATCTTGGGTATTAGTGTTATGCGAATATTCAAATTTTCGAATAGTAGTTTCAAATAATACGCTATTTGGTATTCGCTTCGATGTGAACTGGGATATTCGTACTTCTGAAAGTGTTGATCGCCGCGGGTTACCCCGTTAAGTATGCTTCTCACCAAGCACCGATGTGCTGCGGGGAAACAATACCCATGGGGCTTGTGGGCTCCTTGGGTATACCTTCCCCGCAGTGCCCAGTGGTTCGGTGAGAAGCGCACTCAACGAGGCGAGCCCGCCGCGATTATGCGAGAGTAGTATATGTTAGGCAGCGATGTCTTGACAGCCCGCGTTCGTCATTCATGCTTGCTTTGTTTTTATTTCGTCAAATATGAAATGGAAGAAAGAATATTTGCATATAGCAAGCAGATTTATAAATCCCCTCGATTAGGATAACTGCGACGAATCTGTTGTTTCATGCAACTGTTCATGTAGTAGTTATGTTAAAATAACCGTGCTCATTCGTGGACAGTTGGAAGGTTGGGAGCAACCTTCTCTAGTTAGGATGAATTCTTATTTAAAGGGCAACTCCGCTTCATTTTTGGTTTTGAAAAAACAATGCAGTCCTCTTCAGCATCGCTTAGGAAGACCACACGTCAAATATTACGACGCAGTTCTGTCTAAATGTTTCTTAAACGGTCCGGCAAACTTTGCAACTCGCCAAGTTGCCGAAATCGGCTGACTTGAGCGGGCGAATTCAGGCGCAACCTACAGCGCAGTGAAGGCTACGGCATGGGCGGAGCCAACATTGAGCTAAACGTCATCATCATGGCCCCCTTTTGCTTGTTTTTACTTCTCCGATCGAGCGTAGCGCATGACGTCAGCAACGTTGCCTCTCGGCGCTCAGCGGTGTCCACGTGATTGGCGTACGCGCCTGCGCAGCGCGCTTCTTGGGAGCAGACCAACCGCCCGCCGTGGTCCCGCCGTTACCGCCGTCTTCCGCGTCACAACCACCGTCGTCGTCACACCGTTTGTGATTATTGCCTCTCGGAGTTTCGTCCACACTATGGACACCACGTGCGCAGAGTCGCAGACTTATGCCGCAGTTGTGCAGATGTCGTTGAATGCCGTAGACACCAAAACGTGGCGAAGAGTGCGGCGCAGACGACACTCGCGCCTGCCGCACGCCCGCCCCCATCCCGCCCGTCGTTGGGCCGAGGATCACGTGACATCTCCTACCACGTGATGGCCATGTACTTGGCGGCCCGAGGCCAATGTTGCCGGATGGAGCCGAAGTTTTGGTTTCGAATTCCGCTCGTGTTTAAAATTATATTTTAAAATATATATCCCATTTTTCGTGAAGCAAACGACGTAGTGCCTTTTAGTAGGGCTTTTTAATTCGAAATCACTCATTATCCCGAAATCTTCGGAATTGAGCGGAGTTGCCCTTTAAGGGCATGGTGCACGATAGTGAAAGACTAAGAAACTATTCAATATTCTATTAGAAAATATCGGACCAAAACAACTATTCGCTTCGAACTCACAATATACTATTTGCACTTACTTGACTACTCGGTATACAAGAAAGTACTTTATAAAACAACATGTCACCGCAAATTAGGATTGGCTCACCAAAAGAGTGTAACGCGATAGCTAAACATATGAACCCCCGCTCGTACCCAAGCCATGCAAGTGTGCCTTGCGTGGCCTAGTCGGTAGCATGTCTGACTCGCACCTGAAAGGTCTTGGGTTCGAATCCCACCTAAAATTCCTAAAATTTTTCTTTAAGGCAAATGAATTACTTTATAAAGTGAAATCATTTGAGACATCTGGCGAGTTTTAATTCACATTGCATGTCATGTTTTAATCACTTTCATTTCACGCGTGACCTCGCGTTTCTTGTGAGCGTTGTGGATTGTTTGAAATTCCCACACGAGGCCAAGTGGCTGTGACGTCAAGACTGTATCGACCTATCAGGATTTCCCCGTTTCACCGACGCCGACACCGGATTTTGTGCAACACGAGCTCCTTTATGCTATTGCGTTAAAATGGTGAGCTACTGTATGGGGAGCTAGGAGTTACTTTTCCAGGACCTTAGGATACACCTTAGGATACACCAATGATAGTTTCATTTTTGTTTCGTAATGTCATCTCACTCATGGAATAAGTGAAAGTGAGTGAGCTCATTATGGTGCTATTAGGATTTGTGTTTGAAAATTAGAGGCCTAGATTGTAAAATAATTCCTAGTCAAATTGCTGAACAGCTGGTGAGGGCAAAAGAAGGCTTCTGTAAAGGTCTATTAATAAATGAAAGAAGTCCTGGGGTCCTCAATATCTTTCCCAGCCTTCCCATACCACTTGTTTTCTTTTATTCTGTGTATTGCTCACGAAACCAATAGCAAGTATCTTGTTCTATGGAGGGGCAGAGAAGGTAGAGGTAGCTGAAGAGATTGTTTTGCAATGTTTGCTCTCTCTGTGAAAGAGAACATGCATGTTGAAGTGAGTTGCACGATATATTTTTTTTAATACTACTTTATATATGAGAATATTTTTCTTTTTTTACGTTCAGTATTGAAGCAGCTTTGAAGTAGTCACGTGTTTATGAAGGGTTGGATAGAGGATTCACTCATGGTCTTTTTGACTATGTAAAGAGGGGCACGAAATACATCTCTTTTTGTTGTGTGCATTTCAGCTTCTCTTAATCTTTTAGTGTATTTAAGCATGAAAAGATTAAGGGACGAGCAAACTTGTCATTTTTAAATTACAAGACATGCCTGTTTTGTTTTTACAAATTATCTTCTGTTCCAAGGATTCCAAGGATAAAAAGTGAGGTCAGTCTCGTGCATAGCTGCTCATGCTTTCCTTTGAATCTCAAGCATGCTGAATTTACAAACCTTTTGACTCAGTTATAAGCACTTCTCTTTGGAAGCACCGAGTTCGAACAAGTGACAATATTTACACTATTGTGAGTTTTAGTTTGAACCAGAACAATGTGACTGTCATCTTCAGGTATTGGAAGAACCGGAATCCACTGATGCTGTAAGCTTTGAGAGGACTCCGGCACGTATTGTGAGGCCACGGAACATGGTTGAGGTAAACACCAGTTTACCTAAATTAACTTTTGTTTTTGTTTAAAAAAAAATTAATGTATAAAGATGTCTAAAATGCAATAGCACCATGAAAAAAAAAAATCCTGTAGCAATAATTTATGAGTTTTGCCCTTTTCTACCCATTGCAAATTTTTCTCTCCCAAACCACAACTAAAAAAAATCAGGCTATGGAGAGGCTCAACTACAGTGATACTAACAGTCAGATGTCATAAAAACACGGGTTAAATATAAACCCATAAAAAGCATTGTCATGTAAGAATGAAAACTCAAGTGATGGACCAGATATTTGTAAAGCAGAATTTGCAAGGCTGCAGAATATATATTTCAATTAGAAATTGTAAGATCTTTAAACTAACAGTGTAATTTGCTAGCGAGTATAATAGTTGGGAGCCTTCAACTACAAAAAAAAAAAGCAATTTGTACAGTTATTAAGGTTTAGAAAAATGGAAGCTAGTGTAAACTAGTAATCATTACTGGAACTTGCATTCAATTTAGGAGTATCTAATAACGTCATGTTAATTAAGCTTTTACAGCCATGGCTATAGAATAAGGTTGTTTCATTTAGTTTGCAGACTTTCTCGTTTAAAGACATACTGATGGCCAATTCGTCTGGGCCTGCACCGCACCCGTTCAGTGCAGTAAACTCTTTCCACTTTATACACGAAAGGCTGGCGAGGAGAGAAGGACGCTTCCCTCTCCCCTATAGCCTTCCGTGTACCACGAACCGCACTGCACCGGTGCGGTGCGGGCCCAGACGAATTGGCCATTAAACAAGAAAGAGGATATAAAAGGCTTACATATCACATTTATTCAATAAATATGATTGCATGCTATAGTCTGGGTAAATATGGTGGTGGATATCGACTCAATACATACCCCTGCACATCTAGATTAAGAGAGGGATGCCAATGAATGATAAAGCAAGATTAAATTTTCTTGGGTGCAAGCATAATTCCTGTTCTATTTTCTGATATAACCTATTTGTTAATCACAATATTTGACTTTTTGACTTCTACGAGAAAGGGTATACACATGCTTTGGTTATGGCCAACCTATTTTCTGAGTACATACATCATTCTAGATTTTTGTCTAAAACTACAATGAAGAAAAGGCAAGCATGTTTGCTACATGCTGTGACACGCTTCTCGTGATTTGTGCCGATTTTTAAGTACTATAAGTGGGGTTCTGCATCTTCAGGGTTTCTTTTCCCTCGAATTTGGGGGTGTTTCTTTCGGGGTTGATTTTTTTCCACAGATTAAGTGTTTTTCGGTGTCTATTTTGGCTATCCGTTCAGAAACCGGACAGCTAACAAAACCGGACCTGGCCAGGTAATTCTCCAACCTCCAGGAAACATGCGCGTGACTCAAATACCAAGAATCAATAAAAGAAGGAAACGAGATAAAGGGTGCGGTTCCCCAGGAAACAAGCGGCCTCGTGGACAGTTCAGTGCAGGCTGTATTCTTGGTCTGCACAAAGTAAATCTTTAGAGAATGATTTCTTTCTTCGAAGGTCAGGTCTTTATTATTTGAGGACAGCTCCACTTCAGGGTTGTTCGGTTTTCCTAGATTTTCATAAAACCGGATCGGCGGTTACCTTTTAGCGTTTATTGGTATGCCATACTGAAAAGACGGAACCCTAGCTATAAGCCGTTAAATGAGATTAAGGTATGAGCAGGTTAACTGAACTCGCAACGAACGAACGGGAGACGCATGTCGTTCTCCTTGAACAGGGTGACGTGTCCATTGGCATTGTGAGGCAGTTCCCTTTCGAGTCTCAGCTCCAGAGGGCGTCGGTGGTCATCACCCCTGCCGGAAGCAACCGGTTCCAGGTGTATGCCAAGGGCGCTCCAGAAACGATAATACGGATGTGCACCGAAGAATCAGGTATGTTTCGTTTTCCCCTGGTCAGATTTGGAGGAACATAACCGAGTGCAAAAATAGCTTAATATTTGTGGATTTGTTGGTCTATAGCCATACTGGCACATCATAAAAAAGTTAGTGCAATTTCATTACATGTTTTATGTCTCTCCGACGCAGAATGTGTGCACTAGCAAATTAACCTGAATAAGACTAGTGGGAAGGAAAGGCACTAGAGGAGGCTAGGCTTGATAATTTGTCCTGAAAGGCTACTATGACCTGGTGTACCTAAACTTCAAAGCGTTTCAAACTGCTCGGTCAGGGTCACGTGGTTTATGGGCCGCGTTCACAACACAAGCTGCGAGGAGGTGACGAAAGCGGTGGTTTTCCTGCAATCGTCTCCACTTCTTCGTGCACTTTCTTCCTTGCCATGCGACAATGCAACACACACACACTTGGGACCAATCTGCGCAGGAGGCGTCCACCATTAAAGGAGCTGTGCAACGATTTTAATGTTGAAAGAATTTGCATCTTCTACTTTTGACATTGTTTATCTTGTCACAAAGGACAAAACACATCTCCTTCCTTCGAAATGTTGCAATCCCGCCGTGTAATTGCGAGGCAAAAGCTAGAATATTTCCCGACCTGCAGCCGCAAGCAGTGGCCATGAGAACCACAAGGCACGATGTCAATGGGAAACTTGCAAGAAGATAGGAAGTTGTGCAAATACCTGCTCGATAAAAGGTAATTTTTTTATAAATCTTGTCGTTCCAACATAAATATAAATGCCTCGAAAGCCTGGTATCATCGACAAAACTTTTATTATATGGAGTTTTAGTGGTGCCATCTATCCGAGGTCGACAAAACCAACAGCTCTTATCTGCTACCACGAACAGCCGCCAGAAGCCGGAGGGAGGCGGGGGCAAAGCCGGACTGGGGCAGATCCGGACGGGGATGGCCGGACCCGGATGAGACTTTCCTCCTTTTGCCATGAACGCGCTGCGCAAGCACATGGTTGCATGGTCGCGAGCGGGTGATCTCGCTGCTCACTGATGGCTCCAGAGAGAGAGCTTCATCAAAACCCCGTGCGTCCCCCATTGACGTCACAGCACACGTGATTTGGAAGATGGTGAAGGAGTTGAGAGGTGCCGAAAACCTCAATCTTGTCCATTTTTAAAATAAAAACTAGGGAATGCAAACAAAAGCGGTTTTTGTTCTTTAGTTCTGAAAGGTCGAAACACCAACTCCCAAATTATTAAAGAAAAGCACTGAAATTGTTGCACAACTCCTTTAAATTGAAAACGCTTTACATGTTTGAGTAGGTCCGTCTGTTAAATCTAGACTCTCTACTATGTATTGGGGAGGGGATGCAGACGACTTCCTGAGAAAGATACAAGAGACTTTATGACTTCAAAGGAAGCCTTCTCGTGCAGTGCAAAGCAGGTTAGAGCACTTTGTCTTTTTCAGTCCCTAGCGATTTCACAGAAACACTTGAAACCTACACGAGGCATGGACTTCGCATTTTAGCAGTGGCTTCTAAAGTTCTGCCAGATGACACCACCTGGGATCAGGCAATGCACTTGTTACCAAGGTAGGTGTCAACATGAAACTTTAGCCTATTTACCCTAAAATTTATCATTAATGAGCTGTGCTTGCTATTTTGCTAATTGAGCAGCTTGGAGGGATGTTACAAGTGCAGTACATTTTTCGAAACTTTCAGAGTAGAACTCGAATATGACCTGCAGTTCAGGGGCTTCGTCATTCTTCAGAACAAACTGAAGCCCGAGAGTGCACCTACCATTGCAACTCTGGAGGGAGCATCCATAAAGACTATCATGGCCACAGGCAAGATTGGCATTATTTTCTTTCCTTCCGCCATTCAGTGCCATAAATGTTCTGGTCCGATTTGATGCTCTCCGCCATCTATGAAAGCTGTGAGTGCATTTTGGTAACCATTGAACAGGCTGCATTCTAGACGGAATGTGGCCTTGTTCCATGGTTACTTCATGAAAAGAACCACTTGCAAGTCGGAGCAACTATGCATCAACGAACAAGCCAGGCTCACCGTCAGTGGTGACAAGGTTAAGGTTGAGCTTGAAATTGAGAGTTATTAGAAAGTCCTACTAAGGCCTCAATAACTGAGTAACTATACTGGTTTTCACCTCAAGAACCACAATAAAAAAGTCGGCCCCTGCAGATTATTACTAATTTCCCCCTTTATGTGGAGAATTGAGAGATATAGTATGTTGGTGCATTTTAGGTTAGATATATATTATCTTATCAAGACATACACATTTCAAACTCCAAAAGCATAGCTTTGTCCTCCGACAACCAAATCTTGTAGAAACTACTTTGCACAACATTTGAAGAATGCACAGAACTACCTTTTTTCTTGAGGTGAAAACGTGTATAGGTTTAGATGCCAAACACTTTCAAACATAATGCAAATGCCTTTTTTAAACACTTTTTTTTTTCAACTGATGGTATCTGGCTTCATGGTTCAAAGGAAAACACATACCTGCTCAACCTAGTTGGGAATGTCCTTTCCTGCCCCACAGCAACGCAAGAGGTGAAGCCCAATTCCAATAATTGAAACCTCTTTTTGACATAGTGCAAACAGCAGATAAATGGGGGGGGGGAGTTGGAAGATGGGAGGGGCTTACGCTCTGCTGCCTTCTATACTCCATTTCACCTTACATTTGAGCGCAGCGGATGCTGTGAGCCATCGAAGCCAATCCAAGGCCGTGTGAGTGTGACGTGACCAGGGAGAGGGGGCACAGCGACACGTGGAAAATGTGTCACAGGTTACATCCGCAGAGCGGGATTGGCTAGGATAGCTCGTAGCGTCCGCTGCATCCGGACGTAAGGTGGAACGGGGTATAGTGAGAGTGTCTTTCAGCAAGTGCCTTTTTGTGAGTGTTTTGATTTTAGTGAGTTTTAATTTTTGACTCACACATTTGTGACACATATTGTGTCTAATATTAGAACCTCATTGATACATTCTTGGTTTATATGTTAACGTGAAGCATTCTTTGGCTAGTTGTTCCGGATTTTGTGGAGCCAGATTAAGTGAAGCTGAATTAAGTTTCCCCTCTAGATTTAGCAGGAAAATTGATGTCACATGACCGTAACGCCAATTCTATTTCCCCTCTAAATTTAGCAGGAAAAATGACGTCACGACTTACTAGTGTCATGTGACCTCTGGACAAATCCAGTTTCCCCGCTAGATTTAGCGGGAAAATTGATGTCACATGACCTCAACACCCAATGCAGTTTCCCTCCTAAATTTAGTAGGAAGAGTGATGTCACGACTTCGTGTCATGCGTCCTTCACATAAATTCAGCTTCTTGGCTAGATTTAGCAAGAAAATTGACGTCTAGTGACTTTGTGTCATGTAACCTATACACAAATTCAGTTCCCCGCTAGATTAAGCGGGATAATTGACATCACGTGACCTACACAAATTCAGTTTTCTTGCCAAATTTAGCGGGGAAATTGATGTCATGTGATTTGCTTTCAACTGACCTCTACACAAAATCAGTTTCCCCGCTAGATTTAGTGGGAAAATTGACGTCACGTGACCTCAACACCAATTCAGTTTCCCTGCTAAATTTAGCGGGAACAATGACGTCACGTAACCTTAACATCAATTTAGTTTCCCCGCTAAATTTAGCGGAAAAAATGAAGTCATGTGACCTTAATATCAATTCGGTTTCCCCTCTAAATTCAGCAGGAACATTGACGTCACATGATTTCGCACCATGTAACTTATACACAAATTCAGTTTCCCTGCTAGATTTAGCTGAAAAATTGGATGTCATGTGACCTACACATAAATTCACTTTCCCCTCTAAATTTAGTGGGAATTATACAATTCAGCTTACCAGCCAAATTTAGCGAGAAATTTACATTACGTGACAGCGATTGCATATCGGTGCAGCCACGAGGTGCAGCTGTTGCTAAATGCTTATCATGCTAGAACGTTTCATGCAAACAACATCCTAGCAATTTGCCATATATTTTTTTCCTGTCTGTAATGTTCACAAATGCCTTTTCCACTGATCTCCCTTAGGGATATGTGTATCAAGGTGGTAAGCTAAGCAAGTTGGTAAATGTTGAACATAGTAAAAAAATCATGCACAAAGAGACAAGGACAAAAGAGGAAGGAACACAGACAGGTGCCTTTGTGTTTTGTATATGTTATCAGTTTTACATTATGTGTATGCGTATATGTATAAATTTTCCGATATGTGTATACCACTTCTCCATTTGGTGCGTTTCCTCCAAAACCCACCACCTGATGTGGCCGATGCCACAAGATGGGCTGTGGCTGCCCTCTTCCTTTTGCTCTGCTCACCCCCTTTTAATTTGTGTCTGCCTGAGCTGTGCTTGCTGTCATTCTTGCCCTGGTGAGCATGACCTTGGACTAGGCTTGAAAGGGAAGAAGTTTTTTTGCAGTCCCCCATCATTCTTGCCATTTGCTAGTTTATTTTGTGCAAAGAAAATTTGCTTAATTATGCACTGTGTGTGCACGCACACATTTAGCTTCGTCATTTTGAACCGGAATGCGCACCGAGCTTCGTCGCTTTGCACCAACATGCTAGGGGCAGTGACTGAAACGGGAGAGTACCTGCATTGCCCCGATGGGCTCTAACGATTTTCTTAACCTTATGAATAGGTATTTATTCATTACAATTGTAGATAGGTCTCTAATTTTGAAGAATAGTTTTGAAAAAAGGAGTGATAAAGTAAGTGGTTTTTCATTGCCATAAACGATACTGGAAAATCTTGGAGGACGCTTAAGCTTAAGAATGGAATGCAATAAGCGTGCCTTGCGTGGCACACCAGACAGTACCGTGTCTGGCTCTCAACCGAAAAGTCGTTGGTTCGACTCCCGCCTAAAATTCTTCAAATTTTTCTTTAAATAATTCTTGAAAAGAAAAAAAAAAAGTTTTTTTAAACAGTCTGGTTGGGACACGTGTGTCAAAAAATTTATTTTACGCGAAAAGAAGTATTTTTTTTCTAGATCAGTGTTTACGGCATGAGACGCAATGTAGTTGGTAGTTACCCCCTTTCCCCTTGTTGTTTTCTCTCGGCATTTCTGGCACGTGGAGGAGAGGTGGATCAGCTTCACTTTTGCGTTGAGGTGGAAAAAGCGAATGACCATTTCGTTGAGGTCGAAAGAGTGAATGACCATTCCGCGACGTCATGAACTTTGCGCGCAGAATTTAGAATAAATCTGTTGCCATCAATAATGCTCTAAAAATATTTTTTTTCACTTAAAATTTATTTTTTGGTGCACGTGTCCATACTAGATTGTTAACAAATTTCTTTTTCTTTTCAGGGTTTTTTTTTTGGGAAAATTAATTACTTATTTAAGTGAAATCATTTGAGTCATGCAGCGACTTTTAATTTGCATTGCCTGTCATGTTTTAATCACTTTCATTCTAGCGTGACGTCACCTTTTACGTGAGCGTTGTGGGTTGTTTGAAATTCCCGCGCGAGGTCATGTGGCTGTGACATCATGATCCTACCATAGAATACCGCGCATCCACCCATTTCACATTAAGCGCCCATTACCAAATTTGTGAGATCTGAGAAAATATGCACAGTACATTTACATGTAAAATTAACGACCGGACAAGCGCCCATCCTCCATTTTTTTGCAATTATCACCAACGTTTGAGTGGGCGCTTGCCCGGTATTTTACGGTATCAACCAAACATGATTTTCGCATCACGCCACCAACATCGGCCTTTCTTCGACATGAGCTCCTTAATGCTATCGTGTTAATAAATTGCTGTAGGAGAGATACTAACTGTATTGTCTATAGCCCCCCCCCCGAACATCATCGGGTTGTTAAGTTATCATGTGTCATATTTTTCTACCAAGGTCTCAAAAAACCTTTCAACGGGGGTTTTACTGGGTAAAAGCAGATATTTCCCTTGCTGTGGCTTGCTGCAAACTGTGTCTCAGCTTGAGCAGGGAAGGCGCATCATGGCAAACATGAAAAGCCAGGAAGCAATGTTGCCAAAGAGGCAGCTGGATCAAATCTAGGCTTGGCATGCAAGATAATTATGGCAGCACTTTAATTCAGGATGTTTTGCTTTGAATTTTGACATACATATTACTCAAACGTATTACGCAGATTTCTGCAATAATAGCTAGTGTATGAAGGCAATATTCTATAGTATCAATTTGCAAACAATCATGTTTTCTATGAACATCAAGTTAGTGGTATACAGTAAAACCTCGTTACAACAAAATGGGATATAACAAACTAATGGATATAACAAAACAATCATAATTCCCCTTGCTTGTTAATAGTGGGAAGAAATGGACATTGGCTATAACAAACTAATGGTTATAACGAAATAATTACGACCGCTCCTTCAACTTTGTTATAACGAGGTTTTACTGTACTGTAAAATACCCACTTTGTTCAAGTGCCCACTATTAAAATTTTCCAAACTTGGGAATGCCGCAAATTCTTCTTTAGGCGCCCGATTTGACCGGACAAGCGCCCATGTCTAGATTAACCCATTTTTCAGTTAAAGTGGGCTGGGTGCTCCCCCGGTATTTTACGGTATATGACAGGGGTGGCCAGGCTGACCCGGCCTAAGAGCCGCAAACAAAACCACAAAACTTCCAAGAGCCGGGGGGGGGGGGGGGGGGGGGGGCACACCTTTTGTTGAGAGCAATAAACGAAACTCGAACTACTTTCAATCTATCCGGGTCAAAAGCAGATAAGACTATGAAACCGCAATCCGCTTTAAAACTAGTTCTATTTCTGTCTTAAGGAAGTGTGTGTGTGTGTGTGTGTGTGTGTGTGTGTGGGGGGGGGGGCGTGTGCGTGCGTGCGTGCGTGTGTGTGTGTGAGAGGGGGGGGTGTAGGAGAGGGAGCCGCAAGCCGCAGCTTGGCCACCCTTGGTATATGATATTTAGCTCAACATTGCCATTGAAAAGTTATTGTTTTCTCTCTCATATTGGCAGGCAAAATATAAATTGCACTGCATTTCTTATATTCCGAGTAAGAACTTTTTACCTTTTCACATTCTTTCAGGGGACAACCTTTTGACTGCAGTGGCAGTGGCTCATGACTGTGGCATGATTGAAGAAAGTGATGCTGTCATAGAGATGGATGCCCAGACCACACAGTATGGTGACATGAAGGTCAGCTACAGCTACATCAAATTCCCTGGCCTCAGTGAGAAGCTGCCGCTGGGCCATGGTGCATCTGGCGATGTAAGTTCACTTGTTGTCTTTCAGACCAAAATCTTGCTTGAGAAGCTATCAGTGATTCACAGTTTGATCATTTAAGGTGTGTTTACTCAATAAGGCATGAACTGAATGGTTGATCAGATAATTGATTCAGCTCGTGTGCAACTTTTTTTTTCGTACAAGCAAACACCTCTTGTACAACTGGATTAGTAAATTTCTTACTTGGTGAGATTCACTGGACCTTTCTCCTTCTTATATCATGCCACTATACAATCCTCACAGGTTGCAGTTCCGTTTCTTTCTGAATCCACTTACCACTTGGCTGTGGATGGAAGGACGTTCCATCTTATTCGAGCACACGACAATGCTCTGTTCAAGAAGGTAAGTGACTGTTCCTTTCTTTATTGCATGAATGTTGAACCATGAACACAAAGAATAATTTTTAAAAAATCTTTTTACTGTGTAGATAGCATTTAATAAAACTGTACTGTAGCTTGGATGCATTCTTTCACAAAGCAAACTAATGTTAGATTTAAGGATGATGAAATTTTATACAAATTCATTGCTGGAAAATATACAGGCTGTTTTTTTTTTAGGCTTTACAAATTTATTTTAAAAAAAGCATTGAAATACGGTCTGTGTGGGTGAGTTATATAGCCAGGGAGACTTAATATATGGGGCTAATCGTCAAAATAACAGATAATTATTAAAAATTCCTTAATGAACTTTTAAATGAGTGAAAATAAACAAGGGGTTCCAATTAGACTCTTGCTGAGCGTCATCGAAACCCACTGAATCACTATGTTTTAAAAAACGTTGGGTCCTGTGGGAAGTGCAGTGGTGCGCTAAGGTTACCACTCGCACAACAGGCGCAAAGTTAGCAGTGCAAAAATGCACTAGCGCGATTTTTCTGTCTCCCGTCATCCATTTTTTTGCACCCCCAGCCTTGCACCTGTTGCACATGCGAGTGGTAACTTCAACATGCCACCGCACTTGCCACGTCTTTCTAGGATGTACTAATTTACTAGTGGTTTTCAATAACACTCGGCTAGTTTCTAATTGTAACCAATGTTGATATTTTCACTAATAAAAAAAGTTAATTAACACATTTTTGTTAATTATTTTATTTATTCCTACGATCAGCCCCTTCTATTATGTCCCTTTGGTTGTATAACTCATGGGCACAAACTGCATTAGTGTAGCTTGCGCAGCTCTTTTTCAAACAAATATGTAAAGCCTAAAAAAAATACTTCCTGTACCAAGTTTGACAGAAAAGAAATTATCTTGCAGCTTCACAGGGTATAAAACATGGAAAATTGATGGCAGAGTTATTTTCACGGCACATTAAAATCGAACTGAGAGTAACTAAGTGACCATTTTCTATTCTTTTGCCTTAAATACTTCAGCTAGCACACAAGGGGAAGGTTTATGCGAGGATGCTTCCTGAACAGAAGCTGCAACTCATTGAAGCCCTTCAAGAGATTGGGTAATCTATTTTTTGCTAACTTTCACATTGTTTGGAGTTCATGATTCTATTTGCGCACAAAGGGAAAAGTATATATGATCTCTGCTAAAGCCTCCCTTGAACAGAACCAAATTTTGGTTTTTAGCTTGGCCCACGCTACGAGCCAAGGCTTGCTCACACACCTGTGACTGCTTACGACCGGGTGTGTTAAAACCCCTTGTGATCTCTAACAACAAGAATACAACACACTGGCCCCACCTATCGGGTATTAAATTGAATTGAACTTTATTTCTGCAACATTATGCAGAAAACACCGGACAAAAAGCTACTAAGAGCTGGCTTGACTGGGTCCGGTGCACTTGCACGTACAGGGAATATAGCCGTGGAACACTTGCGATTTCCGTTTATTTCCTATTTTATTCCACATCCTTCTTTCACTATTGGCTTGAAAAACTTGTGACAGTAGTATAATCGACCATTTCTCATAGACAGTCGCACATTTGATCTTGCAAATATTGCAAAACCTTCGCTCTAGTGAGATGCAATTCCAGGGTCGCATGCATGTGGCGCCAGCGTGTCATCTCATTGTGAGATATCACGAGAGGTTGCAATACACCCGGTCGTAAGGAGTCACGAGTGTGTGAGCCAACATTTGCACACACAGATTTAGTAAAGCGGATAAATATGCTGCCTACAACTTTCTTACCTCATCAAAATTTAGATAAGAGAACATATGCATTGAAATGATTATTCTTTTAGGCTACCATGCAGATCTTATATCAAGATAACATTTTTATTCTTTTGGGTGCTTGTTTTCTTGCCTCGTTATAGGACTCTCCACTAGAAATAAAGCTTGATTTTGTTTCTCACTTTATTTAATAGCAGAAGAAAAAAAATTACACGTGTACACTTAAGACTGCTTATATGTAAGAAGGCGAAAGCCAATCAGGACGACGTCTAGGACGGCGTCGAGAACGACGCCTAGAGGATGACATCTAGGACAACCTCCTGTACAATGTCAAGGACGACTTCTAGGACGACACCGACGACGGCCTCTCAGACGACCTCGTGCACAATGTCTAGGACGACGTCTAGGGTAACTTCTAGGACGACCTCTAGGATGACCTTAAAGGGCAACTCCGCTCAATACCGAAAAATTTAGGCTTACATATGATTCCAATTCACAAAGCACTGCTAAACAGCTCTGCGTCTTCGGATTCGCGAAATGTGGAATATTATTTGTGTAATCCTAATTTAAACATCAGCTGATACCGAAACCGAAACTTCGGTGCGTCAGGCAACATTGGTCTCGGGTCGTCAGAGTCATGGCACGTCATGTCGAACCACGTGGTCTTGTGACGTTCGGGAAGGAGCGAGAAACAGGATACGCGCCGCGGTAGCCGCGGGCAGGCGGGCAGGTCGCTTCGCTTGGCGTGGACGGTGATGGCCCGGAGGAGAGGAGGAAGGGGAGAAGACGAAAGAGAAGGGGAGCGGAGAAACAGACCGATAAGAGCGCAGGGCAGCGCAAACTAGCGCATCTGCGTTACGGTGATCACGTGAACGCCGTTCAGCCAACACCGGGAGGAGAAACTCATGACGTCATCGTTCAATTTCGCTCTCAGAAGTAAAAACAAACAAAATGTGAGAATGACGTTGACATGCCTCTGACGTAGTGGCTCAATGTCGGCTGCTCCAACTCCGTGGCATTGACTGCGCTGACGATTGCGCCTCGCGCCGCACGCTAGATTTGGCAGATTTCGGCGACTTGGCTCGCTTGAAGGTTTGCTGGCCAGTTTATTAAATATATAAACGGAATTAGATCGTAATATTTGACAAGGGGTCTTTCTTTATGATACTGAAGAGGGCTACATAGTTTTCTAAATATCAAAAATGAAGCAGAGTTGCCCTTTAAGGACAACGTCGAGAGCGACGCCTAGAGGAGGACACTTAAGGAGGCTGTGGTATATTTGCCAAGGGCGGCCACGTTTGCCTGCGGAAGCCGCCGTAGATGTAGACGCTGCTGCCGATGTTGGGGCCGTAGATGTATAGACGTGGTCGCCTCACAGTTAATGGCACGAAGCACACAACGAGCGCAGATAAAGACTGAAGCGCACCTTTTGCACACGGCGCTATGGCAATGACATCACGCTAATGATGTATGATGATGCTTGATGACATCATGCCGATAACTCTTGATGACATATTTTTATGGCCATCTTTCGGGCACAACAACGCCGACAGCGCTTGTTTTTCACGTAATGTGACAAGTGAGGTCGTCCTAGAGGTCTAGGATGACTTCTCGGAGTACTGCAAGGACGACGCCTAGCTAATGCAACAAGTAGGGTCACCCATTGAGCGGCGCACTTTATTGGCTTTTTCTACGCTTTTTCGCTCTATGGGACAAGTAAGGCTTTTGCCTTAAAAATTTTGAGGACACCTAAGCACTTCTTCTGAGTTGTGAATGTGAAAGCATTCTTGGTGCCGAGAGAAGCAGAAGCGGCCGCAGCGCCGGCATGGAGTGCAGCGGTGCACTGCGCAGACCACCCCGCCGTGTATTCCGAGACTTGACGATGCCGCCTTCGCTCCATAGGACAGTTAATGCTTTCGCATTAAAAAGTTAAACTTGAGCCAGATACGTAGGTTTCCTATTAACATAACTGGGGAGACATTTTGCCAACTGGTAAGTAGTCGGTAACAAAGGTGGCTCATATGAAGCATTCTCATGGGGTGACTCCACTATGCTGTAGGGTCCTCAATGCAGGGGGTAATATTGAATGTTGAAAATGTCAGGATTTGTGGTGTGAGAATACCTATAGCTTTTAGTACACATTCAGGAGCTCAGGTCAAAGTATGGAAGAATCAATCGTGTTCCAAATACCTCCCGCTTGTCATCAATTTTCTGTTGTGCCGTGCGAGTCAAAGAAATCGTTAGCCTTTTGAAGGGACCTCATAAATCAGTTTCCTACCATTTCTTTAGCTTCGGTGGACAGAAAACAATTTATAAAAAAATGAACTATGCAGTCTAAACTAGTGAAAATTTCTGGGAATACTCTCTGGATGTTGGTGGATGTAAATATGTAATTTTTCAAAATCAGTGTTTTTTGCAGAATTTTCTTTTTCTGGGTAGTGTCCCCCCTTAAGGCAAATGAATTACTTTATAAAGTGAAATCATTTGAGACATGCGGCAACCTTTAATTCGCATCACGTCATGTTTTAATCGCTTTCATTCGTCGTGTGACGTCACGTTTCACGTGAACATTGTGGGTTGTTTGAAATTCCCGCACGAGGTCATGTAGCTGTGACGTCATGACCCTATCAACCAATTCTGGATCTTCCCGTCCTATCGACGCCGGCTTTTCTGTGGCATGAGCTCCTGAAAGTTATTGCTTTAAAAGGGGGGTAGGCCAATCTTTGAGATTGGGCCACCCACCTTCACTCATTTTCTACTTTCACCTTGTTTACTTAACACACACGGCGATGGGCAAGCAGGTGCATTTTGCGTAAAAGTTTTTATTTGAAAGCATTAACTGTCCTATGGAGTGAGCCGGTGTTATCAGCTTTTGAACCTGCGCCAAAGGGCACCTAAATTCCCCTGTCCGATGGAGCGAAGCCTGTATGTAGTCTGTAGCAGCGGATTGATAGATAGACTCCCATTGGCTTGTCCAAGGAATGCCACCCCACCCTCCATGGTGCTGCGGCCCCCGCTGAGATGAGCAGAAACGGCCGCGGTGCCGAGAAGATCAGAAGCGGTTGTGGTGTAAAGAACAACATTCATGTTTTCGCATTCACAACTCGTAAGAAGTATGCTTAAGTGTCCTTGGAATTTTTTTCCCCTCTGCTTTGCCTGGCACGCCGCCATCTACGCAATCGTTTCTGTGCAGATAAATCACTTATCACTAGGGTTGTGCGAATATTCGAAATTTCGGATGGTTGTTTTGAATAATACACTATTCGATATTTGCTTTGAGAAGAACTGCACTATTCGCGTTTTTCGAAGTGTTGATTGCGGCGGGTTAATCTCGTTGAGTCTGCTTCTTACCGAGCACAGGTGCACTGCTGAGAAGCAATACCCGCGGAAGCGAGCTCCGCGGGTGTTGCTTCTCTGCATTACATCAGTGCTCGGTAAGAAGTGCGCTCAACAGGGTAACCCGCCACAATAAACACTTGGAAAAGTATGAATATTGCAATTGCGTGCTTGGAGGAAAAGCATACATTCAAAGTGGGATGGTGTATGCGTGCCAGCTGTATATGAAAAGAAATGGAAACTTTGTGAAACTGTATATCTACATTGTAGTAAAAGTTTCAAAATAAAACTGACTGTTATGCAAAGTATACTATGTTAGGCAGAGATGCCCTTACAACCTGTGTTCATCAAGCGCGATTCATTTTTTTTAAAATCGAGATTAAGGAAATAATATATAGCAAGATTTGTAAATTCACTCAATTGGGTATAGTTGGCCATCTCTAGAGGATTAATTTTACATCAAATCCGTCGTTTACTTCCCATCCCAAGACATCAGAACTTCTAAGGTCACGGTTCATAAATATAGGTAGATTAAACTTAGCTTATAAGTGAACAAGTGGAACAACCTTCACAAGTTTAGCGGGTTTTTCGTCTAAGCTTTTTGCAATGGTAGTGAAAGGCGTAGAAAACCTTTTTGATATTCGAATAGAAAATATTCGGCCAAAACCACCATTCGCTTCGAATTTGCTTTCAACTCATAATCCACTATTTGCACATGGCTACTTATCACTTACTATCACAATGTCTGTTGCTTGCATACATGCGATGAATACCGCCGATCGGCATACAGCGCAAACGCTTGTTCCATGGAAGTTTTTTTTCTAAAATCGCTATAATCCCTTTGTTAGGCTCTCTAGCCTTTGCTGGTCTGTGTATTAAAAAAATGAATGGAGTAAAAAAAAAGAGTGAACAAGAAAATAGAAAAATGAACCAGGTGCAATCAGCGAGTGAGCGAGTGGGCGAAAGATGCGACGAAGAGTGATGCAACAAGGCATGAAGTTGGGCTAGTTGGTGCATTATAAAAACTTGAAAACAGCACACAATACGTGAAGGATAAGAATGAGAAGTGAACGAACGCAACACTGACTGGCAACTGAAGTTTATTCCTGCAAGGAACAGAAAGGAAAACATAAAAGCAAGATAGATAAAAGATAATCAACCCCCTTGAGGCATGCCTGCAAAAATTTAAACAAATTTGCCGATTTTCTTGACAAAAGCAACTTCATTCGCCACAGCAACAGCTGGGGCACTCGCATGTGTCCGCTCCGTAGGTAGCAATAAAATATTCCTCATCAATTTCTCTCATCACATTGTTGTGGTGACGAGCCAGAATCTTAATTTCCGTGAAAACTGGAGACCACATACACCTGTTAGTGAACTGGAAGGTGTCCCAACAATAAATAACGGAGGGAAAGGGAATGCTACCTGGCCCTATCATTAACACACATCCCCGTCTGACCTACTGGTCAGACGGAGAGGTGTGTTAATGTTAGGGCCAGGGGATGCTGGTGAAGTGATAAAGCTGGCAATTGTGTTTGCAAATACTTTGGTGTCGGGTCAAGTCTATCACAAGGAGCAGGCTCTTATGCAACTTTCTTGTTTGATGCATACATACGTGTCGTCCGGAGACTTCTAAAAAGAAAACTCTGCCCAGTTGTCCCCGATTCTTTGGACTTGCTATTTTTGGAGGGTGGGGGATATATTAGAATTTTCTTTGACATAGATATTTTGACATAAAAGGGGGGTGGGCCAAAGTTTGAGGGTGGGCTTTTGTTTAGGATATTACGGTAATGGTAATAGATAATACAAACTTGTGTGACTCACAGGGCTATGTGGATAACCTGTCTTTTCTGAATAAGTGTCTACTAGCTAGCTACACAGAGCGAGGAGACGACAGTGCAGCAACATCATAATAAATAAGTGTGCAGGAAAATAGAAAGGAAAAATATGGCTGGGGGCACATGTTTTTATGTTACTAATGCAAATATTAATTAATATTCACAGATGCGTGTTGCATATGTCGTATGCTGCAACACATGCCACACACCAAGGGTATGCTGAAGCTCAAGCTGTTTAGCACGCTTACCGAGTCTAATCTATGAGCATACCGTATTTACTCGCACAATGAACGCACTCGCGTAATGAACGCACCCCCCAAGTCGGCTCTCAAAATTTCGACTTTTTTTTTCACTGGCGTAGTAAACGCACCCCCAACACGGACATAAAAATTTGAACCCCCTCCCCCCACGCGCGCGAAATGAACGCACTTTTCTATCCTGGTGCAGCGAGGTCGCTAATGCATGGGCAGCGTGGGCGAACAAAACGCCTCGCAAAAGGCGATAAAAAAATTCGCAAAAATCCAAGGGAAGCAAGAAAAAATAAACATGGAGAGGAGCTTTTTTTTTTTTTTTTTTGCACAGCGCAGTCTGGACTTTGGGTTCGCGCGCCGCCGCGCGCAGGGAGGTAAGAAAGAGAGGCGGAGAAGCGCTCTAAGCGAACGAAACAGCTTGCGAAAGGCGGCAAAAAGAAAAAAAAAGGGAACTAAGAGAAAACAAAACCAGAAGAGCTTTTCCTTCTTTTTTTTTTTTTTGCACAGCGCAGTTTGGTTACGGCGGTCGCGCGCCGCGCGCAAGGAGGTAAGAAAGAGGAGCGAAGAAGCCCTCTAAGCAAACAAAACAGCTTGCGAAAGGCAAAAAAAAAAAAAAAAAAAAAACGGAACTAAGAAAAAATCGAAAAAAAAAGCTTTTTTTCTTTTTTTTTTTTTTTTTTGCACAGCGCAGTTTGGTAATGGGGGGTCGTGCGCCGCGCACAAGGAGATAAGAAAGATAAGCGGAGAGCCCTCGCCTAAGCAAACAAAACAGCTTGCGAAAGGCGGACAAAAAAAGCCCCAAAAAACCAAGGAACTAAAAAAAAAAAGGAGTTTTTTTTTTTCTTTTTGCACAGCTTAGGTTACAGGCGTTGGGCGCAAAGAGATAAGAAGTAACTTCGATTTTTCGGGATAAAAGGCCCGTTCATTATGCAAGTAAATACCAAGGCAAAACTTTTACTTCGCGTAATGAACGCACCCCCCCAACTTTGCACCGATTTTTCGGAAAAAAAAGTGCGTTCATTTTGCGAGTAAATACGGTAGGTACCATAGGTGTTGTGCATAGAGCACCTTAGAAACCTGTGTGGAAAACCACCGTATGCTGCAGTATGTTAATGGTATTGGGAGGGACTGTCACCGGAGAGGCTTGGTCCTCCTCATGTACAGCAAAAGGCTTATTGGCCCAGGACATGATAATGAGTCCAAAATTGAGGGCAGTTGGAGCAACGGCACCTTAGCTTTGAGAAGACAAAAACAGTACAAGGCACACATAAAGCTTTGAGTCTATAAGACCTAAAACATTAGAAAAGCAAGGGGAGATGGGCCTTTGAGACAGTGTCACTGCAGTGGGCATCATAAAGTCTCCAAATCTCTCAAGTTCCATGTTAATTCACTTTTGTCCCAAGAGTACTTTATAAATCTGGCACAAGATACTGTCAGATTTGCAGCACGATTTGCAAGTGTCAGTCTAATGAGCAACATACTTTTGCAGGCACCAGGTGGGCATGTGTGGGGATGGTGCCAACGACTGTGGTGCTCTCAAGGCTGCTCATGCTGGGGTGTCCCTCTCTGTGGCCGAAGCATCTGTGGCATCACCCTTCACTGCCCAGAAGCAAAACATCAAGTGCATGCTTGACGTGATAAGGTATGCAACCCCCGAGTTTCCACAATTTTCACAAAAAGAAGTGTGTCCACATATAATCTTGACTAGATGTGTTGCATTTAGATTAAAATGCTAGTCATAATTTTGTAATTGAATACTTAGCTGAACTACAATGAAAATTGTTTCCTTGGATGTCGCCAAGTGGCGAAGAACATAAGCTTCCCAAAGGGGCACAAAAGTGATTTTTGAGAATGTCGTTTTATAGCACTGACTGTTCCAGAAAATCCGAAATTATAATTGTGTGTGGCCTTCTTTTGTATTAAAAACCAGGTTATTGAACCGAACTGGTGCTGGAAACCGAAAACAAAACAAAACCTAGACTATTTTGCTGCAAACCAAAATTGAATCGAAATGTTTTTTTATTTTTAATTTTTTACCGGAGCAAAGTAGAAAAATATTTTTGACAGTTTTCAGTTTAATAACCAAATTTTGGGTATAGACCGATGCACGGGATTGATGCTGCGATTGCGCTGGATCGGCCAGGCAGGCCAGGTGTGGGCAAAACAGCAGGCGCTTTGCATGTGTGACGCAGCATTTTGGCATGCCGCAAAGCTGCATGGCTGTTGGTTGTGCCGAAAGGTACTGCAAAAGTGGTGGAACAAGCTTCCACAAGTTCCCAACGGACGCTGAAAGACGCAGAAAATGTATGGTCTGCGTGGATCACAGAAAACGGTTGCCTCGCGCGGACGACCGCTTGTGTGGCAAGCCTTCATTGAAGGCTCGCCACAATGAAACACATTGTGTTGTCTCGTTCTTACTCTCATCCCTGTCTTGAAGCACTATCATGTTCTCAAAGCTTCATTGAAGGCTTGCCACACAAGCCTGGAATTTTTGTTCCCAGCACTGAGGCACTCCTATGTGTAGGGAAACAGTCATCTGATCCAGACCACCCGGACTTCGTTCCTACAGTGTTTGCATAGAAGTTGCCACCCAAGAGTTCCTCAGTTGCTCGCTACAGCCAGGCATCGTGGGGCGTAGCATCTGCTTCCTCTGGCGGTATCACTTTGGCTAGGACGACGCACAATGCGGCACCTTGAGGCGTCCAGAGCTTGCAGTCTTGTACCCAGCCTGTGGCGTAACAAAGTGGAGTTTAATTTCTGACGCGAACGACTCCTGACATATTCGCCGTGCGCATACCACTCAACCAGTTCTTACCAGACTCAAAGTAGTTGTAGGCATCGAGAGCTTTGTACGCTTGCACCGTGTCGGCCATAAATTAGCTCTGTGAAAAGGCCAGCTAGATGACAATGTGCACCATTGAGGTTGGCGGCAGCAACTTGGCCGACTTGGCGTCGGAGCGCCAGCGCTTCTCGCTCACTGTGTAGGGATCCTCGAAGGCAATGCCGTTAAGGCACAAATCCTTGCTGCATCGCTGCTGCTTAAGCTCTGGCAGCAAGTGCCAGTGGTCTGACATAACAAATAACAGAATATGACACAGAAAAAAAAAACTACAAATGCCACAGCAGCTTTGGTCAGCGAATGTACATCCCGCATCGCATTGGGGAAAACACGGCGAGAGCAGTTGCTCTTGCCCACACCCCTTCTGCACATGCGCAGCTCTCCTGTTACGTTTGAAAACGGAGCATGTCGTGCGTCGGTGTATGTGGAACATGCGTTGCAGAAAGCACATGTATATAGGGTGTCCCCCAAAAAATTTATGGGATTTCATTCATCGCAAAAATAAACTATGCATCGCCGAATGCTCATTCTCCACCCAAATGTTACCGAAAACGGGCGAAAATGGGCCCTATTTTCCCATTTAAAATTTCAGAAAATCGCTAATAACTTTTTAATAAGATAACGGTTAGTTCTGAAACTTTGGCATGTGGTTTGGACTGCTAGGGCAGGGGCGTAGCCAGCAGAGGTGTTCCCTGGTCCGAACACCCCCAAAACTTTTTGCTTGCTCCCCCCCCGCCCCCCCCCCCTTGCTATCCGATCACCCCTTTTTGTTTTACAGCGCTCAATGTTTCTTTCATGACTCGCCGCGTTATTGAGTCAAAAAAAAAAAAAAATTATATTTGGTTTTTCGGTTTATTCTGCTTGCCAGAATAGGAATAGGAATAAGCGCACAAGAAGGCATCCAAGTGCGTAAAGATTATCCTAGCCATCATCCTTTTCAAGTCAGAAGAAGAAACGAAAGTCTTCTAAGGACAGGGAGAAACACCAGAAATGTTGCGGTTCCTGGACAGGGGGAGAAATGCTTGAGCCTTGAACTGTTGCTGAACTTCCCCGCATTAGTGCCCGAGTCCCCTCCGTGAGCTCACTGGAGCTTGCTAAAGCTGGCGCCCAGCTACGGTCACACGCATGCTCATGAGTGACCTCGAGGGGCGGAGGTAAAGGTGACCTCCCCTCAAAGGCCCCTAAGATGGTAGTGTGGTGGGAGCTATGCTCTTGCGAGACCAATCGACCGCTTCCCTTTTATCGGCTGACCCCTCTCTGTGTGCTTGGGTATGCGGGGCAAGAGTGTGATCTCGTGGCGAAAGATAGTTGTATAACTGATCAAACTGATCATGTAACTTACACCGCACTGTCAGCTTATGAGTGAACAAAGTTGCAAGAGAAAGTGAAAAGTATGCGAGCTATACCTCCCCATTTTTTTACAACTGACACATGCCGAGACACAAGCAGGAGGAACCATGAGGACCGCGTTTCATGTGCCAAGTGGAAAGCAGTTACCGGATGTCCCGGAAACTCGCTGTCGCGTCTCAGCATATCAAATGCTACTCTGTGAATTGTTTTTTTTTTATGGAGAACACACACACATTTGATGTATGATTACTCTCTAAATGAAGTGGAGGCTATAATTAGAACCTCCCTTGTCAGCAGGCACCTCGGTTGCACAAGCTGCATTGTCCGTAGCTATATGGTCGCTCACACTTGTTGTTAAGAGCAAAACTTTACATATAACTCTTACTTATTGTATGTGTGCTCTTTGGGTACTCATGTGTTAATGTGTTCGCTTAGCCACTGAAAGCATAAAGTTGTGTGTGCGCTTGTCTTTTTTTTTTATATAGGCATTACTGTAAGCATTTTAGGTAAAACTCTTTCTGACACCAAAAGAAAACACCCCCTGAAAAACATTTCCGGCTATGTTACTCACTAGGGCTACATTTGGGCGGACCCCTTTAAAGGGCTACTCCACCGATTTTTTCATTGTCTCCGATTTGCTTGAAATGTTGCTAAACTAACCAACAAACATCGCAAAAATAGTATCCCAAGTATTAGGTCAAAATATTGTTTTTTTGCAAAGTTATTGAATTTACAGTTTTGGTCCTCACCGCGTTTTTCAAGCTCGAAGTCTCTACTGGCAACAATGAAAAAGTGACGTCAGTGGAAGGCAAGGGTTCACTCTTTGGGCTGTAGATTTTTGTTTTAAACTGATTCGAAGCAGTTTCATGGTGTCAAATGAATGCTTGGGAAGCTCGCTGCAGTACCCGCGCTCCAGCACGGAACAAATGATTGGCATATTCTATTTTTTGGCTGCTTGCTCGACTGGCAAGCCTGCCTGCCACTGACGTCACGGCCCTGAAAAGCGCGCATATATTTGAATGTTGGTTTTTGCATCATTTTCATTTGCCCATTTTGCAATAACTATTACCGTAAGATCCCGTAAGGGCGCCCTCCCCCGAGAGATCGCCCAACCCGTTTACCTGGCAAAACATCTGTAACATAAAAATTCCGAAACATCGCCCACCCTCCGATTTCCGGTGGACGTCAAGCGATGTCAGACGGGAATTGCGCATCAAAGGCGCGATCGGCGGTACCGGTGTGTCGACAAGCGAGTTCATAGCGGGTTCCCGCGTTTTTGTCTGCGATCTGCGCGCGATATCGGCTCGCGTAACACGCTAGTTGTTGCCGCGTGTATATTGCATCGTGAAATGCGAATCTGCTGCGCATACGATTTGCGGTATCCGTCCCCGAGTTCGTAGCGGATTCCCGTGTTTTCGTCCGCGATCTGCGCGCGCATATCGATTCTAAGCAGTAACACGCTCGAGTTGTTCCTGCGTGTGCATCGTGAAATGCGATTATGTTGCGTCCGCGATCTGCGCTATTTGTTTCAGTGACATGCGAGTTCGTAGCGTATTCCCGTGCTTTTGTCCGCGATCTGCGCGCGCGATATCGGTTTCTGTGACAGGCAAGATTGTAGCGGGTTCCCGCGTCTTTATTGCATCATGAAACTTGAATCTGCTGCGTATGCGATCTGCGGTATCCCTTCCCGTAAGATGCGAGTTCTCGGCGGGTTTCTGCGACTCCTCCGCACCGTGAAACGCGAATCTGCTGCGTCGGCCACTTGCAGTATCCTTTCCCGTGACACAGGAGTTTGTAGCGAACTCCCGCGTGTTTATCGCATTGTGAAACGCGAATTTGCCATGTCCGCGATCTGCGGTATCAGTCCCCGCGTCACTTGGTTTGTAGCGGGTGCCCCGGCGCTTATCATGAATTTTTGATGCAGTTTTGCTGTGGCATCCGCAAAGATAGCCCAACCCATGTTTTTCACCATTTATCTCTTCATTTTGGGTGCGCGTCCTTACGGGATTTTACGGTATGAATTTCGCGATTCTAAATAACATACCGGAGAGAGTAAAGGCCGGGGAGTCAGAAAATATAGTTGAGGTAGCTCAGGGCCGTACCCAGAAAAAAATTTCGGGGGGGGGGGGGGGGGGGGGGGGGGGGTTTTCGGGGACAACGGCGGCCATTTTGAAAGTGTCTACTGTCTTATTTTCGCCTATGAATCGTGTGCATCGGTGGCATATAATGGAGAGTTACAGCAAACCGGAGAACCGGTCCCGGTTTGGTACCCGGTAGCCGACCAACGCCACTGCGCGTGCGCAAAGGTGTAGATTAAAATCAGCTGGCTGCCAGTGCACCGACCAGGGCCGTACCCAGAAAAAAATTTGGGGGGGGGGGGGGGTCAGAAACCCCTAACCCCCCCCGCCTGGTTACGGCCCTGAGGTAGCTAAAAAAACCGGTGGAGTACCCCTTTAAGTCCTAAAAAAAAATGCTATCCTGCCCATAAAAAAGATCCTTGTTATGAACTTGCTTCTTGAAGTGTGCTTGCCAAGTCTGCTAAGGACTTTCTCTTCTTTGATCTGAGGAAGTTTTGACTTTCACATTTAGCATTAATCAGTCAATCTTCATATATTGCTTTATGCTTCTTTATTGCAAATGAGGCACTTATCCTGTAAAACTCTACTGAGTCACCAACCTGCTAAAAAGCCCCCATGTTTTTCTGTAAACAGGGAAGGACGTGCAACATTAGCAGCAACATTTGGAGCTTTCCGGTACATGGTGTGCTACTGTTTCGTGCTTCTGGCTGGTGCACTGTTCCTCTTTTGGGTAAGCCATTGGTGCAACTATATCTTTAGAACATTGATCTACTAGTCAATTTATAGTCTTGCAAAGGCATTTGAGCTAAGAACCATTCTTAGATCTTTTGTAAAATGAGTTCACGCCTTACCTTCATTTCATTCTGTCTAGGATGGACAAAAGCCGTCTGAAGGTGCCTATGTCTTCATAGACATTGTCGTCAGTCTGGTTCCTCCTATGATATGTAAGTGTGATCAAGTATCTATGTTTCGTTTCCTTGGCAGTAATGTTCTTGTTACCAGCAAGGTATACTGTCCACAGTTTTTATTGCAAATACCAATATTGTTGTACATATAGTATGGCTTCTGGGCTGGCATAGACTGTAAGTGCATGTGAACAATGGTACGACAATTAAATATAAGAATATTAAAGCAATCTTATTTCAAGTGATGTCACATATTTAATTGAACATACGTTCCAACCTCTAGGCTTTGCAGCACTTGCAAGATGAAATTTTCAAATATTATAGCAAAATTAAGCTTTCATGAATGTTCTGAAAACCTCAGAGAAAGGAAATGTAAGCTCAGGATTTTTATATCTTGAAAATTCACCAGTTGCCTTTATCTTTAACATTCTTTCTAAGCTTTTCTCATTAAAGGTGCTCTCTGTTGGTACATTATACATGTAGAAATGTTTTTGATGGTACATAGTTACATAAAATTCCAAATATTTGGTAAAAGAAAAAAAAAAAAAAGGCTTACTTTTGCTGGTAAAATGTTCGTCGGTTCGGATCTGTGCGACAAACTCCAATAATCAAAATTATAACAATACTTCACATTAGTCCTGCCTTCTTTCTAGCCTCTAGTTATTGACAAAGGGGGGCTTGTTGACAACGTCTGTTCAGGGCAGGGGATCAATGTGGCTATGTTTCTGTGTTTTCCAAGGCAAGATTAGGAGGGGGGGGCCCCGACTGTGCCTGCCGCCCCCCCCCCCCCCCCAGCTTTCTCCCAGGTCAACTTTTTTTTTTACGAAAAAAATTGACATAAGTCTGTTAAAAGGTCAGTTTTGGTGACATAACAAATATTAGGTGCACAAAATAGATGTGGGCAACGTTTCGGCCGTAACGTCATATCTCAACAGACTCCTCCCCCCCGTCAGCCGAATGCCTACTGCGCCCCCCCCCCCCCCCCCCCCCCCCTTTCTTCCGAGCATGACCCATAAATCTGCACCTGGACAACGGAAAGAGATAGAGAGAAAAATCTTATTTTCGCTTCGAGTCCAGAGCTAGCCAGTCTAAGCATGTGCATTGCGCTGCTGTAAGTGTAAGTGTGACAGTGCTGTCACACTTACACAATGACTCCCGTAGCTCATGCTGTCACCAGTTTAAACATTGCAAAGGCATTGCTGCCGTCGTTGGCAAAAAATTCAAGTATGCTAATTTTTGTTCAATTCAGGCAGCATTAAATTTGCCCAATAGGTTTATATTTGCAAGAGTAGTATAGCACATGTTCTTGTAAGTATTGCTCACAATTAAAATACCTACTTGTGCCTTTTGTGTGTAGATATAAGGGTTGTGCCAAATTTTCAGATAGTAGTTTCGAATAATGTGTTATTTGATTTTTGCTTTGACATGAGATGCAATATTCATATTTTTCTAAGTGTTGATTCTGGCAGGTTAGTCCTGTTGAGTGCGCTTCTTACCGAGGACCGGTGCATTGCGGAGAAGCAACACCCACGGAGCTCGCTTCTGCAGGTTTTGCTTCCCTGCAGTGCACCGGTGCTCGGTAAGAACCACACTCAACGGGGCTAAAATGTCACAATCAACACTTTGAAAAATACAAATATTGCAGCCTTGTGCTTAGGACTTTCAAAGGGGGATGGTGCATGCAAACAGCTGGTGTATTTAATAATAAAAACCTCATGTATGTTGATATTTACAATGCAGTAAAATTTTTAAAATTGATCTGGCTATTATACATGAGTATATGTTAGGAACGATGCCCTGACAACCCACATAAACCATTCGCAACTGAAGAAAGGATATTTGCATATAGCAAGAATATTTATAGATTCCCACTATTAGGTATACTATCTGGGCATCTCTATAGGCTTAATTTATGTCAAATGGATCATTTACTTGCCATATCAATGTAGGCACTGGACTTTTCTGAGGCCACGGTCGATTAATATAGTTAAATTAAAATTCATTTAGCTTAAAACTTGACAAGTGGAAGCTTGGGAACAACCTTCACAAGCTCAGCTGAGTTTTCATTTAACCGTGGTGCAGTAGTGAAAGGGTAAAAGAAATTATTCAATATTCCATTCGAAAATATTCAGCCAAAATCACTATTCGCTTTGAATTCGCTTCTAAGTCAAAATTGACTATTTGCACATGATTAGTAGATATCCCTTTTTATTCAGAATTTGAAGAACTGGGGATATAACAAAATTAAACTCTTATGAGTGCAAAATTTCAGAGAATTGAATAGAGGTAAATTATGGTTAATGCCAAATTTGTGATAAAAATAAACTAATGCACCCTCTGCATTTGTAGATGCCTTATCTTTGTTAATTTTTAATTACTAAGTAGAGTTGCGAAACTGACATAATCCACGCTCAAACCGTACGAAGCATGCACAAATATCCATTAGTTCCGAATGTGGGGAAGGTACAGCGCAGTGGACCTAGGGTTTTTTTGGTAAACTGAGATACAAAAAGGACAGTGGCATCTGCGCTTCCAGAGCAGAATTAGGTAAACTTGAGGCGGGGACGGAGGCTTGCATGATTTGTTCTGCTTCATGCATTGTAAGCAGTTCTAGGGATGTATTCTATAAGCAGTGCGGTCTTGCTTAAGTGTCATTTTTTATGCAGAAAATTCACTCGGTGTGTTGCTTTCCTGCAATATATGTGTTCCGATAGGGTGTTATGTTCAGTTCAGTTTCGACCTAACTTTTTCCCTCCTTCGTGTTGTTCCCTCTATGCTAACCATTTGTGGCATCCCCTCTAAACACCTGCGACGCTGCTGAACGGCACACGCAAAGAGTGCGCGCTCTGCTCTTTGCTTGTTTGCTTTTTGTTATTTTTCTGCTTCAAAAATTTTATCAGTTCTATGATGTAACTTCAACTCCGCTGGTCGCCGCCTAGGCCGCCTCTACAGATGTGAATTCAGCAGAGTTGAGTTCAACTTGCTCAGTCTTTATACTATTTACAAGTGTCGCATAGTGCTTTTCATGGAATCGAATTTTGAATTATTCGGATCGGAATTAGACATGCCTAAAATTTGCTTTACTTTAGGATGAACCACAATGAAAGCTAGAAGATCGAGCTCCTAGCTTTGGGAATCGCTCCTGCCAAGTAAAAGTTTGTGCAACCTTGGTGCTTCCTGCGCACTTCAAGGTGGTGTTCGGAGTATAGCACGTATTTCCCAATTTGATGGTATTTACTAGCATGATCTAACATGTGTCCTCTTCTGTTTCATTTTGCAGTTGGAACGACAGAACCATTTTTCACCTTGGTCAAGAAGGTGCCTGCACGGAGCCTCTCGAATTTCTTGTCCATCTTCTCCATTCTGTCATTTATCGTCATACAGACAAGCTTCCACCTTCTCGCATACTTCTTTTGCATTCAGCAACCATGGTAATATTGTTTTCCTACAACGAAATTTTTTATATTTCCACAATAGTCACATACATGTTTATCTTACAAAAATTATGAAGACTGAGCAAGCTGGTTACGACATTAAGAGAGTGATATTTACCAACTTAGGAACCAGCAATGTTGCTACCATGAAATAAAATTTCACATCCTATAGTTACCGACAAAATGAGAACAGCAGGTCATCTCTTTCGAATGCCCGGCTTACAGCACATGCTCCATTCCTTCCGCCATGCTTTTGCTGCGCATACTCGATCGAGGGTATGTGCAGCATACCCTCGAGCTAGTATGCGCTCGAGGGTATACCTCAGCATACCCTGCCATTCTTGTCTCGTCAGTGACTATAAGTGCTATCTAAATCTGTTTGTGGCAGCTTTTGTAAGGAAGTATTCTGCTGACTTTTGTCACTGTGCAGAACAGAACTGTTATGCTTTTGCTTTTTGAATTTGCAGTATATATTCTACTGTACACAGCATTTCATATGTGCTTTTTTAATCTTTTTTTCAGGTACGAGCCTTTTGTTTTTGACAGGAGCAAAGTGCACATCCCACCCCCAACTCACGTGGCTACTGCAGTGCTCAGCGTCAACTGCATGTCTTACGTTATTGCGGCTGTTGTTTTTTCACCTGGTCCACCCTTCAGGAAGAGCATAATTTCAAACAGTAAGCACCTATTTCAGAATTTCACGGTTACATCGGCTCCAGTAAGCAGTGGGAAGGCTTAGTCTTACAACTTAGGGGAAGGCGTCTGCAGTCACCAGTTTTTCTTTCAGTATCCACAAGGATGACATTCTGTTAGTGCAATATATATAGCTTGAAGGAACTTCTGCAGGTCCTAAGTATGTTGGCATTTCTCCTTATCCAGTCGTTACAAAAGTATTGCTCAAGTTCTATCCCTTTGCTAGCTCATAGTTTGACAGCTTACATCTGTGCACACTGTAAACACCTTGCTATGACCTAAATTTCGCGAATTTTACGGGTTGAAAGTGTTGCAAAAAAAGGTATTGCGCGAATATATTGCAGCATTATAACGAATACACATCATACCCCTCCCAATTGCAAAATTCTGTGCCTGCGGAATGTTCTCGAAACTTACACATTGCAAAATTTGCAAAATATTGAGCATACAAAAAAAAAAGAAAAAAAGAAAAGCTTAGGTACTTCAGATGAATAGTAGTTTAAGCACGAATTGAACACCTTTTTCGACTATATCAAACCTGGGTTATTCGATATACTCTCTATTTCAAAGAGTCAAAACATCTCCTTGAAAATCTCACGTAAAAGTACAGGCACCTTGTGCGTCTGCATTGAACTTCACCACCCGGGACATTCAATATGTCAAACCCTGCGCCACACTACTGGTAGGCAGGTTTTCTCTAAACACTGCCGTCACGACGCGGTTTGCACGCCCCGAGGAGGAAGGACTCTGGTCACAGGCAGCAAAATGCGCAGGAGAGGAAAACAACACTTCGCCTCACTCTTATACCACCACCACCCCTAAAACAAACAACAACAAAACAATTCTGGCTAATCAGTCGATGGACAACGGTTGTGCGATCTAAGGTCTTTAGTGCAACCATACCTTGAACGCCTCGTTTATCTTTACCTTCTCCTTTCGCTGTCTTCACTTTGCCGTTTCATTTTGACATTATTTTTATTCTGATTTTATACTTTGTAGAAGAATCTGGAGTTGGGCAAGTTGGTACATTTTAGATTTGAAAAGGGCCAGAAAACAAGGACAACAGAAGGAATAGACGAAACGATGCGCTACTGTCAACTGAATTTTTATTCGGAAAAACAAACATATACGTATATACACACCCAAGCAGCCATTTGCAAGATATAAAACAAGAACAGAAAGAGAAATCTTTGAGGCTTTTAAAATCAGGGTGAAGTACGATGCATGTATCAGCACTTCCTCAGTCCTTTTATCAGATAAGGAATTTCAATTCATCTCTCGAGAAGTTTCATTAGAAGCAAATGGTTGCTTGGGTGTGTATATATATGTATGTTTTTCCGAATAAAAATTTAGTTGACAGTAGCGCATCGTTTCGTCTATTCCTTCTGTTGTCCTTGTTTTCTGGCGCTTTTCGAATCTATGATTTTATACTTTTTTTTTTTGTTGCTTGACTTATCTGTACATGAAAAAAGTTCTTTTCTTTTGTGTCTGCTCTTTCAGTTTTTTGTTTTTTTTTTAATTTTCGTGTTTTGTTGTTTGTGCAGTTAAAATCGCTGCCAGGCACGCACGTGTGCACGACCGATGGTGTTATTTCAGAATTCGCCATCTATGCTTTAACCCGGTTGTGTTGTATTTAGCGGTTCTTGGATACTCTGCAGTTGAACCTCGATTTAACGAAGTCACCAGGACTCACCAATTATTTCATTAAATCGGGAGCTTCGTTAAATCGAGGAAGGGAGACCGCGCATAGGTTGTGCGGAGAATCCAAATTTATTCGTTAAATCGGGAAATTCGTAAAATTGGGTTTCGTTAAATTGAGGTTTAAATGTATTTGGTAAGCTCCCGTTTGTTACAATCTTTGGTATCAGCGGAGAAGCACGGAAATTTCTTCTACTTTTACTTATCGAATTATCAGTATATCGAACAATTTTACAATCCCTTTGAATTTGATATATCCAGGTTCGACTTAGTGCTATGAGATGAACTCCGCCCGACTTCGAGATTCACAGTCCCTGGCTCCTGTGAAAGTTCCTCGATAAAAAGAAAAAGAACTGTCAACGGTAATATGCACAATATTAAATTTTTAAAACAATCCACAGTCGCATTTCATCAGTGAGATGAGGGTCACACTTTATCTTGTGACTCAGATCCAGTCACAAACTAAAAAGAATGTTACGTGCTTTATTATTGAATTGTATGCTTTCAACATTACCTTTTCTCTTTGCTAGAGTTATACCTTTTGGTGGTCATTATGGAGTTCCTGATTGTCTCATACGTCACCTTGTATCCAGCAGACTTCATAAGGAGATACATTAATGTAAGTAATAAATCTTACATTTGATGTTATATTAAAAAAATGACCGCATCTCCACGTGGTGAATGATGTTGATTGGGGCAAAGCTCTGGTTATATACGTTGTTATATACACATTTCAGCATTTGACCGCAGCACCCTCTTGTCTATAAATGTTGAGCCAATGCATGCAAAGTTTAATGCGATTATATACGCATTTGACCGCAGCGCCCTCTCCTGTATAGACGTTGAGCGGCTACATGCAACGTTTCATCCATGACATCCCCAGCTTTTGAGTTACTACCACATCTCAGAGCCCCCTACTGGTCCCGCAGTCGTGGCCGAGTGGTTAAGGCGATGGACTAGAAATCCATTGGGGTCTCCCCGCACAGGTTTGAATCCTGTCGACTGTGCAAACATTTTTTTCTTTTTTTAAGAAGACGGATGGGATGGCAATCGATGTGAGCATGGACGCTGGACGGACAAGGCTAGACCCTAAGGAGGTTCGCCGCTAAAACAAAAGTGCTTTTGTTGTGCTGACGTCATGCTGTTGTACACTTGTCATCTTGATAAAAAGACAGTGCAGTAGGTTTCTCTTGTGAGAGATCTTGGCATATATTTTGATAGTGTCTTAACATTTAAAAATTATGTTCTTTTTGTTGTGAATGGCATGACGAGAATATTCTCGTCATGCCACCCATAACTCACTGTAAAAAAAAAAAAACATCATGAATATTGAGCACTCTAAAAAAAAAAAAAGTTGTATTTATTAATTTTGCCCTTAATCTGGAGAAATAAGATATACGTAGGTGTATTTTAAACTAAATATATGTTATCTCATCAAGACATACATGTTTCAAATGCCAGGAACATCGCTTCTTCCTCCGACAACCAAATCTTGTAAGAACTACTTTGCGCAGCGAATGAACATTGTGCAAAACTTACTTCTTTTATGAGGTGACGAGTCGACAAAACTATTTAGGCAAAAGCCTTAAATGTTTCATCGTTCAGTCGACCTTCAAAGTTCTTAGGCGAAAACACGTCGGTTACACGAAAGGTACCAATGAAACGACGCCTAAAGTGTGTCGTTGGAGAACGCGCTGTCTTTGGGCGTTCGCTGTCAGGTTTACATCGGCACTTTGGCATTTTCCTTCAAGTCGTGTTAGGGATAAGATAAGAGCCCCTGTAAATTTTTTTGGTCTTAGCATAGTATTGACTCCCCTTGAGATTTGATCCTTTTTCATTTCAGTTCAAGGAGGCTCCCAAGTTTGAATTCCATGCCTTCCTCTTTGTCCTGTCCTTGCTCAACTTTGTCATTTCATACTTGTGGGAGGTGGGTGATACCTTTTGCCGCATTAATCTTTGCTCGTTTTTATTAAAATATTGTATGCACGATAAACATTTATTGCACTAATTTCACAATGGCTGAAACAAAGTGGTGGTGCCTTTCAGTAAACCAAATTAAATTTAGGGAGCAGTGTACATAATAATTCTATCTAATCAATTATTTGCATTTGAAAACAACACTAGTAATTCACAAGGATGTGACAATGTAACAAAGGTGGTATTTTTATGTTGTTTTGTGAAATCATATAAGCTACAAAACTCCTAGTAAATGGAAACTTCTAATTTTATTTTTACATTTAAGAGGATTCTGAATCAAAAAGTTAAGGTAGTTGAGAAAGCAAATTGGGGCACAAAAGTGGAAGAAATATGAAGGAATACCCGTACACCTAAAATTCTTTGAGTTTAAAAGCAGGGTAATTTATGTAAAAAACAAAATATGATCTATAAATACAGCTTTTTATTTTTAGGTGCTAGCAATCCAATTTTTTATGCTTTGCAGCTGTGATTCTGTATCGAGTATAAGGAATTCTAAGTGAGGGCTGACCTGAATACCCAATTCTTGATTGGTGGCTTTCAAGCATAAATAAGGCAAATTTAAAAGCAATAAAACTTTTTGATGCGAAAACATTAACTGGGTCCCATGGAGCGAAACCGGCGTTATTGTTGTCTGTTGCAGCGAAAAATGGCACCTAAATTTCCATTGGCTGAGCAAAATGGCACCTAAATTCCCATTGGCTGTGACGCGTTACGTGGCTCCATAGCAACGGCATCATCGTTGCCAAGGAGCCAGCTGAACTGCTGGTGGCGCAGCGGGAAGGGGGGGGGGGGGGGGGGGGGGGGGGGCGCAGGTGAGACGGTTTGGGTGCCACTGATCAATGTTTTCTCTCGTGGGAACCTCGCCATGCAGGTCTTCTTTGTCCAGCACTTCCTCTTCAACAGAGTGCAGCCGTGGTTGCGCAGCTTAAGAGGCCCAATCCATCTCTATGAGAAGATTGAGAAGGACCTCTCCCACAACCCCAAGTGGCCCCCCGTGGGAAATCCCCTGGATTCACCCTGCGGCGTGCCACCGCGTGAGTGCCAATTTCTCGAGACTATACATTTTCCATCATCTCACCAAATGGTTGGCAGTCGTTTGAGATTGTGACATCTCGACAGCAATCTTAAAATATATTTACCATATTTTCTGGTCTATAAGTCGAACCCCCCCTATAAACGGGTCTTTTTACAAAAAGTTTGTATACAAGTCGCACTTGTATAGTTGTACAGTATGTGCGGCAAAACTGTATTGATAAACCTGCATATGTGTACTGTGATCAAGCTGCTATATGCACAAATGGGAGCCAGTTTCAACACTTCCATCGGCGAACTGAATGAGAAATATAACCCCACGGTTGTATAAAGGGTACTCACACAGGGGAGAAATACCTCCCCTTGCTTCCCGGGATGCGCATCATATGGTAACAACGTCACACATTTGCGCAATGCCACGCTGACGTAGACATCCCAGGGGTATGGGGGAGCTTTCGCTCAGGCTGCACAAACGCTCCCTGCCTTGGCGTAGGATCTCCTTGCAATTGGCGTCATTTTTGTTTGCGTGTCTGGCAACTTTACAGATTTCGCTCGGTGAGATACCGACGGTGGCATTGGGATAGCCTAACTTGTTGTGGCTCACGCTGTTGTGCGTGTCGTCCTAGGCACCCGAAGGAGTCTTCTATGTTCATCGACGCCGTCCTCAAGCTGCTCCTCATACGACTGGCTTTTGATTCCATGTCCATCATGTTGCATCCACCCATTAAAAAAATATCTTTCTTTTAGCAGGAAGCAGTTTGTCGTCTTCTGCATGTAACAGCGCTGCCACCATAATCAAGTATCGCCATTTCGTCTACGCCTCCATTTGTCTACTCTTCTCAGGGCCATGTTGTCTCGAGTGCGACCGTTAAATATAGGGTGGTCCAAGTCACCAGGCTCGATCTAAAATGGACCACAAAAATCGACGCCTGCACGTAGCAATCTAAACTTTTTGTCAAAGGTGTATTTCACAGGTCGGTTTTTTCTTGTAAAATTACAAAGCATGCATAATTCTCGTTCTGTAAAAAATAATGCCAAGAAACTTGCCAGGGTCTACAGCAGGCAGCGACGCAGACGACAGGGGCTCAATAGCGCGGTGTGTTTGGCGTTCATATTGATAGATAGCGCTACCTCCTTATCGCGACGGCTCGCAACCACCGTGGTTTATTAAAATGAACATAATCTTTTTGAAATTTACCTTTGGTTAAAAAATAAATGTGGACAATAAAAGCAAAACCTAAAGTAAAAAAACGCGTCTGCATAACGGCGGCGCTTTTGCTGCCAACAGATTTCGTCTGCGTGTTGTCCGCTTTTTTTCGCTGGTCGGCTGCACCTTCGAACGCTGCTCCCGACACCATCTATGAATACGAACGCCAAACACACCCCGCTACTGGACCCTGTCGTCTCAGTCGCCGCCTGCTGTAGACCCTCGCAAGTTTCTCGGCCTTATTTTGTACAGAAAGAGAACTACGCTTTGTAATTTTACAAGAAAAAAATGACCTGTGATATACACCTTTGAAGAAAAGTTTAGATCGCTACGTGCAGGCGTCGATTTTTACCGTCGATTTTAGATCGAGCCTGGTGACTTGGACCACCCTATATGTCTGGTAACACTGACATCCCCTCGGCTTTCCGCCATTTGTGTGAATGCTGGAATGAGGGAAGGAGTCCCGCTGGTTCTGCCAATCACTGACGCCATGCGCATCTCTCCCTGAAAAGCATCCCCAGTGTAAATACCTCTTTAAGATGCACCAGCAGAAATTTTGTTAAGAAACTGCAATTTGTAGATGGGAAAATACGCTTGGTAGAATTGTTGGCATTTTCTACAGTGGACACCACTTGCTTGAGGAAATGTTAAGCTCGTATGTTTGTCTCGGCTGATGATGCAATTTTTAGATCTTTATGACCCGCTGATATTTTACATCTGTTAAAATAGCACCTCTCTGGTATTTTCACACTTGTGATAGTGATAGCTTGGTCGGTTCAGGTCAGCTATGTCTCGGTAACGGGAGTAAAGAAATGAATTTCATAAAAGTAATAGTAGCTCCTTTTAATATATTTTGTTTGAAAACAACTTTTATATATTTGGCCTTCATTTTATTTGGATCAGCTGGGACACAATTACCTAGATTTATGTAGCAGATTGCTGAAGCCAGCAAAGTTGCCATTCCTTTTGAATGATTGTTTAAACCAGTGCACGGTGTTCAACCATTGATGCTTTGCGACCCCCTGGGGACGGGTGGAAGAGACGAGAGCTCCTATGCCTGGCAAAAGAGGGGAGGATGCATTTTTGGGGACGTAGAAAGACAAAGTATGTGCTCCAGATCTTTTTACAATTGACTAATTTAGGGGTTTTCATGAAGGCCAGTCCTATTTCTGAGTGATGCATAGCTTCTATACAAAGATTTTTGCATGCATGTCATGAAACACAACATATACTTTGTGTGCCTGTGACATTTTTATTAGAATAAAGGGGCCAGGAAACAAGTTTTTGGCTGGGATAAATGATTTTAGATTGCGATTTTACTAATAGAATATGGTTTAGTGAACCAGAAAAAAAAAAAGGTAGAAAATCAAAAGCCTGATTTTTGGTACAAAAATTTTAAAACATCTGGACTATTTTGTACCTCTTTCCCTTCAAAAGCTCTCTGCCTTTTCACTGTGATACATTCGTAGTAAACTAAGCACGTCACCCGGCCGGCTCCAACGTATGTCGCACAAGACCCAACCTCACTATATTCCCTAGCTCCACCCCTAAGCTGACAGTGTGGTTGGGGCTATGCACTTGCTGGACCAATTACATGACCCCCTCCTCATCACCTGATCCCATTCTCTGTGCGTGGGTATGTGCGAGAGAGTGTGATCACATGGCAAGAGATAGAATGTGGCTGTCCCAATGAGCACATAGCTTTCACAGCACTGTCAGCTTAAGGGTGAATTGGATGAGGAAAATAATGTTTGTTAAAATTTTTAGCGACGGGCTAATCTTCTAGAGGGAGAATGGCAATGTCTGGGTACACAAACAAGGCTCCGAGCAAGAGGGGAGTTCCTCCTTTTTGTCTACTTGAACCGTTTGGTACGCTGTGTGATTTGTGAGTTGAAGAAGGAAAAAGTTGATAAATCATTTTATGGCCCCTTTAAGGACAGTCTAACTTTTTAATTTTAGTGTCTTTGCTCCTTTTAGTATATTTACTCTCTTGAGAAAAAAAAAAAAAAACATCATCCAAAAAGTGAGAGCAGGCTTACATCCATGGAAAAAATGTAACATCTGCTTATGATACTTTTTGTTTTTGAAACAATCATGGAGTTAGAAAAAGCAGCCACGTGCAAGTACAAATTAGGAGAGTTTGGATTCAAGCAAGTGCATTATAATTGAGCCGATTTGATATTTAAAAGTGTTTGTGAGTTGCAGTACTGTAATTGTAGTATCTAATTTTTATTTGTTCAAATTCGAGGTCCCTTCAAGCAGGGCATTACATAAAGGGGCAAAAACAAACATTTTGGGGGGAAAGAAAACAACAAAACAGCAGTACAATTGCCAGAGTAAAAACATAAAACAGTCAATGCTCAACCAAAACAATCAAAGTAAAACACAAATCAATCAATAATCAATCAAATCACAGAGAACCTTTAAAATCATCAACAAGAATCGATAGAACACAAATCGTACATAGATCCCTAAATGATGAGAAATAAGAGCCCAAAAATGTTCGAGTTAAGTATGGTGACAATGGGATTATGGAGGTCATTCAACCAGACTGCAGTTTTGAGGAAAAAGAGAATATAGAAATGAATAGGCGCGGCAGGTATGACCATAAATTTTGCATGAGTGATTAAAACGAGGCTCAAAGAAAGATGGGGAAGTGAGGAGACTATGGCGGGAGAGAAAGCATGCAGAAAGTGCAGTGAAGGAGGCATGTGCAAGAAAGTTGGGGGGTTAGTGGCAGATTTAAAAAAAATCATTTTGGATAATCTGGTTTTGCCCTACTGTCTTTAACATATCTAAGAAGATTAATTGAGGCTTTGTTGGTTTGGTCGTCAAGCAATATGTCAAATAGCTTCTAACAATGGTGGTTCATTTCAGCCTCTCCTGACTACGATCCTGACACAGCCCTGATGAGATTTTCGGCAAGCAACAAGGCTGCAGCACGTAGTCGCTTTGGTGCTGGAGAAACCGATGAAATGGGTCAAGTGGAAATGCCATCGCTATCCTTCTCAACATTCCGTGGCAGCAGAAAGAAATGACCCGAGGGCAGACTCTCTTAGACATGGATGGCTCACAGATTCTGCTGACTGGATAAAGGGAGGAAGCATTGTAAATTCTTCAATGAAAAGAATTTTGACAGCATTTATCTATTTACTGCATTTGAGCTGTTATATAGTCTAACCACTTCGAGGAAACGAAGTGTTTTTTGTGTGGTTTGTGTTGTTTGATATTAGTATCTTAGGAAAATGAGTCAATAAAAGGAATACTTTGATGTTTAAACCTAAAGAAAAGTTACACTAAGGCAAGAAGGGGTACTGTTGATTACCTGTTACATATAGAGATGCAGGGAACTATCAAAATGGTCATTGTAGTTTTTTATATTTCTAGCAAGAATAAGTGCTACATATCATGTCACAGTTGTGGTTTTATTGTGATGTTGCTGCTGTTGGTTAGATATGTGATAAGTTAATTGATTTGTTTTTAACTGGTGATACTACATAGCAAACGAGTGTGTTGCAAGATTCAACAGAGCATTGCACAACTCATGTGGAGCATATATGATGATAGCTAGTGGCATAGCAAGAATTTCTGGGTGGGATGGGTCATGTTTGAGCAAATCAAGAGTTTGAAACAAATGACTATCCCTAGACGCTTTCCCAATTCATCATTTTAGAAATAGCTGGTGCCAGCTGGAGGAAAATGAGGTTCGAGGATGGAATTTTCAAGATGAAACAATGTGCGGATTAGGAAGGAGAGGGAAGAGGTGTCTTCAAACAATGTGGGGGGCAGAAAGAAGCCACAGTAGGCACCAAAGGGACTTTGGGAGAGTGCAATCTGGGTCACAGCTGCTCAATGCAGCCAACAGGATCTAGCTTCCTTGGTTGAGAAAGCTGTTCCTTTCATGCCAATAGACTAGGAGTGTGGTAGGATGTGCCAGAATCTGGGCACATTACTGCAAGGATTTTTTTTTTTTTTTGTTACAATAGGGATAATGTTTTTTATTTGTTAATTTGTGTTGTGCTACAATTAAACATTTTTCGTGAGCATAGCTTTTAAGTCAATTGTTTCCCTTCTTTGTAGTTATCTGAAATAAACTATCTAAACTTTGAGGTCAATGCTAGAATAGACCCTTTTCAATATTCAGTGCCATCTGGTGGCTGAAAAAGCAGTTTAAATTTTTGACAAACTAATGGCGGCCGTGAAACTACTTCATTGGGCACCACCACTTTTGCCCTTCAGTGGCAGATGGGAATTGGTTGTTCGATAAACTGGTAGCTCTTTCTTGATTTCTTTCAGTTGCGATGGTGTGAACCAACGTTATTAGATTAGCACAGTTACGGAACTGCTCATAGACGCTGCTTGCACCAGCAGTACCCCCTTTTCACAACACGACTCGCCTCCCATCGTTCAACGCGCTGGGCAGCGGCTATGGTAGCTACAGTGTATTCTATCGAGTGTGTATGTTTTGAAGCACAGCGTCTAGATGGTGTTCCACCATACTCTATGGAACACGCAGTTATGAAACAAAAATCTAGATGGCGTTTCAAACGACGGGAGGCGAACTGAAGTGAGTGAGGGGGGTGCCCCCTTCTGCAGAAGTTCCACAACCGAGGTAATCTAGTTACATTGGTGTGAACATAAGAACTAACAAGTATGAAGCAGCGATCCATAAGCCCTTTGATTATATTTCCGCTATCAAAAGGCTGTAGCATCAAACTGGTGCCAAGAGATTGATTAAACCACACTCCGAAATAAATGTTTACGCAGCCACTGTATCTAATTCCTTTGTCGTGTTGTTTCGACGTCTCGAACATACAGGCCTCATATATCCTCTGCTTGGTAGTATCCTCAACTTCTTCCTTCACCAGCCTTAAGAAGACTGCCATTAGCTTGGTGCAGATAACACACACTGAGATGATGATAGTGAGTGAAGTTGCCAGACTGAATTTTGAAAAGGGTCTAAAACAAATCTCCTACAGGTTAAAAATTGTCTGGCATAATACTAACTATTTTGATGATGATATTTGCTCCCATATTTTGGTTGGGTAAAATTTGATAAAATGATGTCAGATAAGTTATGATAAAACTTCTGATGAAACTGCATTCAATGAAATGTTCATTCATTCAATGAAATGCCATCCAGTGAAATGTTTTGCGCCTGGGGCCCTATGTTGCGCTTTCTGGACCGTGGCGACTAGGGAGAAGGAAGTGACGTCAACAACGCAGCTAACGCAGATTGGATGTTGATTGGTGAAAGTCACTGGTGACGAATTTCCGCTGAAAAAAAAACAAAGAAAAAGTGATCTTTGTTTTCGTCTGCGGAAATTCGTCATCAGCGACTCCATCACCAATCAACATCCAATCTGCGTTTGCTGCTCTGTTGACGTCACTTCCTTCTCCCTAGTCGCCGTGGGAGTCCAAAAAGCGCAACATGGGGCCCCTGTTTTCCTCACAGGCTGTGGTACAACTCCAGCTTTTTATAATTACAGTACTCTGTGGTAGTTGGTCCTGTAGCAGACAAGTGAATGTAATTCTTTTTAATATGGTGAAAGTGTTTGATCATGTTGGTAGGCAGCAGACAATCAATGTTTTATCGAATTCAGCTTGACTAAATTTTGGAGCATTACAGTGCTATATTATTTTAACGCTGCTATTGAATCATCTGAATATTTATCTACTACACTTGTCATTTTTTACAATAATGGTACGTGACAATTGAATTCTAACAATTCTTGGAGTGAAGTGCAAGTTTTAGTTCTGTGTTTTAGATAGAAAAAAAAAAAATGGTCGGGATGCATACGGCATATGGAAATTAACAATGCAAAAACTAATTATTGTGAAAAAACGAAAAAAAAACAAAAAACCTTTGTGGCATATGTTTAATTGAAAGTAATCTGCCAGACCTGTACATATTTAAACTTTATTCTAACAAAAGCTGCACAAACAGCCTGCCAACAGGTCACCATAGAGTTACTACAATAAACACTAGAGGTTCAGGTGACGCTAGTGTTCTGTTGCGTTTTGAAGCAGACAGCAAACAGTCTAAATTTGACTTCCGGTAATGCATTCCTATGGGAAAACGCAAATGTGTTTTCTCTTGCGCTCAATTATAAGAGCAAATTTTGCTTAGTGCTATGACAGAATAAAAATTTTGGAACGTTTTTTACAATGGAATTTACAAAAATATGTCGGAGCGTTTTTCTTTAGAATTCATGGCGTTGAACACTGCATTAAAATAATCCAATGCACATGTATAATATGTGTTGACGTTGCAGACTGCTACTATAGGGCACGTATTTACACATACAGTCAATGCTATGAAGCACACAGAGTGTATCATCTTGACAAAACACCAAAAGGATGCTAATATATGCCAAATCAAACAATCAAAACAGACAACAAGAACGAAGCATGGAGTTATGGAACAAAAACATATATTGGATTAGTAACAAACTGTGCATTAGTAATCAAACTGCGTTTCCGTCATCTCAATGCTATTACAGCTTGAATAAACCCTATGCACTTTTTAATTGTTCTTTCAGAGCACAGCTTTTAGACACCTTTTTGTGGGTTGAGCAGTGTCGGCGTAACTGTGCATTGCATTATGCGACGTGACGTCGCACGTAACGTCACGAGGGTAATCCCTGGGAGGGTTACTCTCATGAGGGTAACCGTCATGGGGTTACCCTCACGAAAGTAACCCTCACAAAGGTTCTTCTTATAAGGGAAACCTTCATGAAGGTAACCCTCACGGGGGGTTTCATGTGAGGATTACCCTCGTGAGGGTAACCCCCGTGAGGGTCACGAGAGTAACGTCAAAACGTTACCCTCGTGACGCCATGAGTGACGTCATTATGGAAAAGACGTGACTTGTGACATCACCTGACGTCATACGCATCTAACATTGCCAATATTCTCGCTAAATTTAGTGGGGAAGGAGGAGGTGCATACCCTTCCCTCTGTACCCTCCCCTCCTCCTGCTCAAGAGCTGTGCTCCAATTCGGCGTTACAGAAAATTGTAAAAGCCTTTCATGTTTTAGAGCGCAGCTCTTAGGCGCCCGTTTCCGGCTTGAGCGGCGTCGCCGTCGCTGTCGGCGTAATTGCGCGTTGCATTATGGGACGTTTCCCATAATGACGTCACGAGGGTCATGAGCGTCACGAAGAGGAGGAGGAGGGGAGGAGGAGAAGGGAAGGAAGATGAGAGGAGGGGGAGGAGGAGGGAAGGAAGAGGAGGAGGGAAGGAAGAGGAAGGGAGGAGGAGGAGGGGAAATGTCAGTTACCAGTTGTGCAGTCAAGTGATATCACCATTCATAAATCACAGAGAGGTATGTATGGAAGCGTAGTGTGCTCGTTATCCAAGTGGCCATCTACATGGGCACGGGTCTGTCCTGTACCTATCGATCTCTGTGGCACGTCAGACGAAGTTGGTAAATTGTGTGCCGCCAAGGTCTACAACGGCCTGCTCGTGGTATCTCTGCATCTCTCACCTATGGCACTCAACAAATATTTCATGCAAGACAAAGAAGAACTTCATACCAGTCATGCAGGAAAACATCCCATTGGCCCCGAGGGACGTGCACTCGCTGTTCTGCTGTGCCATCTCGGGGGAGCACGCTCAAGACTAATGCTGAGGAAATGAAAAACGCTGAACAGTCTTCGACAGAGCCGCGAGCAAGTAGGATGACATCGAAAGTATCGCGTGCTTCGTCGAAATATTAACTCTAACACTGTCTCGTTCTCCCGCCTTGCTCCTGCTGTCCTGTTTCCAGGCACCGGCAAAACTTAGACAGAGTGTAGCTTCCAGATGTGAGAACTATATTTCCTTTCTCCGGACAAGCGGTGAGCGAGAATACCAGAATATATATAATCTTTCTCAGATTGTTTAGCATGGTGTATCGCAAAATCGAAATACCTCAAGAGAGGAGGAGGAGCATGGGAGGAGGAGGGAGAGGGTACGGATGAGGAGGAGCATACCCTCCCCTCCCTCCCCTCCCCTCCTCCTCCTCAAGAGCTACACTCTGATTCGGCGGTATAGAGAATTGTAAACTTCTTTTATTTTTATTTTGCTTGAATTGATAGCTAGTATTGACGTATCATACTGTACGACATAGTTACCGTTACTAGTAAAGAAACTACACCGATTTTTATTATTCTCTTGGAAGAGAAAATATGCAGAAAGACTGGAAAAGTAGACTGTTTGTTGTCTGCTTCAATTTGCAACCTGAAGTCCAGTAGACACTAGCACCAGCTGAGCCTCTAGCGTTCATTATAATAACTCTATGCAGGTCACCTAGGGAATACCAGTCTGCAGTGGTGCAAGTGTGCCCTTATGAGTTAAAGGCAATTTATTCGTGTTACAGAGAAAAATAGTAAAAATATTAGGCACACATAGTAAAAATATCAGACACATGTAAAAAGGGCACGGGATTTTGAGTTTGAAGTGAATTTAAAGCAAATAGCGGTTTTGGCCGAATATTTTTGAATTGGATATTGAATAGTTTCTTCAGGCATTTCACTATACTGCTGCACCATGCTTACGAAAACCCAGCTGAATTCATGAAGATTGTTCCGAAGCTTCATTTTTTTCATTTCTAAGCGCAGTTCATTATAATCTCACTAGATTTTTTGGAATGTCGTCTCAAAAAGTTCAATGCCAACATTGGGATGACGAGTATAATGGCAGATCTGGCATAAAATTAAACTTTTAGAGTCCGTTGCAACTCAAGATGGTAGGGCGAGGGAAAGAAAGGCTGGGTAGGAGGAAGCAGACAAAATGCTAAAGAGAAGAATTACGGTTTCCTCCTCTCCAGCATTCCGTCCGCTTCCTCCTCCCCGACCTTCCTTTCCCTTGCCCTACCTTGAGTTGCAACGGACTGTAGATGCCCAGCTATACCTTACAAAAGGGATTTATACTCTTCAGTCTCAAACTTGAAAAACTCAAAATATGAATGAAAAAAAAAAAAAAAGGAAACGGGAAATATGGCAAGTTTCTGTTTCTTTTTAAACACACTTGGTGCGGGAGTGTACCATCCCACTTTGAAAAGTGCTTTTTCCCTAAGCAATTCGCGAAATGTAGAGTTTGCATTGAAGTCCGACAAGGGAAAGGAAGGAGGAAACAAAGAAAATGCTGGAGACGAGGATTTTCCCCCTCTCCTCCCCAGCGTTCCGTCTGCTTCTTCCTCCCCAGCCTTCCTTTCCCTCGCCCTACCTTCTTGAACTGTAACTTACTACAGCACACCGCACCCTGCCATGACCATTGCGATTAGGGATGTCGCAAACTTTTGTCGAACCTCAAGGTTCGACTGGTTTGTCAAACCTTCGACCTTTCACTAAAGTTTGAAGTAGTTCTACTTTTTAGTGTTGCCAGACTGTAATAAGAAACTTGTCAAATTTTAGAAATGTTGTTTTGTGAAATGTTTTCTTTTTAATTAGTACAGTACTAAATATGTGAACTCTTGTTAATAGAATTTTTATCTTAACATATTACATAATATCTCTGAAAAATGCTTTTTATGAAGCCCAGAAAGTCGAGTTTGTTGAGCTTTCATTGACCTAACAACATATAGCACAATCATGTTGCACGTTGTTTCAGTTGGTCGTGGTTTCGGGTGGTTTCAGGTTTCAGCGGTTTCAGATCGATTCACCTGGGTGGCACTCAGTTGGTCAAACGACGTTTTAGCGAACGCCGAATTTTCATTGAAAAATACTTTAGCGAATAGTCGGCCGCCGCGAAGCGGCGTTTACGGGTGGGCCAAGTGGGTTAACATTTGTGTGATGAGCCGCCGCAGACTACCGCCACGAAGCGGCGTAAGCGGGTTAACACGCGCCTCTGTTATTAAGTCGAAAGCCTTAGATGTCTTATTGTTCAAGTCGATCTTCAAAGTCCTTAAGCGAAAACACGGTGGCGGCACGAAAAGTATGAAAATACGTCGGCGACACGAGAGGTGACAATGAAACAACACCAAAAGTGCGTCATCAGGGAGCGCGCTGTCTTCAGAGGTTTGCTATAACTGGGACCACAGCTGATGCCACGATCCAAGTGAGCCAATTAAATGGCGCCATAGTGCGTCGTCTGAGTGCGCTGTCTTCGGAAGTTCACTATCACGTTTACATTGGCGCTTAGGCTGCTGCCTTCAAGTCGTCTTGGGGATAACCAGAGATGAGAGTTTGGCCATTCATTGGAGACAAATGAGGAGGCGCCATTGGCCAAAAGCGTGCTGGGCGTGCTCCAGGGCATCCTCACAAATTCGAATGTGACCAGCCAGAAGCCGGAAATAATAGCTTGGCGGTAATCGCGAGAAACATAATTAATAAGCGCGTCGGATTAACTCTCGGTGACTGAAAATATGGTGCACGTGATGGTTCAATCACGGTCATCCAAAATCATGGAGGAAGAGCACGACTAGCGGAACGATCGACGTAAGCCGTACGCCAGGCGCTGAGGGCAGAAAATCTGCCGTCCAAGCAGTCGTGCTCCGTCCAAAAGCAAAACAGAGTTTGAGCGGCACATTCGTTTCTTACATCTTTCTGCATGATCATAATCAAAACATCACCTGCACCTTATTTTCAACCATGAAGGGTTACTACAGTTAACTCTTACGCACTTATTAAAACCATACCTATGATTAAAACTGTTTTTCGCCACCACCGCTAGGGGATTTTTTCGGGCTTCTGGTTGGTCTAGTGCACTATATAGCTCCTTTGGAGCAGAGTAGCCCTCATACACGTACAGGCGCCTTGTCTGTCTTAGGGTGGTGCATCTCGGCCATCTCTGTCCCCAGAATGCATGCACTTCGGTCTCATTCGGGGAGCACTTAGCTCTGCCCGGTGCTTTGGCACCATTTTAAGGCCCATTTGGCACGCGCAGGCAGTTTTCAATACAACTATGGGTGTCTTCACCTTGTGACAGACGCACATTGAGGCACCCTAGAGTAGCGCAATCTATGTAGAATGCCTTCTATCTCGGCGACTAGCGGCGAACGCCCGGAGCTTACAACTGTGGTAAGAAAATGGGAACGTGAGAAAATTATTGTTTCTTCAATATTGTAGGGATGTATGGAACGGCAATAGTTTTTGTTATAATAAAGGGACATTTTAGAATAATTCGTGTTAAGTTGTGTGTCATGTAAAAACTTTTTTTTTTTATTTTTTATTTATTATTGCCTGGGCGGCTATGTTAACCAAGAAAGTCCATCTCCGCTTCGTACACAAATCGCGTCTGCTTCAAACGCTGTTGTCTTGGAAATTGCCTTCTCAAAATTAGCGGCCAGGCTCTTTAAATCGACCGCAAAAATTGGTTTCTTAACCATCGCGTTACGATTTTGTGCAGCGTTGGCCACAGGTAGTGCATTTTTTCTCGGAAATGCTGCGAAGCCACCGGTCTTCAAACCATAGGGTGCCCATGGCTTGAAGACCGGTAACTTAGTTAAGCCTCTTTTTTTTTTACTTTTTCCTGGGCAAGTTCGCTCTTTGCGAATTCTATAGAAAAAATGCACCACCTGTGGCCAACGCTGTACAAAATCATAACACGGTAGCTTAAGAAACCGATTTTTGCGGTCGATTTAAAGAGCCTGGCCGCTATTTGCGCTATTTGGGACACGCGGTAGTGCTCTAGGTTGGTCCAGAGAACATGTCAAGCTCGCTTTCTGAGTCGGGTGCACGCCCTGGCTAAAGTGAACTAGAGGATTACCCTGGCTAAAATCACGGCTCTGGCTAAAATAAGAGACTCTGTGAATCTCTGGAAAACTTTGCCTCCGCGCCCTCCTTGCTCCGCGCATAGAAGAGCGCATATCGGGTTTGACATCTGCCACCACTAAAACGAGGCAAATGAAGAACCCTTTAGAAGCCGAATGGCAAATGTTTGTCTTGTCGTTGTTTGTCGTTTGTCGTTAAATAAAATGACATTTTTCTTGCACGTTTTTGAACTCCTGCTCTAGTTGGTTTTGGTTTCGGTTTTTTATAATTTTTGTTTTAAGTGGTAAAAAGACTTTGCTTTATAGATGCCAAAATATTGGAAACATATATATATATATGTATGTATATATATATATATATATATATATATATATATATATATATATATATATTAAAATTTATCGGTGGACACAGCGGAACGCGGCGCGGACACAAAAATCAGCCGGCCACGCTCCACGGCGCGACGCGCGTGCCCGTTCGTTTGTTCTATTTTGGTCGGGATATCTACCCGATTCCGCACATATTCGTTAAACGAACCGCAGAGTTTAATGAACGACGTTTCCGAATTTATTATTGATACAGAAGATGGAGATACGCGTATTCACGCTGCAGCTTACGAAGGCTCCATTGAGCAGATTCGAGAGCTTATTAAATGTTGCCCTTCTGAGATCAACCGGCGAGTACGGCCGTTTGGTGCATCGCCTCTCAGACTGGCCGTTACGCGTGAGTATTAAACATCTGTCGGTGCATCACAGATGGATCTTTCCAACGGGAGGCACCCACTCGATCGAATGACATTTTAGCGAACGCCGACGTTTTACCGAATGACACTTTAGCGAATAATCGGCCGCCGCCGAAGCGGTTAACCAAACCCATATCACATGAGCGAATGACATTTTAGCGAACAGCGACATTTGAGCGAATCGACGTTTTAGCGAATAACCGGGGCGCGCGTTAACCCATCCGCCGCGCTGCGCTTTACGCGGCTTCGTGGCGACAGTCTGCGGCGGCTCATTAGAAAAATGTGAACCCATTTGGCCCACCCGAAAACGCCGCTTCGCGGCGTCCGACTATTCTTTAAAGTGTCATTCGGTGAAACGTGGGCGTTCACTAAAATGTTATTCGATCAAGTGAGTGCCTCCCAAATTTACCAGCTTGCCTTCATCCAGTCTTCATTATTCCCCTAACGCTTTAGAACCTCGTACGCCTTTGTCTTTTGACCGATTAATCTGGATTAAAAGCCCTGCGGCTAATGACAGCACACATAACGTTCGAAATTCGCCGTGATGTGGCCCAGTAACCTGTTGACGTCTCTTTGCTGAAGGGGGTCACAGCACCTGCGTCCGTTACCTCTTGAGGCACAATGCCGCTGTGGATCTGCCGGACATCAAGGCACAGACCCCGCTGCTGATAGCCATCCAGAAGAAGTACACCGACTGTGCCAGTGCCCTCATTAAGGCAGGGGCAAACCCCAACGGAGACCCTGGCAACAGGAGCACACCCCTGTACATCGCTGCACAGATTGGCTACGTTGAAGGCGTTAAGGTAATTCGTCAACACCTATGGGGGTATTCACCCTCTGGCAATCAGTTTGCCAAAGAATGTTTCATTGACAGATTGTTATATCAACATGCGACGTTTCATTCTTCCCGAGTTTGTTTCGTTGAATACAATTTGCTGTTTTCGCAACACTTCTGTGTCTTGGCTGGTTTACGGGGAGGAGGGAGAAGAGAGGGTGCTTGTGGCTTAGGTAAACATGCCTCAGTGAATTATGCGCATTCATTTAGTGGTTTCCAAATTTAATTATGCACATAGAAAAAAAAAATGTTGCAAGAGCATCCGTCCGTGAACTTCCCACGAAATGCCACGGTGTTGATATGCGTGTCCATGAAATGTCCACAAAACATGCCTCCACGAAACTTGTTTTGACAAAACGATACGGACCCATATTCACCGGACGCCATGTTTGAGCATGCTGTTCTCAGCACATACACAGAACGAGCTCACTGTTAAGGACTCTTGATGGTATGGAATGCTAGGAAGTGCTGTGGAAGCTCACCATTATCTCGCAATCAGCAGTGAATACTCCCAGTTGTAGTAATGGTGCACCGTGTCCACACTGACGACTTAGTTATGGCAAATGAAAGTTGTGTTGCATTTTTTTGCTCTTATTTCCTGCACGGTATTTGCAGGCAGCAAGTGTTCACATATAATTCTTTCCACACCACTCTAATCGTAGTGCTCTAGGGGTGATAGGTGCACAGGTCAGCCTCTTCCCCTTCCCATATCTATTTAAGCCTCACCATACTCAAATCCAACAAAAAGATGGCAGATTAACGTCACATGAAAGCACCCTATTATAGGCTTTTTCTAAGCATGAGGTAGTTTAAAAGGTTTCTCTCATGCAAGACAAAACTCGTGATTTTTCAAGAGGAATAGGACTGGCAGGCACCAGCAGCAGAAAATATGCACTAAGGTTAAAAAAAAAGAATTACGAGTTAAAAACATTTTTTGAGGATATTATATGGGACTAATGCAACATAACATTTACGTATCGAAGCAGTTTGGCACAACCCCCTCATCCTACACTTATATTGCCACTCGGTGATCACAGCTAACATTGACCAAGGCAGTTTAGGCCTGTAAATGTGGTACGCCTTCATGGCAGGAACTCAGCAAACTCGCTTTTTTTCTGCAGCTTCTTCTAGCAGCTGGAGCAGACACAGAGGTGGAGCACAGACTGCTGGGCTGCGCCCCTGGGCTGCCACTGCACATCAGTGCCATCTATCACCACTTCCATTGCTACAGCACCCTGCTGCTCAACGGGGCAGAGCCAGACTTGCGCCACATCTGCCCTTCAGTGCCCACAGGGCTGTATGCAAAGGTCTTAAAGGTTTCTACCAATTGTTGCAGAATCATTAAAGGGACACTGACACCCCCAAAGTTTTTCTTTTGTTTTGTTAGGCAATTTATTATGGTCTCAGAAGACCACCCAATCAATATTTGGCTACAGCGTCACATATTTTTAATAAAGTAAAAAAACGCAACTGCTTGAAGCCGAAACCAGACTGGGGAGGAAGAAGAAATATAGAGGAGGAGAGTGTTGCGGTAAGTCACGTTACTGTGCAACTTTCTTTCTTCTTCAAGTGACGTATTTGCAGCTTTTTAGAAGCCACGAAAAATAGGCGTCATATTTTGTTTCATTTTTAATATTGGGTGTTTGCCTTCGATGACCCACAACTTTAATTATCTTTGGTGGTCATGTCTAAACCATAGAAAACGGCACATGACCACGGAGAAGAGAGTGAGCGCGACTCAAACCAACCAGTTCTCGATCGGCAGTTTTCGGGCGGAAAGAAAACAAACTTCAAGCCGTAAATTCTGTTCTGGGTAGTTGCGCTCTCGAATGTTAAGTACAAATAAAAATCTTGACGAGCATAAATACCCTGTCAGTGTCCCTTTAAGGAAAGCAGGATAAGTCCCTCCCACAAAGTTCTCTGTTCCCCATGACTGGCGACCGCCTCCTCTCTAGCATTTGCTCTGCTAAAGTGGAAAGCATGGAGGGCTTTGTAGGAAGAGCTTGTCGAAAGAAAACCCTTTTTTGCACCAAGTCCGGTTCTACTGGAGACTATAAGGTGTAGGTCATTTGCGTCTTTCTTGTAAGGGGTGCATTGGATGGTGCTCAGAGGACACTACCATTTGCCTTTTGGTAATCAGAGCTGACTTTTATTTTGTAATTAAATTGTAGTGCTCATGTTGTGAATGGTCAGTCTCATGCAGAGCGTCAAACCAAAATTTTCATCGGCTTGGGTTTTGGTTCACAGCTTTCGGTTCAGTTCCGGGAAGCAAAAATAACGGTTGAAACCGCTGAATTGAGAATATATTCCCTGCTTTGTTTTGCAATAGGCGCTATTTCTGCCGTAAAACTAGATTTTTTTTTATCATTCATCCACTTTTATTTTCAAGCACCAAAAATAAGAAATTGCATTGATTTCGACGCAACGGTAAAAAAAAAAAAAATTAACATGCAAAACGTCGTATTGATACGACTCAACATCCATTTGTTTGCCTCAGTCACATATAATTTACCTGAATCGAAAGGTGGTCACGAAGTGAAGTAGGTTGCCTAAAATACCCGTGATTGGTTCAACTTTGCGTCGCAGTATTAAAAATTAAATCCTGGTTCTGCTCTTGATATAATGTTGCATAAAATCATAAAATGGGCACCTCGTCCCCATATATATATATCATGAAGTATAGTTTACAAAATATGTTTCACAATATATATGATGACGACGCAGCTGAGCTAAAAGTAATATTTTCAAAATCTTGCTAAAGTTTTAGGACAAGTTCTTGCAATCTGCTTTCGCTAGTGTTGCGAACATCGCATTTCACCAAAAAACTAAACATGGTTTACACGTGACGTCATCGCACTACATGCTGGTGGTCATTGCGATTTGTTCTTGCTGAGAAAATCAAAACCGGTGTTGCAGAATGCACTCTGCAGAAGGTTTGCTTTCAGTGCAAGCCGTGTATTTGAGGGACACAAATTATTCTCGCTTGGTGAAGCGCTGCGAGGAACGGCGCAAGCGTCTGCCGCTATGAAAATGCGCTTCCCAGGGAGAGTGCTTTTGCAAACAAAGTAGTTTCCAGGGCCACACTTTCTGGTCTGTGCCGAAGATGAAGGGGCAGAGGAACCTTTACAACACGGTATGTTTTTAAAAGTGCCCCCTCCCCCTTTTCTTTTTCTCGTCACTCCTCCAGAGAATACTTTCTATTCCCAAAGGACTCTCTCCTTTGTTTGGGGGTGTTAATTCAACAATTATGTTTGTGTCACTTGTTATAAGTAATCCTCCATTGCTTTCTTTTTTTGCAACGAAAAACAAGTTTAAACGCAATCAAAACACTGAGGTGGTCAAAGCTTGAGGAAGAACTTGAGAATGGCACTCGTGCAAGACTTGGAGCGGCTGCCAACGTTCGGCTGTCTACTATAGGCTTTTCTTTTCAAGTATCTCTCCCGTACACACTTGTAGTTCTATGTAACGTCGAATCAATAAGTCACATTTAGTCCTTTGAATGCTCCGTTTTTGGGGACAACTTTCTGAGGCAGTATGGAAACAACGAAAACATGTTAGGGTGCCTCAATGACATGTTCATGTAAAATGGGTCGTGCAACAATTTTCGGGTTTTCAGTAATTACCGCTAAGAACTACAGCCCGACATTAGTAACTTGCAAAAATATCCATTCATTTTTTTTTTCTCTGCACAATGCCAGACACAGAAAAGATAAAGGAAAGAAACAGCTTTCCCCTCTTCAACTTGCAATTAGAGCAAGCGGCCACATGATGCGACGCTAATTTTATACCATCAGTGTTCATCATAGTCATGCACTGGAGTTGAAAAAGCATAGAGCATGGGCTGAGCTTCAGACATTGTTAGAGTTGGGCTATTCTCATCTTTGAGTGAACACGAGCCAAATGTTTGGCGATGCTGATTGTCATGAACCCGAGCACTCGATTTGGGCTCGTGACAATCGAGTATGTCACGGTTTCACGCGACTCGCGATGCAATGTCACAATGTCATGCGATGTCACGGTGTCGACAACAAGTAAATACCAAGCTCTGCCAATTTATTATTCTCAAGTATTCACTTCGTGATATTAACAAAAAAGGAAAAAAAAAATTACTGTGAACCATTTTGAATCGGTTACCATTATATTTTTTCTGGTTCAGTTCCGAGATGGCAAAGATTTAGGTTTGGCTAAAAATAATGGTTTGCGTCCAATGTTCAATTCGGTTCCGGTTTGACATTCTGGTCTCATGTTTGCCTGGATTCAACGTGCCAATTTTACTGATCGAATTGCTGTTCTATTTTTATCCAAAAGGCGGACAAAATTATTTAAATCATATTGTTTACAAATTTACAAACAAAAATGTTTTCATTAACAGGATGCCATCCTGCTTTGCAAACCAGCATATTTTAGTGCAAAAGCATTAACTGTCCCATGGAGTGAGCCGATGCCATCAGCTGCTGCGCCAAACGGCAGCTAAACTCCCCTCTCCCAATGGAGCTCAGTGAAGCCAAGATCTGAAGGCTCCCAGCTTTGAAGCCGTGCAAAAAGCCAAGCCAAATAAGTTCCCCTCTCCAAGTGAAGCCGAAATCTGATGGATAGGGCTCCCATTGGCTGGCACGCGTCATAGTTTCAAAGAATGAGGTTCCCATTGGCCGAGGTGCGTCGGTTTCAATGAAAGCCACACTATGGTGCTATGTGCCCGCGCCAGAGAACGCCAGGAAAAGGAAGCATTTGGCTGGCGGGGCCTCCCAGAGAACCCGCTTGAGCATATTCCGGAGCGCGGCGTGGTCACTTCACGAGAACGTGCGCAAGAACGACATTCATGCTTTCGCGTGCACAACTCCTAAGAAGTGCTTAGGTATACCTCGAGCCTTTTTGTGCTCCAATTACTTCACTCGTTTTCACCTCAAGAAGAAAGCAAGTTTTGCACATTGCTCATACGCCGCACAAGATAGTTCTTACAAGATTTGGCTGTCGAAGGAAGAAGCGATGCTTTTGGCGTTTGAAATGTGTATGTCTTAAAGGGATGCTGAACCGAACTTCGGATTTCACAAAATAAGCTTGCAGAAGTGTTTAAAAGGGCGCCATAAACCATGAAACATCACTCATATAGCCATACCTCGAACGGATGGCCGTATTTCTGAAAAATAAAGGAGCAAATGAGGGAGAATGTTGACGTCATCTTATCGCAAAAAAGTTGAGGAGAAATGGCCTCGCTCCCTTTCCTCTCCGCGCCCTCGCGGAGTCAAAGCGAAAAGAGGAGGAAATGAGAATCGCGAGGTCACGTGTCTTTTCGGCCTTGTGCGAGCGTGCTTCTCTTGTACAAAAATACGACGATCTGTTGGAGATACCGCTTTATGAGCGACGTTTTGGGATTTCTAGCGTCCTGCCTATCAATTCTGCATTGTTTTCCGAAATGCGATTTTTGGTCCAGCGCCCCCTTAATAAAATAACATATTTCTAATCTAAAATGCACCTATATATATTCTTATTCTTCATATAGTAATGCTCCATGAGGAGCCATACATTTTTTTACTTCGGTTCTTGAGGGGAAAACAAGTATAGTCTAATTAGAAGGTTGAATGCTTTTTCTTTGTGTCTGAACAAATAAGGTTTTACAACTGTGAGAAACTTTATACAAATTTGTTTTGAAATTCAAATGCATTAGGGAGCTGGGGGAGAACATACGTGCTAGTTTTACTGTGTAGTTCAACAGATTTTTGCCAGTTCTTTCACCTGTGAAATTTTGTACCTGGGAGCAATTCTCTATTTCAAGAACTATTGTTGCATTATTTGTCAGTTTATTACTTTTGTCCTCAGAGTCATTAATTTAACTGTACCGGGTTACATGAACAAAGAGCACATGCATCAAGATTAGGGATGCCGCGAACTTTTTTCGAATCGAAGTTTCGATGATCGAATCAAGCGGTTCGAAAGGTTCGAAAGATTTCGATTTTTCGAATTGTCTATATCGTAAAATTCGACGGAGGTCGAATTTTCGAACTTGTTAAGCTAAGAAGTTCGACGCTTTTCGAACCGTCAAACTTATTACGCTAAAAAATTTGATATTTTTCGAACTTTCGAACTTATTGCGCTGCAAGGTTCGATGCTTGTCGAACTTTCGAACTTGACTGACCAAAAAATCAATGAATTTCGAACTTATTTATCAAGAGAATTAGAAAAGTTTCGAACTTTCGAATTCTGAAAAGTCAGAAGTTCGACGAACTTCGAACTTTTAGGGTAAAAGTTCGACGTTCGTCGAACTTCGAAAGACCGGCGGACGGTTTCATTTGATTTCAAGTAGTGGGGTACATTCATAATTTTTTTTTCTCGAACTTTTACATGCGGTGCTGCGTTCCTTACGAAAGACAATGTCGTTTATTTCAATGTTCTGGCATGCTTAGGTTTAAAGAAATAAATCCCCGAAAGGGCGAGGAAGGACGACGGGTTTTTGACGATTATCGTTTGTGCCAGATTTGAAGCACGCTGCAGCCGGAGCTATTTATGGTAGATATGTTATACTTTTTTTAAGAATGATCTATGTATAGCCTAGGTAAGTGCCGTCTTAAGATGTGATTATTGTTATTCAACGTGAGTTTCGAAGAAATGTCCAAACATGTATCTGCATGCAATTATGATTTAAACTTGATATTTATTTTCGTCTAAGTTGTTTAAGGTATCGCATTTAAATTAACACCACAGACAGTACATATTGTTGCCATCTGCAGAATAAAAAATAATATATTTATTGTTTTTTCACGTTAAGGAATAAATTAACTCATGGGAGAAGATTTCTAATAGTGTTCAAGTTCAGCACGTCATTAAAAGAAAACTTTTTTTTTTTTTTTTTTCGCTTCACGTTTCTGGGACGTGTTTCTTTTAGCCTGTACACATTTTGGTAAAAGAAACTTGTTTCGAAGTTCTAAACCTCTGAATATGCAAGAATAGAACACTTCCGACGAATTCTTGATAGTTTTTTTTTTCTCCTGCTTTTTATTCCCGCATTTATTTTTTTTTATTTTTTTACTATCGGCACAGGTGTTTAGGTCGAAAAGACATAGCTTTGAACTTCCGAACCACTAAGCATGTGACGAGTAGTGCCTTCTGACAACGAGTTTCTAACAATAACCATCTACGCAACCTTTTATGCAGTGAAGAGCGACAGTAGCTACACATGTGCATAAATAATTTCAGATTAAAATAAGCTCGACCACGCCCTCTTTCCCCGTATTGTTTTCCTTAACAGTCCGAAATACCTGCAAGGGGGAGAAGGAGGCTGAAGCCTCCCTCGCCCCCCCCCCCCCCCCCCCCCCCCCCCCCCCCCCCCCCCCCGCTACCCTCTTTCCCCCCGTTTTTCCTCTTCCGACGCCACTTGTATGGTAGAACGCTCCTCGACCTCGAGTTGTGTCGGCTTTTGTGCTTTTTGCGAGGCGATTCCTCCATCCCAGAAAATAAACCTCCAGGACAATTACAAACTTCACCGGATCGGATTACTACCAGCGTGCAAGGAGTGGCAAGCTAGTTTGCCAGGTCGCATCAAGGTTTTTCTGAGCCTCAACCTCCTGCTCGCCCCTGGCCGTTTCGAACTGGATGAGTCTCGTAAAACAGTGTGTTCGTGCAATCACTACTGCGTAATGCAGGTTAAAGACGACCCCCCCCCCCCCCCCCCCCCCCCCCCCCCGGGGCTGGCGGTCACAATTCTGCACTGGCAAATATTCCAGCACGTCCAGGACACTCGTCGTCCCATTTAATTGCCTGACCAACTTCGCAGAATCTAGATATCACACCCTAACTTTTCTAAACTTGATTTTGTGAAAACCAGTGAGTCGTGAAAACATTATTTGAAACTGAAACTGTGGACAAACTTGAAAATCGAACTTCGAACTTTGAAAACTTGGATTAGAAAGAAATTCAAAATCTTCGAAGTTTTTTTTTCTTTTTTTTAAATTTAGCATTAAAAAAGAATCGAAACCTTCAAACTTTTCGAACTTTATGCAAAAAGAAATTCGAAATCTTCGAACTTCATGTCTATAAAAATTCGAAGCGTTCAAAGTTTTCGAATTTTTTTTTTTTTTTTTTTTTACAAAGAATTTCGAAATCTTCTAATTTATCGAACCTGAAGTAAAAAAATATTCTAAATATTCGAATTCGAAATTTTAGAAACCGTGAAAGCTTCGAAATTTTCGAATTCGAAACTCCGCTGTGGTCAAAAGTTGCGAATTTTTCGAAATCGAACCTCGGTCGGTACGAAAATATCGAAATCGAATTCGCTTCGCAAATATCGAAACCTTTCGAAATCGAACCTAGGGTGGTTCGCGACATCCCTAATCAAGATACAACCCATTTGCCAAATACAAAAAAAAGCAAAAAATTGTGTCCATGTGGCCACTTCCACCATGCTTTGTCAGTTAAACCCTGTTAAAGGGGGTTTAACTGACAAAGCACTTTTACCAACATCTAGAGAGTATTCTCAGAAAGTTTCATTAGTTGACACTGCATAGTTAATCTTTTATAAATTATTTTCGGTCCACCGATGCTAAAAGAAAGGTAGGGGTCGGAGCACTTTGAATGCATTTTTCTCCATTACACTTCTTGGCATAAATTTCACTTCAGGAAAACTATAGCTTGTTAATGGGATAAGAGAAAAGACTCACTGATTGTTTTAGAGCGCAGCTCTTAGTTGCCCGTTTGCGGCTTGAGCGGCGTAACCGTGCGCTGCATTATGAGAAGCGTCCCATAATGCACTGCGCGGGTCCACTCGTGACCTGCGCGTTGCATTGTGGGATGTTTCCCATAATGCACCATGCGGGAGGGATGAGGAGGAGGGGAAGGATGAGAAGGGGGAGGAGGATGAGGAGGCAAGGAGGAGTAAATGAGGAGAGAGTGGAGATGCCAGCTACCCATTGTGCAGGCAAGTGATATCACCATTCATAATAAATCACAGAGGCACGTATGAAAACGTGGTGTACTCGTTATCCAAGTGGCCATCTACACGGGTAAAGGTCTGTGCTGTACCCATCGATCTGTGGCCCTGCGAGACAAAGTTGGTAAATTGTGTGCTGCCAAAGTCGACAACGGCTTGCTCGTGGTAGCTCTGTATCTCTCGTCTATGGCACTCGCCAAATATTTTATGCAAGACAAAGAAGAACTTCATACCAGTCGTGCAGGAAAACATCCCATTGGCCCCAAGGGACGTGCACTCACTGTTCTGCTCTGCCATCTCAGGGGAGCACGATCAAGACTAATGCTGAAGAAATCAAAAACATTCAGCAGTCTTCAACAGAGCCGACAGCAAGTAGGACGACATTGAAAGGAGCATGTCCTTCGTAAAAGCGTTGACTTTAACGCTGTCTCGTTCTCCCGCCTTGCTCCTGCTGTCCCGTTTTTTATCACCGGCAGAACTTGTGGAGCTTCCAGATGTGAGAACTATATTTCCTTTCACCGGACAAGCGGTGAGAGAGTATAACACAATATATATCTTTCTCAGATTGTTTAGCACGGTATATCACAAAACCTAAATACCTCAAGAGAGGAGGAGGGGCATACGCTCCCCTCCTCCTCCTCAAGAGCTGCGCTCTCATTCGGTCCTAGATGGAGTTGTAAATGTCTTATTTTTTCCTAACTGGAATTTCATGCACAATGCCACTGTGGAATTGGTTTTTGACTTTGTGGATGTCTTTTATAAAAGATGTTAAGATTTTGTCAATGACATGAAAGGCAAAAAATTTGATTTTTGACTGTAATGTTAGCATAAAATAAATCACTTCTTGGAAATCTTGCTTTCACAGTTGCACTCTCCAGGCATTCTGCTGCAGATCTAAAGTCGAAAAATGTTGGGTAGTACATTAGTTTCCTAACAGTAGGTGCCCTAAACAAAGTCTGTGTGTTCCTGATAAAAACAATTTATTTTACAATTCATGTCGACAGATAAAACTTTGCACTGCATTGTGCCTTGCAACTGCCAGTATATACTGTAAATTTGATTCATAACAAGCTATAGGATCAATGGTTGACCCTCTTGGGCAGTGTCCCCCCTTAACAGACTGTTTCGTTTTTTTGCCCGTGATATATTATTGGAAAAGTATGTTGCTATTGATGAACTTCATCAATAAACATACAATACTCTATCACAAACTGTATACCTCAGCATCTAAAATCTAGGCGGGCTGAAGAAAAGTCGGCGATAATGGGTGCTGAGCCTGTCAGCAGTTCCAAATGTCTGCGTCTGGTGCACAGCATCTGACCTTGTACAGTAGCCAGTATACGGATGCCGACGTGTCCCGCAGGTGTCGCTGTCCCACGTGCTCGTGAAGCATCGGTGCCCCACCCGCTTCGGCGTACTGTTCATAGAGTTTGGGGGACGCCTCTGGCAACGAGACGTCCGTGGACTTTTGGCCACGGACCTTCCGCAGGACGCCCCTTGCAAGATACTCTTCCAGCAGTTTCTGGGTGAGGTTTCTTTAACGGCACTAGCAAGCTGCCCTGGCACGTGTTGACAGGGACAATATCTAAATCGTGATCTGCTCACAATACGACTCGCCTACCACCACCTAGACGACAATGGCGGGGCGTCTCTTTTAAATGCCCCGCCTTCAGCGCGCGCTCTTTGCCCTCCGCCGTGCTTTGGATGCACGTGCACGCTCGGGGCTCAAGAAGTACCGAAGCATCATCGAAGTTGGAAAGGGCGAGCTGGTGTCTAGAAACCGAAGGATCTCCTCTGTGTTCTCATCTTGTCAGCGACTACAGTGCGATAGGTTGTTAAAGGGATGACTTGTCTTTACTGCAGTTGTCCAGTGCCTAGAATGTAGTTTGCATCCATAAAGTACAGAACATGCCTTCTTTCGTTTACAGGCCCCAGTTCCTAGAAAAACAGCAGCATACGCAAGACTGTAGTTGCCCTTCCCTTCACAGCTACATTTTTCTCCAGCAAAAGAATGGTCTCTCGTAAGCAAGACACGAGTGTTAATTGAGAAAGCCTTTATTTCCCCAAACTACTAATAAATGCGGGTTATCCCTCGGTGATGGATCATCCTTTGAGTTGGCCTCGCAGGATGGGGACTGCCTGTGACATTGTGGTTATTGCTCACTACTCCGGAGATAGATGTGTGTGGCTACAACCCTGGGCCGCCCCTTCCCAGGAAATCTCTGGGGTGTCATTTGTAGTCTTCATTGCCCGATATAAAGCACCAACATCCAACTTTCTTTTTTTACTTTATTTGGAGGTGGCAAATTAATAATAGCTGTCTTCTGCTGTTCTAAAAACGAAATAAGGCGCTACATTTTACTGCTCCATTAACATACATTCAGACGGATGTTCTATGTCTCCCAACCTTTTCTACGATAGTCTGCACAATTATTGGTCACTGAAAATGCCACTTCACCATTTGTTTTGTAGCATTTGCCTTTGATTTCAGCCAAGTACATAAAACCAATATTTTGAAGTCGCCCTGTGTTTGCATGCATGTTGCAACTGCTGAAAAGGAAAATGCAGCCTAGACACGTTTTGCGAAAATAAATGTCATTCTAGCATGAGACTCCTCCAGCCCACATTTTAGGGAGCACCATAGGGCGGTGTTGCATATGAGGAATTATTCCATCATCCGAGAATATGTCCCAAATAGGCGCTTTGCAGTGACATGAGGACTTGGGTGTCTGGGTTAGTGGCCTTGTAATTGGTACCCACACATGGGAGAAAATGGTCACATGTAGCCGTAGTGCTGGTGTTCACCTTTTTACCCCAGCAGAAAATCCAATATCTTTCCATTTCATTGCAGACAAACCAAGATCACTGCAGTCCATCTGCAGACTTGGCATACGGAGGACAGTTGGGCAACGAAGGCTCAAGTACCTGAAGACACTGCCAGTGCCCATCAAACTATCCAACTTTCTATTTTACATGGACATTATTCCTAATGCGCTAGAGTATATGGCTTTTTAATGTGCAGGAATGAACCGACTTCCAGATGTGTTCAATTTCTTTGGGGATATTGTGGTAATATTCCTTAAACAGCTAATATACTGTTCAATCATTAAAATATTTCATTACAGAGAGAAGAATTCAAGCCCTTGCTTGGCATGCTTTGACCATTGTTGCCAGTTTGGCTTGCATCAGAAACCTAGCATTGCCAGTCTGTTCAAAGCATAGCTTTCTAGACCCTAGGTGTGATAGGCTATGAACTTGTATTTATTGAACTTAGAGCTGCAACATAATGCTATACTGTTGAGTTGCTAGGAGCCTAAACTCAAACTTCCCTGTTGATATACGCAAAGCACTTAGAAGTGCTGTCTTGTACTAGATAAAACTATGACTACATGCACTCGGAAGGATCTGCCACTTTTTTCATCCTCATTCCCTCAATTTTTACATGTCTAAAACATAAGAGGAAAGATTATGCAATGTTTGGTTACATAAGTAACACTTGCAGGCAGCGGAGTAGGTGACAAGAATACCATCGCTTTATTCTATGGATCACAAAAACAAGTATTTACACAAGTGACAACAAAGAGCTCTGCTCCAACAAAAAGTCCATATCCGAAGTGAGCAAGGGGCCCACGGGAGGCCCTCCCTTCAAGTCCCAATCGAAGCTCGATCAAGCAACAGCACTTGAGAACCAATGGTTTCATCCTAGCAGTGAACAGTCCCAGCTCAACTAAGTAACTATCCACTCATTCAGATGCCTGTCTGCATTCCTTCCTTCCATGACATGGTGCACATGTATGAGGCTCAATTTCTATAAACTGTTTCCACAAACAAACAGTAGTTCATTACACCCCATTATGACCCCTTTTTCAATGCGGACCCGAGAAACCAAAGCAGAGCCACGCACTCGGAGATGAAATGAGAGATGGGAAAAAAGATATAAAAGCCTACGTTGGGGGTCGAGGAGGCAACGGAGGCTGTGGTGGCTGCTGCGCTTGCACGGGAACCGTCTGCATCATCTGCTGCTGCTGGTGGTAATACACTGCAGTCGCGGCGTTTGCAACAGTTGCGGCATTTGCGTAAAGCTGAGGCTGCAGTTGGGGATGATGGGAGGCCTGGGTGGCAGCGACGTACGTGTACGCCTGCTGTTGTGCGAGGTGTGCGGCGTAGGGCACGGCATATCCCGCGGGGTAGCTGTTGTAGGGGACTGCGTACGCTGCAGCCGGATAGCCCGCCTGTTGCGGCAAGTGCACTCCGTACTGCGCGTAAGCAGCTCCTACTGCCTCCACGGCAACGGGAGCTGGTGCAGCAGATGGCGTCGCCGCGACGACCGTCGCTGCGGGGGCCTTCTTGGGGGGTGGAGGGGGCGGCGGCAGCCTGTCCACGATGGAGGAGGGCATAATCACCTTGACCCTGGTGCGGTGCCTGCGCTCCCGGGGGGGGAGGGGGCGGCGGAGGGGGTGGGGAGGGGGCACCGCCCGAGGAGCTCTGGTCGGCAGGGGGGTCTCTGCCGGGGGGGATGCCGTCGGCAAACGTCACCGATTTCTTGGGCTCCCCCGAAAGAGAGCCCCTTCCCGCAGGGATCAGGATCCCCGTGGCGGGGGGAGGGGGCAGCACCAGACACTTGACGGGGGCCGGGGGTCGTCCCGGGGGAGGTGGGGGAGGTGGAGGGGAGTCGCCGTCGCCCGCCTCGTCCTCCTCTCCGCAGCCGGAGGAGGAGCTCACCGGCGACGGTAGGGCCTGCTCCACCGTCTTGCTCCGGCGGGGTTTGAGTCGCAGGAACTTGGGGGGAGGAGGGGGCGGTGGTGGAGCCCTCTCTTCTTCCGCCACAACATCCGCCACGACCTCCACCTCGACTGGCTCATGAGGCGCCGGCATTCCGAGGTCTGGCAGGCAGGGGGAGGGTGCGGAGACGCAGGATAGGTCGTCCGACGAAGAGCAGGCCACTTCCTCTACGGCTGCCAGGCAGATGTCTTCCGTATCCATGACTGCGACGAACATGTCGTCTCCGGAAGATTGCTGGAACCTGGCATTGTCTTCCACGCAGACTTCGTTCTGGATCTCGACTTCGTCCCAGACTTCGGGCAATGGCTGCTCGACGACTTGCGTGCTTTCGCAGGTGGGAGCACGGAGGGCATCTGGGATCTGTTCGGTGCGGATGTCCTTGTTTGCTTGCACCTTGATGATAATTGGCCGCGAGATGTTCTTGCTGCTCGACACCTGCTGCTGCGTGGCTTCCGGTTTGCCAGTGGCGGTGCTACTCGGAGGAGGCTGAACCGTGCTCACAATCGCGACCTTTCGCGTGTGCCGAGGGATATCTTCCACGCTGCTAGACGCTTTAACGGTGTCGCAATGTTTTCTTCTGTGCGATTTCTTCAAGGTTATTACTGGTACAGAGCCTGAAGCTGCGACACTCATTCTGGATGACACAGCCGCAGTCTGGGACGTCGTTGTGCTTGGAACGGGAACGGGGCTTGGCACAGGAGCAGGAACAGGAACGGGGATGGGAGCGGGAACGGGAACAGGAGGTGGGATGGCCAGCCCAGGCAGAGAGAAGGAGGGGGCCTTGATTGGAACCGAGGAGGGAAGTGATGTTGGCAGAGATGTTGAAGCAGGGACACGAGGCTGGACTGATGGAGGTACACTGGGGGTAGCCAATGGAACAACTGCAGCGGTACAAGCAGGAACAGAAACGGAGGCGAGAATAGGAATGTGGGTGGAAGTGATAGGATGAGCGGAAAATGGTTCCAAGGATGGAAGAACGACTGGAGTAGGTGCAGTGACGGGAGCAAGATGAAAAGAGGGCACTGCTGTGCAAGAGGAATGAGCTGCATTTGGTAGTATGCTTCTTTCTTCCATCTCGCAGGTTGCCACCAACCTAGAAGCATCTGCCAACAATGCTTCTTGTTTCATTCCTTTTACAGGACTGTCTAACGAAGTGTCAGTGACAACAGTTCCTAGCGCACTGGCATTCTTAGATTGCACTACAGGATATTCCACACTAGGGCCACATTCAGCCATGTAGCTAGCATCGGGTGAACGTTCAGGCTCCATGATCAAGGTCTCTTCGCAGGGAACTTCGACTTCCTGAGCAACCTCCACTTCGATGCAGCTACCTAAATTCAGCTGTTCCATGAACTTTTCATACTCCGAAGTCAAGTCTTTGTCAACCCCTGCAACAGTAGCCTGCACAGGACCGAGGATGGCGACTGGACTGGGCAATGCAGCCGTGTCCACTTCGAGTACAGTTGTAGCCTGTGTTTGCAACTCCTTTTCTGGCTGGCAATTTTCAGCAAAATGATGGCTTTCATAGGCACTTCGATGATCTTGCAAACCTGTTGCCGCTAAAGCTGTCGTTCGATCGGTGAGAATGTTGCGGCTGTACTTGATGAACCTTTTCTCTTCAATTGACAGTTCAGAATCCAACACCACAGCCATTTCTTGCTCATCGTCGGAAAGCTGCATTGGCGCAGTTGAAGGGTGACCCATGATTTTCTTGTCAGTGTTAGTGTCCACAGAGACGGCTCTCTTCTTGGAGTTGCCATCAAGGTGCAAGGCGTCTACAACGGAGTCTTCCTTTACAAAAATGTTTTCCTTTATGAGCGGGGCCTCCTCTACGAGAGGGTCCTCTTTTACAGGAGGGTCTTCCTTTACAAGAGGGTTCTCCTTTACTAGAGGGTCCTCCTTTACTAGAGGGTCCTCCTTTACTAGAGGGTCCTCCTTTACACGAGGGTCCTCCTTTACACGAGGGTCCTCCTTTACAAGAGGGTCTTCCTTTGCAAGAGGGTCTTCCTTTGCAAGAGGGTCATTCTCCACAAGAGAGTCCTCTACAAGGTCCTTCTCCACAGGGGGGGTTTCCTCTATAACAGGGGGCTCCCCCACAAGGAGAGACTCCTCTAGAGCATTTTGCTCTTGTTCAAGTGGTTCCAGTTCGTCTTTTAAACCTGACACCAAGTCTGAAGATAAGCCAGGGTCCCTGATGGAGTCTGAAGGTTGGGCTGGCTCAATCTCTTGTTTTGGCTCATCTAAAGCAACAGGTGTTGAGACTGACTTCAAAATATTCTCTTCAGTAGATTTTTTGTTGTTTACCTTGATGTCATCGTGGATGTTCGCCTTGACCTCTTTTCGGATAGGGAGCTCCTCTATTTTTTCGACTTCGCTCCCCGAGTCCTCATTTCTCGCAGGTTGATCTGGGCTGTCCGCATTGTCGTACAAGCATTGCAGTGCTTGCAGCCCGGACATGACTTTTAGGTCCGGAGACACTGCTCGAGGTGTCAGTTTTGGTTTTTCAGCTTTTTGCACCACACATGAAGCCTCTTCACGAGCATCTTTCTTTCCAACGACGAGACTGTGAATGTTACCATACACAGGGTTGCATCCATATGAAATGAAGGGTTTGCTGTTGGTGTACTTGATAAGGGACATCGGCCAATTGATTTCCTTCTTGCGATCAAGCGACTTCACCTTGATGACTTCGGCGCTATCCTTGCGAGCTTTTGCAAGTGCTTCATTTCTCAGCTGTTCTTTCTCCTTTTGTGTTTTCTTTTCCTTGTCCTCTTTCTTTGCCTCAGATGAAAGCTTGGCTTTAGTATTAGTTCCAGATGGTTTCTCTGGCACATTCAAACTTTTATGTGCAGAAGTCACTTTTTCTGTTTTGCTTCCCAACACCTGCTTGTTGGTCTGGCCACTACCAGAATTACGAGACTTTTTAGCAACTTTAGGATCTTGCTCCGGGGTTTTCTTTCTCTTGGGTAGGCTTGCACACTCTTCAGTAAAAGATGTTGATGCATCCTTTCTTTTCTTGCGCTCACTTGTTCCACTACTTTCATTACTTTCGTTAGGACCAGAGATCCTTTTTTTTAAACTTTCGTCCAACCGAGCTTTTTTCCTGTAGTTGTTTCTCGCATCTTCACCGTGGTCAGTGCTATCAACCTTCCCCGTCTTTGAACTTGTTGGTGCGGTAGGACCATCATTGGTGCTAGTGATTGCACACTTTGTGCGTGGCACATCTTCATTAGAGATAGCCAGGGCAACCTTTGCCGATTTCGAATTAGAACCCGCCGAATCTGATTGTTTTTCAGAGGTGCATTTGGTCGTGGGTTTTGGCAGCTGAACTTCTTGACTTTTGGATAATACCTCGTCGGACTTCGGTGTAGAAGTTTTGACTTCTGGTAAAGCTTCAGCAGCATACCTTGGAGGTGGTTTCACGTGGCAAGCATCATCCTTACTTTCAAAATTTGCTTTGACTTCTGTTAAAGTTTCAGCAGCATACCTTGGAGGTGGTTTCACGGAGCAAGCATCATCTTTACTTTCAGAATTTGACATCTTCTCCAACTTCAAGCCAGAATTTTTTGAAGCATGAGTATGGCTGGTAGAACTTTTAGGCAAAGGTTTTTCCTGGGCAATGGGACTGCTCTTTTCGGTGGGCTTCAGGGTTTTCACACCCACACCTTCTTTGCTTTGTAACTGCACGGCATGATCAATGCCAGGTGCAGACGAAGGCTTGCAAGGACCCACGTCAATGGCATTATCTATAGCAGTGGAAGCAGGTAGACAGCCCTTCTTGCTCGACATCTCCGAGAGGAAATGACTCTCTAGGCTCGCTACCCTATCCACAGCGACCTGCCTGGCCTCCTCTTGCATCTCAGCTGCCGACGGTTGTGCGGAAACCCTTGGTGCCTCAGCCTTCTTTGCCATTCTAGCCATCTTCTCTTTGAGCATCTTCGACCTCAGTTTCAGCTTTTCCCTCTTCTTTTTCAGCTTACGAGGGCAGTCTGGAGAAGAAGATGAAGACGATGAGCTGCTTGAGCTGCTGGAACTAGAACTGGAAGAAGAGCTACTGGAGCCGTCAGACTCTGAGTCACTGCTGCTGCTTGAGCTTCCCTTGGAACTGCTGCTGCTGCTGCTGCTACTGCTGGACCCACTGCTGCTGCTTCTCGAGGAGCTTGAAGATGAGGAAGATGAAGAGGAGCTACTCGAGCTGCTCACCTTGCTTTTTTTCTTTTTTTTCCTGGCCTCCAGCTTTCGCTTGCTCTTGGAGGCTTTTCCTGCTTGCTCTCCTTTCTTCGAGGCCCTGACCAAGGCCTTCGCTTTTTTCTTTTTCAGCAGATTCACATCCTTATCGGCAGAGATGGCCACTGGCTTAGATTTGCACTCCTGTACAGCAGGCAAAACCTCCTGCCCACTAGACCTGCTCGTGTGCTTCTCGGCTTTTAAATCTTTGGGTACTAGTGCAACGTCCGAAGCATAATTTCCGATTTCATTGTTTTCATTTGTGTTTTTTAGAAGCCCTATGCCCTTTTGATGGCAGAGGACTTCTCTTTCCCCTAAAAAAGGATCGCTTGACAACGCTGTGGTTTTGCTGGAGTCCTCTGCCTTTTCAACTTTTTTATTCTGGCTTCTGCTTTCCTTTTCTTTTGCAGTGCCGCTTTCTGTTAAAGCCTCCTGCTTGAATCTTTTTGGTTCCTCTTGTTTAACAGCTTTATCTACGGAGGTTGGGACTTTATTCGAGGAAGCTTTTCTTGTAGCACTATGTTTTGGTTCAACAGAAAGATTCGACACTTTTTGTTGACAAACATCAGCAGACATGTCCTTCTCAAACAAATCAGCCAGGGTGGAGATTTCTTGTTTCACGTGGCTGGCAGAGCTTTGCTTCACATGCGGACTGTCAGAAATTCCGCCAAGAGCAACGTCATCAAACTCTTCATCCAGGATCTCCAGCAAGACCTTGCTTGAACCATCCCGACACAAGTCTCCGTCTGCGCTGAAAGTGCTGTCTGTCTCCCGAAATGTTTCAAGAGGACTGTCTTCGTAACTCAGATTTAAAATGGGTTCTTCTTTATCAGATTTTGAAAGCTCCCTCCTTGGAGACATAGGCTGCAAGTCACGGGAGCCATTTGATCTTGCTTGTGCTCTTTTCTCCCGAAAAGCTTCTCCGGCATTGGTAACTTGCTTGTCGGCAGTGGGGGTGCTTGATTTCTTGTCCTCTTGGCTCTTTAATGAGCTGGTGTGCTTTGCTTCTTTCTTTGAGTCATTCGTTCCAAGACTTTCGGCGTTGCCCCTGTGCTCCCTCGCCTTCTCCCCTTTCTTCCCATCACTGCTAGAGTGCTTCTCCTTGACCTTCTTGTCCTCCTCTTGCCTGTCCTTCTTTGGCCTGTCCCCTCCATCCTTTCCCTTGTCTCGTTCTCTTGAGCGGCTCCTTCTCTCCGTGCTTCGATTCCGTTTCTTCCCTCCTTCTCTACTGCGGCTTCTTTTGCGTTCCTTTCTTTCCTTGTCCCTCGACCTGCTCCTCTTCCGTTCCCTGGACCTGCTTCTCCTGCGGTCGTGTGCCCTGCCTGACCGCCGCTCTTTAGAACCACTTCTACGATCTTCTCTGGAGCGGCCTTGTTTTTGGTCCTTTGGACGGATCCCTCGAGGCTCCCTAGACCTGCTTTTCTTGCGCTCCTTAGACCTGCTCCTTTTTTTCTCAGCAGACCTGTTGCCCTTTCTATCGCGTGACCCACTCCTCTTTCTCTCGCGGGACCTGCTTCTATTTTCCTTGGACCTCTTTTTAATGGGAGGACTCCTGCTGGGCTTCCTTTGCTCATTCTTGGCATCAACTGTCGTCTTTTCCTTCTTCCCTTCTCTTTTTGTCTCCTCATCCACTTCCTTTGCTGGCTTCTCATCTTTTCCTCCATCACTTCCTTCTAATACCTTCTGCTTCTTGACATCTCCTGCTACCTTAGCTTCCTGCTCTCTTTTGGGTTTTTCGGGTACTCCTTCAGTGGCATCAGGAGGCAGCTTGAGCTCAAACGGATCACTTCTCACAAATTTGACAAACTCAAACTTGGGCTTCACCTTGAGCTTCTCTGGAGGAGCCACATGGTAAAAGTCCTTGTCTGGCCCATCCTCCGATGGCTTGTTCTCTTGCCCCTCCTTCTTGGTGTCCGAATCTTCAATGGCTGGCCCAGACTCCGAAATCTCTGCAGGAGCGGCCGCGGAGTTTGCCGCATCCTCCTCGGGTGTCTGCTCATCTTCCTCCTTGAACAAGCTGATCGGCACCGACGCCACTTTACCCTGGGCCTTGCGGGCAAAACTAAAAGACAGAGCACCTCCAGCTGACTTTGAAGAGGAAGCCGTTGCTCCTGTCGCTGCTCCTGCGGCTGCTCTCTTCACTTCTAGCGCTTTCTGGAGTGGTTGCTTGGAGGTCAGAGAGAAAGCAATGAGCCGCTTCTTCGCCAACGCCTTTCCAAGCAGCAGCTTTGATTTGGACGGCTCTGGCAAGGGAGTAGCAGGGGATTCGGCAGTCGTAGGACTTTTAGGAGTTGGAGACCCGAGTTGTCCAGAAGGGCCAGAAGCACCACCACTCATCGTTGATGCAGACAAGACAGGAGGTCCGGAAGCCGCAGGAGGTCCGGAAGCCGCAGGAGGTCCGGAAGCCGCAGGAGGTCCGGGAGCCGCAGGAGGTCCGGGAGCCGCAAGAGGCCCAGAAGATCCAAAAGTTCTTGGAGGTTCAACAGGGCCAGCAAGGCCAGCCAGCACAGGTGGAATGGGGGGCATCTGGAGGCTAGGGGGGTCACTTGAACCAATAATATTGGGAGGACCAGGGGCCCCAGAAGAACCTGTAGGCAGAGGTGGTCCCGGGAGCCCAGGAAATCCAGGCAGTCCAGGAAATCCAGGAGGCACAGGGAAGCTCGGTAATCCAGGCAGTCCAGGTAGACCCAGAAGACCAGGAAGTGGAATTCCAGGCATCCCAGGAAGTCCAGGAAATCCAGCTAGCCCAGCAAGTCCAGAGAAGGATGGAGGCAGTGGAGGTGGGGCAAGTGGAGGGGGCTCTGGTAACGCCGGAGGCTGCTGGTCTGGCAGGATGGGTGTTGGATCTTCGGGGGAGTACTTTTCTTGGCCAGGATCTAGCTTGGCTTCTGAGGTCAAAGGTCCAGGAGAAGTGGATGGATTACCAGGGAGGGGAATCTCAGGCAGAGGAGGAAGTTCGAACATGACTCCAGTCTCAAAGAATGTTGTTGGGGGTTCTGAGACAGGTTCTGAGACAGGTGCTGCAACAGGTGCTGCAACAGGTGCTGCGACAGGTGCTGCGACAGGTGCTGCGACAGGTGCTGCGACAGGTGCTGCGACAGGTGCCGCAGTGCAGACAGAGGAGCTTGCCGTGGAGCTCTGTGTATCTACAGGGTCTCTGCTGCTGGAGTCAGTAATGTTGCCTGCATCATCTTGATCCATGCTGACCTCTTCTTCATTTTCATCACTGTCAGAGTCATCGTCTTGATCACGACTTGGGGACCGGAGCCAGTCATAGATCTTTTGGGATGAGTCAATTTGTTGGAAGCGTCCTCTGAACTTTTCGCCCGTCCCCATCTCCGTAGGTCCTCTGCATTAGTTACGCATAGCAGAAAACAAGCATTCCAATCACATTGTCGTATTGCTACAACTTCTTCCAGCAAGGAATAGAAGAATCACAATGACAATCCTCCCAGTTCTCGTTAACGTCTTCACTATGCTCGGCATCAACTTTCTTGTGTTAAATTGTCAAGGCTAGAATATTTTACACCGTACTGCAGCCCTGCACTGCTGCGAGAGCACGTGGTTTCACGTTGCGTCTCATTTGCACGTGCTCTCAACTGAAGAAGCCAAACGAAGCCACACACTCATACGAGTAGCTTTGAGAGCATTGGAACACTATGGAAACTATGCTAACTTTATATTGATGCCAAGTAGAGACACTCTAAAGCATACCATATCTGCATAAATAAACTCTAAAGCATACCATATCTGCATAAATAAACTGGAGTCAAGTTTCTGGGTATGAAATTTAGAAAAGATAATATTACTGGGTGGTTTCATTTGACTTCAAAAGAACCGGGTGGGTGAGGTCTTTAACTTGGAAAGCTATGTGATATTCCAGTCCTTGAAGTGGCTCATGGGCTATTTTCAGAAAGACATCACCTTTCTAAAATTGTAACCTTGAGCAATTTTTCCTCAAATATGAATTGCTATAGTAAACAAATGATCAGGAACGCTGACACAAAGCAAATGTCAGTATGCAGCTATGGATATAAGTTATCTGGTGTTGCGTTGCTCATGCTAATATTTACTAAGAAATATTATCTTGGCCAAACTTTGTGGTAAAGCAATATTTTACGTCAATTTCTCTAAAAGGTCACATTGTTCTTTGTTTAAGCCAGGGGTTCTCAAACTTTTTGGTCTCGCGAAACCCCAGAAAGCCTCAAGAACTGCCGCGGAACCCCCCCTTCCATATTTGCCGACTGAGATGCAACAGACGCACAATTGTGGGCAATTTTGCTTGTGTTGCTTCCCATATATCCCCACCATATCAATTGCGATGTCAGTACAAAGTAAGATGAAGGCGCTTTGCATGGTGCTTCCGCGCAGCCTGCGGCGTGGGGGGAGGGAGGGGGGGAGGGGGGGTTGCAATCTGGGTGTTCACGGAACCCATGAGGCCAGCTCGTGGAACGCCTGTGTTCCCCGGAACCCAGTTTGAGAACCCCTGGTTTAAGCTATTTTTGTTGACTGTCCATATGGTTGCTAATAACTGTATATATGAGGGGTGATCAATACGTTTTGCCTCCTAGGCTGTAACTTTCTTATTCAATAATGGAAATGAAAGATGTTACATTCAAATAGAAGTTTGGAATCTCCTCATTCCCAGGAGCACATAACTTTTCAATATAGTCCCCACTGGCGGCAGTGCACTACCGCTACCGGTGCATTACTCTCTGTATGCCGTCGTAGATGATTGAGGGCTGCTTTTGAGTAGCTGGAGGAGCTGCAGTTCCAAGATGTTTTGCCTGATTAACCTTACAGCCCCGACCTCGCACCAAGAGACTTTTGGCTGCTTTCCAATACAAAAGAACATCTGAAGGGCACACGGTTTGCGTCTGACGACAAGGTTACCGATGCAGCGCACCGATGGTGTCGTCAACAGCCACCCTCAATCATCTACGATGGCATGTGGAGAGAAGTGCACCGGTAGCGGAAGTGCATCGCCACCAGTGGGGAGTGTATTTAAAAAGTTATGTGCTCCCATGAAAGAGGAGATTCCAAACTCTAATTTGAACGTAACACCTTTCAATTTCATCAATGAATAAAAAGGTTACAGCTTAGGAGGCAAAACTTATTGATCATTCTTTGCAAATATTGGATTACATCCTTTTGTTGTATTCTTGGGACAACCAGGTAACCGAGCTGTTCCCCAACAGCCCCCCCTCCCCCCCATAAGCTGTTTCTGGCAATGCCACTGTCGACGAGTATGCAAATGTACAAGCACAGCTTGTACTATGGAGCATCAGAGAAGGTGAGGTGCAAAGCGAAAGGTGGCTCTCTCACCTGAGCACAGCGACGTGCGCCCTCAGCTCGGCCAGCTGCTGTAGCCTTCGCTGTTCCTTCTCCCGGCCACGGCCTTCCCTCTTCACTTTGGAGAGCACGTTACGTCCGAACTCGCGCTGTTTCAGCTCCTTCAACCTCTGCAAAGCAGACGTCGGAATCTTTACTCTCGCACACATTCTGACATAGCTCAGGATATCCGTCTTGCAATAAAACACTTACGATAAAAAATCACCTGCCTTAGATTTCGTCAAATGCGACGAAGGTGTGATAGCGCTTGATTGGGTTTTTAACGAGAAACATTTTCTATTGGAATTGTGTGTATATATTTCCCCACCAAATTTAGCAAGGAAATTATGTCACGTGACATGGTGACATCATGCAGTCGGACAGACACCAAAAAGAAGGCTTGTGTTGGGTTCCCATATAAAGCTATCGCTTTAATTGCTTTCTGAGTAGAGCTTCAGTGCCAACACCCAAAAAGACCATGAAAAGGAAGTTTGTAGTTGGGAACCACAAGATAGTTCTCTCCTACGTGCGATTATTTCGTTGTGACATCACCGGCCCAAAATGGCTCTAAGGCTGCAGCATTTTTTTTTTTTTTCTCTTTTGCTACATTTTAGGTTTGCGACAGAGTGATTATTTATTGACAAGATATAATCCTTCTTTCGCAAGTTTCAATAAAGATGCGTTGGGGGCAAATATATGCAGTTGGGGTGAAAAAGAAATGTGAGCCTCATATAAAAATTTTTGCCCAGAACATGTAGCAATAAAAACTGACACCACTTCTAAGCTTTATGAAGAGAAAGTGTTCATTCTATGTTCAAACTAGCCAAAATGGTGGAAAAAAACAAACAAACAAATGTCCCATTACAAAAACAGATGCATTTCATTGCAGAACAGCATGCTAATTTATGTGAAATGATCCCAGTAGTCATGAAGGAAGCTACGCCTGGCTTTCAACATTGAAGAAAACATAGGAAAAGCTGCGAATATTCTTTTGGTCACACAGGTGCTCACACAAGCGGAATAAGGCTGCCCGCTCCCGTTCTCACATTCCGTCTTAGCTAAAACGGAATATAGCCCGCTGCCTTTACCGTGTTCAAATCAGATGCTCCCAGCATCACATGTGAGTGAAGATTTTTAATGTGGTGGGACAGCATAAATCTGGGTTTTCAAACTCTCTTTCCACCTTGAGAAACACCTGGTTGACCAACGGCCAAGGAATACCTCCCAGTCTCGTCACTGATGCAACAAGTCGGTGCGGAAGTCTATGGACCTTGTTAACAGTAATGTACAAACTGGAGAGCATCTGGCTCACAGTTACACATCAATGGGTGGCTCAAATTCACTCAAATAGTGGTTAAACTGGAAAAAAAAAAGGCTTTACTTAGGTGGGAGCTCGGTCAAACCACAAGGGCACTCCAGCAAACCTGCGTTCCTAGGAATCCAGTTTCAGAACCCACGGTAGAAGTGTTTGTTCTAAACTAAACATGTTTTAACGAAGCTTTGCCAAGTATTTCCTCGACTGAATGCATAGGAAAAGCGGGACACTGCAACAAACAATTATACCTGCTTGTGTGCATGGTCGTAAGAGTTCATGTGGTTGTCAAACTCCTGGTGCTTGGAGTACTGCTTGTCGCAGAGATCGCAGTAAAAATTGGCCTTGAGGGTGGCCAATGCCTCTTGCACAACCTTCTCCTTTTCCTGCACAGCCTGGAAAATCACACGAGGCAATGTGGGCTGAGATTTTGTTCTGTGTTGAATCACCAAGGGCCTTTTCATTTTTGAGGCTGTAAAGCACTAGAAGAAGAGTTCCACAACTGGAGCTTTCCCAATACGGAGTTTACGTCAACAAAAAAGGAGACCGAGGTGCTAACTAACCACAGCAAGCAGTCCAAACAACAGACCCTTTTCAATTCAATTTTTATTTGATGAAGTGAAGAATTAGTTCCCATATTCTGGGACCAGCTACAGTCGCCGACAGTTTTTTTTTGGACTCCGATAATTTGGACTTGTTCCGTATTTTGGACCTGAAAACGGAACCGTGACTTACCCCATAGAAATACTGCATATTCACGACCAATGTTTCAGACAGCTTGAAGTACGAAAGTTTGATTATTCGGACAAAATTGTTGTGAGCGATCAACGGAAAACACCATCGAGAAGCGGCCATTTTGAATTCTATGTTGGCTGTAAATGGATTGGCTTGGTTTGGCAGCACTACTTGAGTACTCCTGAGTCCTACCACTAGGTGACGCTATGCTAGGGCTTTTTTTTTCCATTTAGCTGCACGTCATCATCATCATCATTGTCATTTTGCTTTGTTTTTCTGTTCCTTCGCATCGCCAGTCGCCATTTTGCGCTCATAGATTTGCGTTTCTTATCTCGTTCAGACAGCGCTGGCATGGACATCGTGACCCCATCTGTTGTTCTGCCGCCGCGATAAGTCGTTAAGAAGCGCAGAAAGTACTCGACCATAATGCTAGAAAAGAAGGCAGTGATTCTCAAGCTAACAGAAAGTTGCCGAACGCAAACGGAGGCGTAACCTAAAACCAGGCACTATTTACGGCTTTTTTAAGCCCACTTAAAAGTAATAAAGGCAAGTTTTTCAATCTGCCGATTTTTCGGACTGCTCTATTATTCGGACGTTTTTTTGGTCCCTCCGAAGTCCGAATAATCGGTCGGCGACTGTAGTTCAAACTCGAGGAACAATAGAAGACGCTTTCCAAGTGCCAGTCCATCCATGTGTCCAGAGCTAAGACAACACTACAAAGGCCGAACTACGTGGAGCGAATGTGCGGTGAAGGACCGACGAACTTTGCCTGGCAGCGCGTTTGCTTTGCATGCAGCGCAACGGCCACTCTTCCGACGCCACACATGGCGCAAACGCCGCCAGGCAAAGTTCGTTGCTTTTTTTTTTTTTTTTTTGCTCCATGAAGTACGGCTTTAATGGCAGTGTCATACATAGGCTCCACACCGGGGAGCCAAAACGACCTTGATGGCAGAAAATTAATTTGAAAGAGTTGTTACCACGCATGTACCAACTTGAAAATGCTCCCTCTTTGTTATCAACTCGTTGAAAACAAGAAGTGGCAAAGAATGAATTTGGACAAGCTGGTACATGCATGCTGCCTTCGATTTGTGAAATTGGGGATGCAGGATTTAGGCGACCTTGTGCGCTTGTCGACACCATTAAGAAGGACATTTGTGGCTCTGGCTTTTGAAAAGGGTCTATTAAATAGCACAACAGTGACTCTACATTCTGGATCATCTATTATTGATACCACACTAGCTGGACACAAACTGCCGCTTACTCTTAACAAAAAGTCATATGCCAGGTAAAATAGGCTGTGCAGAGAACTGCACCTTGGGATGCATTTTAAATTACTTATTCACAGTAATTATGCGGAACACTTAAAAATATTCAGAGAGGCTCGTATCAAACATTTATAAGTGCTGGATTTTAGTAAGGTAAAAGGAGTTGAAGTCTATAGGCTTTGTTTGGGCCAGATTGAAATTTCTAGTGGGCTGCACCGTGACACTATGCTAATAATGCTACGTTCGTAGGAAGTCAAAATAATCTTGTTTGTAAATACCTGGTCACGTCTAAGTATGGAACCACCAGCTAGCGCCAAGGGAGCCTACACACTATTTTTACGAGCTTGGCCAAGTTTTACGTAATTCATAAATCAATGCACACGTGTACTGCACTGGCAGGCACACCCAAAAGACAAAGTATAGAGCTTGACTTGAATTTCATAACACAACCAGGAGCAAGGGAACTGCTGGAAAAAATATTACAAATATTGTTACTTTGCAAATTTTTTTTTCTACTATGCTGAAAACATTTTTGTCATGTTAGAGCTTGCCATTATTGACATGCTGTTACGGGATTTGAGTTCTCGTCATGCCTGCTGCAACAGCCAGATCTATAGATAGATCTCACAAAGCGTTCCACACATGCGTGACGTATCGTGCTCCAGTCGCGCAGACCCGCAGGCGGGTTGTCTCATGTGCAAAAGGTCTACAGTTCCCAAAATGCATGGTGTTGACGGCGGTGTAACGAAACTGGCTGGTGAGATCGGTCGTACTAAGCAGCGAACAAAAAAGGGTACAAGGAAAAAGGAATGGGGCAATGCACCCTCCAGAGTTCGTACAGGCTTCAAAGAAAAATATTTGAGGGTTTTCAAGGACTTCTAAGGGCCTGTAAATATATTTTCAAGGACCCCCTAATATACTCTATCTAGTAAATTTATAATACAACAACCTCTTGAAATGCACTGCGAAAATTCTTTATTGCACGATACCTATGAAAAGGCACATTTGCCAAAGAGACAGGGCTAGTAAAGGGTTTAGTAGAGCAACTACAGCTATTCCTTGATTTCCTGGTTGATGTTTAGAAGTTCTTCCATCTTTGTTTTTGCGTTTTCATTAGGCTGTTTGACTTGACAGTGTCAAGTCGGAGTGATTATTTATCGACAAGATATAATCCTTCTCTTGCAAGTTTCAATAAAGGTGCATTGGGGGCAAATATATGCAGTTGGGGAGAAAAAGAAATGTGAGCCTCATATATAATTTTTTGCCCAAAACCAACATGTAGCAATAAGAACTGATACCAGTTCTAAGCTTTATGAAGAGAAAGTGTTCATTCTATGTCCTAACTAGCCAAGTAAAAAAAAGAACAAACAAAAAGACATCCCATTACAAAAACAGATACATTTCATTGCAGAACAGCATGCCAATATATATGAAATGACCCCAGTAGCTACGAAGGAAGCTACACCTTGGCTTTCAACATTGAAGAAAACATAGGGGAAGCTGCAAATATTCTTTTGGTTCAACTTGACAATGTCAACTCGAAGAACCTAAGGAAAACGGCAAAAATGAAGGTGGTGTCATTTATTGCGTCTGCTTTCTCGGCGTCTGTAGTCGTCGTGACCCAGCCACAACCGCTGAAAGTCGCACTCCTCGGGCATTGCACACAATTTAAACTACATTCACGGTGTGTAGCGTAAAACAGACGTGGCACAAACAAACCAGGAGTAGCTAGCAAACAGTACGCGAGAATAAGGCGTTTGAGGGGCAAGATTGCAAGATGGAGGACGGGCGAGACTGGATCCGGAACCACCACCACCAATTGTGGCCAGGCACTTAACAGGCATCAAATAAATCTGTCTACATGTGCCATATAAAAGACTTCCTCGTTGAGATTTTGCAGTTTATGCTAACATTTTAGTGCTGTAAAAAAAATTTCATTATTGCAAAAAAAAAAAAACTGTTTGTTATGGGGAAATTCCAGGGTTTTCAAGCACCGCTAGAAATTCCAGGGCTTTCAAGGTCTGGAAAATCTCGTTTTCAAATTCAAGGGTTTTCAAGATTTTCAAGGAAATGTGCGAACCCTACTTTCCTATATTATCATATACCAAAATTTAAACAAAACCTAGGAACCTAAAGCACACTGTTACCATGAACAAGCTATCACCGGTTTTAAAAGCATCAAGTGCTCTTTCTTCTTCTAGCCGGATTGAAAATACATTTTTTGGAGTATTAATTGAAGCGGCCAAATTTGGCACTTGGCAACCCCGTTTCCAGGTAACGTGCAAAACAGCCTCCATGTCGTGTTTGTGCTAAAAGTGTGGCACAGTGTTTATTTCAGTTACTCAGTGGCTTATTTGCTAGAGTGAAGGAAAGAGCACAGCACCGAGGCAAGAGCCTGCCAGCTGCACATTTAGGTAAAATCGCCAGTTATATCAAAGGGATACAGTCCATACCTTGTACTTTAACTTGAGCTCTTCTGTCTCTTCTTTCTCAATTTCCAGGGTCTTCCTTTTCTCTGTGGTCTCCTCAGCATAGTCCATCTACGCATCAAAAGAAGACGTCGTCGTGCACATTTCTATACCACATCTCTTTGTAAAAAGACGCTGCACTCGCAAGAATACTTTTTTTTAACTGTCTACATGGGCTATGTACAATCATGTCTTGTTAATATGGAGACCTCCATTCTCCCCAAAATTGTCCATAATATGAGTTGTCTCTAATAACAAGACAAAAATGTGTGTATTTACCTAGTTCGTACCAGAAAAAGGTGTCTATATAGTGGGGTATTCACATTACTGAGGTCCATACTAACGAGATATCACTGCACATATATAAAAAAATTGATTCAATGTTTAGACCCCATTTTCAATTTAGGCAGAGCCATGGATGGAACATACAGGGTCATCTTACTCTTACCTTTTTTTCTTTTACACCTTCTCCCAGTGCACAGAGGTCAATAGTGTGTAGAAAGGTGCGCAGTGGGCATACCTATGCTCCACGGTCCTACCAGCCAATCAAAGCCTCAACGAATAACTTAGAGTACATTAAATATGTCTTCAATATTTGACTAAATTCAAAGGGTTATCACAGACAGGCTCTGTCAACAAGCACAAAAGCATGAATGTCATTCTTGTGAGCGATCTCATGAAGTGGGCACGCTGCACTGACATTAGCGTGCAGCCACCCCAGAGTAAGCCCCAGCGGGCTCTGGTCTGGGAGGCCTGGCTGGCCCGGCCAGCCAACCACTCCTTTCTCCCGGCACGCTCTGGTGCGGGCACGTAGTGCCATGGGGTGGCTCTCCTCGAAACTGACGTGCGATGGCCCTATCCATCAAATTTCGGCTTCATTTAGCTTTCGTTTCGCGTGGCTTTTTTGTGCGGCTTCAAAGCTGGGATGCCTCAGATTGCGGCTTCACTTCGCTCCGTTAGGAAAGGGGAATTTAGCTGCCGTTTGGCACGGCTGATGACGTCGGATCGTTCCATGAGACAGTTAACGCTTTCGCATTGAAACAAAAAATTACAAAACAGAAGAGGTCACGAAATTATCGGGAAGTCAGCAACGGTCACGAATGCTAATTCTCTATGCTCTTTTTGACAAAAATATGAAATGCGTCGTTACTCGCGATTTTTTAGTTTTCAGGCTAACTGGCGTTAAGTTCATAACTAATTCAAAACATTAATAATTTGCCTCAACCCTACCCCCCCTTTTTCTTTTTTCGAACCAAAACTCTCAGTATTTGAACAATATCAAGAAACATTGTCATAACTATGATTACTCGGCACACTTTTTGTTGCATACCAAAGGCCACCCAAAATGGTAAACACATTTTAATGCGAAAGCATTAACTATAGCATGGAGCCGAGGCGGCGGCGTCTGCAACTGCAAAAAAACGCGAAAGAAATGTCCATTCTTTCATTGGCTAAGCAAAACGGCTCCTAGATCATAGCCAATGGTGGCCGCTTCATGAGAGTGCGCGCTCGGCCTCCGCTCTAGTGGCAGGCGTCGCCGGAGCTGTGGCCGTTTCACAAGAGCGTGCGCTCAACCGCCCGCCAGCAGCAAAACGTGGCCGTCCCTGCCAGTACACCGCAAACAAACTAAGGGAGTGGAAGAACGACATTCGTGCTTTCGCATTCAAAACTCACAAGTGCTTAGGTGTCCTCGGAATTTTCATTGTGCTCTTTTCTCTACGGACACCCATCTTTAAAATTTAAATACACTTTGGATAAGAGGATAACAAACACAAAAAGGCTACTTCGAGCGTTCTACTTTAAGTCACTGACAGGACAAGAAAGATGCCCAGCCCCCAGCGGCAGCAGCTCGTTGCCTTCCGTCGTGCTTTGGTCGCACGTGTACACTTTAAGCTTCCGGCACACTAAAGTGTGGTCGAAGGGCTTGCGGATGAGGGACAACCGAAGTCCAGGCCTGTCGTTCTTGCCCCGTTGGCGACTACAACCGAACTTGCGAGTTCAGGCACACGAGACCGTTGGCGGCGGCGCCAGCGAGGTACACAAAACGCACACGACGGAAAAAGTAAATGTGAGGCTGGCAATGCCCCAGGTTCGTACTTCCATCTCCATTCTTCCAAATCCCATGATGTCCTCTTTGAGAATGATCGGCAAGGGGTCTCTGCGACCTGGAAAGACATGCGACACACACGCTCTGTAGCAGCCAAATAAACGACCAAGACGAGCGTGTACGGACGAGACTTATGATGGCTCTCACCAAATCAAATGCTGGAGGTTCTCCCGAACCGCTCGTGAATGGATTGAATTTTTTTTTTTTTGTTTCCCTCGTCTTCAACTCCGAAATAGGTAGATCGAAGGTGAAGATGCTGCAATTCAGCAGCTTTATTACTTTAAAATTTAGTGGCTTTTGCTCAAATATCTTTTTGAGTTGAATAATATTAATGAAAAAAAAAAAAAAATTAAGAATAAAAGAGCATAATCCTCCCCAGAAACAAACTATGTAGCAGTTAGGCAAGCATGGGAAAATAAAGAGGCCCAAACATTGCAAAAGTGATACAATACCATTGAAACTTTTTTGAAGACCCCTGTAATCACGTACGGAAGTGAAACGTTAAAATTCACTCCTTTCCCACACAAGTGCAACAAGGCAGTGGCAACGCAGAATGTATTGCGCATTGCTTGGCGGTGATGCTGCGCAAATGAACTTGGCACGCATTTCGTGCCTCGACAGCGGAAACACAATTGTGCGCAGCATTTCTTAAAACAAAAAAACAAAAATAAAGCACCTTTAAAGCTGGTGCATTATTAAAAGCGGAATGCAAAGTTTCCGTCTCTTGCGGTAGCACACCTCGGCTACGACCCTGCTATTTTGTGTCTCCCCGTTTCTTCCGAAGCATGCGCTCGTTGTCTTCCCCGTTGTCTCTTGCACCCTCTCCCTCTATACGTGCGAGTACGCTCGCTCAGCATCTCCTAGCCAAGAAGACCGTAGTTCTAAATTTTGTACATCCCCTACAGGAGGCCGCCACAGAGCACAGATTGTATAAATGTTGCATCAGCGTTTGGTTGGGACCCGCGCCCAATAACCGAGGACACGAGTCCTCAATTATTGAACAGGGGTGTCTCAGTCGAATGTTGGTATAGCACTTGTGCGACGCTTTTCCGTTACAGGAGCACTTTGCTCGAACTGGCTAGGAGCCAGTCACATAAAGCATACAGCATTAAAAGCAGTCATAAGAAAGGCATCACATGTCAGGTGACAAGTAGTCAAACCAAACAGAACAAACCAAAAGAAACGTTCACAAAGAGAAGAATGACTGATAAACGTGCAACAATGATGTCCTAGTGATGGGCTGAATCGGCAAAGTCAGGATTCAGCAATGTTTGGCATGTGCCACACTTTTGGAGATAGTGCAGACTGAGCAAATATTAGGCAGACAGATACACACGAGCTCGGACAATGACCGAGCTCAAACAAGACAGAGACGGTGGTACCCGGTGCAATTTGCAGCAAACTATGAACCAAGACCAGATGGTAATGGCACCGTATGTTTACCAGCTTGTGCTAGTGTGGTCGTGGTCAATATTTGTCGTCGTGAGTGGAAAATTGAACAGTAAACTGATGCAAATTACAAAACCTACCAACAATAAATGTTGTGAATATAGAATCCACACTTGCATGCAAAGCAGACGCCGGTGCAAAAACGTGCAAACTTACAATAGTGTAACCTCCTCCACGGGAGATTGCGACACAGAGGGAGGGGGCGAACTTGCACCGTTGAAGTTGCAACACATAAACTAAACTCGTGCATTGTGAACGTCTTTCAAAAGAAGCCCCTAATTTTGCAATGCACGATAGGATGCTGATGCAATTATCATGCAAAATAATACTCTATATCAATATTTATACCATACTTTTAACTTTCAACAAATGTCTAAAATACTTTCCGAAGGAGAAGTCATTGACCAGTGTGGCGACCCTGCCCTTCTGCTGAATTTGTAGATGTTGAAAGGAAGTTAAAGGGGTACACCAGCCGTTTTTTGAGCTACCCAAACAAATTGCATTTCTGACTACCTGGTCTTTATCTTTACGGTACGCTATTTATTTTCCCGAAATTCAAAATAGCAACCGAGAAAACCGTAAATGAAGATGATGCCGAAACAAGTATTCAAATTTTCGCGCACTCTCCAGTGGTGTGACGTCACAAATGGTACATACTTTTAGGTCATGCAGGTAGTCTTAAACAGAGTATGTCGAGTGTTTTTTTGCATGCTCTTCAGTGAATCGGCTACCAAGCATTCTTTTCCCACCATCAAACGTCTTGTAATCAGTTGGGAACATCGCTTGCTGCCCACTTTGTACCATTTCTGTCGTCACACTTCAATGTTGCCAGTAGGGGCTCCCGGTTTGAGAAACACGATGAAAACAAAATTAGAAAATTGAATAACTCAGCGAAATGTTTGTCTTTTCACACAATACTTGGGGAACTGGTACAGCCGTGTCTATCGGTCTGTTGAGACCATTTTGAGGCAAATCGGCGGCCACGAAAAAATTGCCGGAGTATTCCTTTCAGCAATGGCAAATGATTCTGCAAAAGTTTGGCCCGTCACTAGTTTTTGTACCATAAACAAATCTGATTGGCAACACTAAAGCAAGGAAAAAAATGATGCAACGCCACAAGACTCGGGCACGTTGCCCTGGGGCTTTCGCCCATGATGCAAGATCTCTACCGTTAGATGTCCAGGTATAATAATCAGTAGGGCAAGTAATTCCTCATGAACTTTAAACTTATTATTAGTGATATTATTGTCTAAGAAGCATGCTGGGAGTAGGGAAAACAGGTAGCATTCATTGTCCCAAAATATTAAACCTCGGATTCTTCCAATATTTGTTTAAAACACAAAACCAGCACGGACAAGTTTGCATCTCAAATGATTCCATGCCAAGCAAAGCAAAGTTATAGCATCTTACGTCGATCCGGCCTCTAGCATTTGTGCTCAGCCTGTCCACAGCACACGGACCAGAAAACCAACCTTAAGCCAGGGGATTGAATCCACTAAAGTCTAAAAAGCACGAAGCCAAGTACAAAAAGCTTTGACTCCCATCTATTGACGACGTAACGCTGACTTTCCAGAAGCACCCCTTATAACAGGCCTCGAATAAGACCACTTGGGACAGAAACAAACAGACAAACAACAACAAATCCCACTCAAACCTTTATTTCACAACAGGGTGTCACTGTCTCGATGTGAAACATTAACTACTAGCTTCTCTCCGAGTAGACCGCTGCTAGGCGACGCTTAGAAAGGAGGTCGTGCCTTCCATCAGCCTTGACTTTGTGCAACACTGCGAGGAATAAATTTAAGATTTGTTAGGGCATTTCACTTCTCCCCAAAAATGGTGTTCAAAAATATTTTTACCATGGGGCATACATGGAAAGAAGCATTCTGTTCCGACTATAGTTTAAATTCTATCAGACTACGAATGCCTTCCTGCCAAGTTCGGAGAAACCAAATCCGGGAGAATTTCTAAGCGCACGGGTGGGGGAAAGGGGGGAGCTGTGTTTAAAAAAAAATATTGACAAGATAGTATTACACTGCTCATGCTAGCAAGATACAGCCGGGCCTCGCTATCAATGTAACTGTCTGTTGCGACGCAAAAACTCCTTAAGTGCGGGAGGGAGGGGGGGGACTAATGTGCATTTACCGGGAGATTTTTCTGTCAAACATACAACCATACAAACTGAACATAATTTGGGAGTTTCGCAGGTTATATGGGAAACTTGGCAGGTATGCTAATGCAGAGTTGCTAACAAAGCGGTGAAGCTGAATTAAAAGAAAGCAGTGAATGTGTTTGTGCAACATTCAGGCGTGTACACTGCTTTACATGTAGTATACCACACCATGAAAAGAACAAGTACGAGCGAGGGGCTTTGGTAACATAATCCTCTTCAAGTGCAACCAGAGCAGTATTCCAAACTACCCACTCATTCATGTTAACCTTTCACAAAACACAAAATTTTAACTCGTAAATGGGGAATTACATAAATGACTTCTTGTTAAAAGCTCTCTGATTTAAGTCTTTTTGACGCCTCAATGAGGCAGATGCCTCAATAGCCTTTTTTTCTTTCTTTTGATGTATGCTTCTGCTGAGAATGGTTTATGTATAAAGCGTACTTGAAAAAATTACCACTATTGCCAACAATATAAAATTGAAAATAATGTAACGATTTGCCTGGGTCCCTCACAAAAATGTTTTCCTTTCCCACACTATTGTGGCAAAGGCAATGGTAATGGAGAATGTGGTGCATTTTGCTTCGCAGTGATGCTGCACAGATGAACCCGCTACGGACCTTGTCTTTCAATGGCATGAACATCGTCGTGCATGGCGTCTTTGAAAGAAAGCGCTAGAAAGATAGCGCTTCGTGACTGGCAAGTCTGTAGCGGGTGTTCGCGTGTATATTGCATCATAAAACTTGAATCTGCTGCGTCCTCGATATCCGTTCCCGTCAGATGCAAGTTCTCGGCAGATTCCTCGCACCGTGAAACGCGGATCTGCCGCGTCTGCAACTTGCGTTATTCTTTCACAAGACACAGGAGTTCGTTGCAAACCTCCAAGTGTTTATCGCATCGCGAGACGCGAATCTGCGGTGTTCGCGATCTGCAATATCTATTCCCGCATCACGTGGTTTGTAGCCGGTGCCAGGGCATTTATCATTAATTTTTAATAAAGTTTTGCTCTGGCAGCCCGAAAGATAGGCCATCCTATGTTTTTCCCCGTTTATTTCTTCATTTTGGGTGGGCGTTTTTTTTAAACTTTACAGCAGTGTTTTTTTGTTGTTTTTTTTTCATCGTGAAAACCTAACCTGCCTAACGCTCATTTTCCGCCCAAATGTAGCGCCAGCGGTCCGAACCAGATGGCGAGGTTTCAGAACTATACTTTATCTCGTTCAAAAGTTACAAGTGATTTTCTGAAAATTTAAATAGGAAAATGGAACCCGTTTTTGGCAATTGGCATCACTCGGCTCCATGTATTCAAGAGCTCCGTCAACAGCCATTTTCACACTGAAATTTTAACGAAAATTTGTTTTTAAACGAGATAATGAATAGTTCTGAAACATTGGCAACTAGTTTGGACCGTTAGCACTGCACTTAGGCATAGAAAGAGCAT